AAGACATGTGGATGAACTAGAGGATGATATATATCATCCTCTAACACTAAGGTGCAAGCAATGCAAAATTCGAGTGAAATTTGTTTTTGCTTTGTTCATATATGAATCAATAGAGCATGAGCTGCTGATCACGATGAGCTACTTTTTGGCCCAATTTCAGATTTAACATTAAAAACTGATTCTAGAAAAGGTGTGATATGGGTGTTAACTCAAAGATTTCTTTTATGATGGCTCTTCTAATATCTTCCACTACAGTACGGATAGATCGATCTAACAAAACCTATCTAGTTTTTCAAGGAAATGAGAGAGTCAATTTTTTTATTTTGTTTGAATCTTCATACCAGCTTCTATAAAAGTACATATCTTTTTTCTTTTGTTCTGTTTTCTCTGTGGAGAAAATTTTGTTTTACTGATAGTACAGGAAAATTGGAGAGATCATTCTGGTATAACAGATCTTGAGCGTCCGTAAGGGTGTGGGTGTGGATCACATTAAGACATGAATACCATCCACACTCACACTTACATCCACTCTTAAACAAGGTCGAAATCGCCATCACAGAGTGCTTCATACACATACCCACACGCACACACATGCCCACGCTCGCACCTAACTTCAAGATTTGAACTTATGACCTAGGGTTGTGTAGCATTAATAGTTGATTCTCAAAACGACAAGCAAGTCATTTAGTTAAATTTTTAGCTTTAAATCAAAAAGTAAATAGTAATCAGTCTACCTCCATGTTGGGAGGAGAGCGTTCTTCCTTAGCGAGTACAAGTAGATTGTTGTACACATCGTCCGCAAAGATGCTCTTCAATTTCTGGATTTCAATATCATTCTTCTTGAGCTCTTCCATAAATCTTTGCATGGCATCAATCTTCGTTTTTGGAGAAAAACACCGAGAACTAGATTTTAATGTAGGTACACAAGGAGAAGAATGATCAACAAAGTCAAGCTGAACCTGATCGGTTTCTATAGTAAGTTTCAGCTCAGTAGCACACACAGCGAAGTCCAAAAGATCCCATGCAACGTCTTCTTTGTCACGATAACAGCGCCAATACAATTGATCTGAATCTTCTTTTCCGATCCATGCCGATGACGTCAGTGGAGTTGGTTCATCAAGCTTTTCAATAAATGTGATAATCTTTTCACTGGGAGCAAGCAAAAACGAATGACAATACTCCCGAGTGTACTTACGTGTGCCAAGACAGTAAGCCTTTGGATATGTCTTTTGTATGACACTGAAAGGTAGAGTAAGACGATAACAACCGTATCGGGATTTTTTTGGATCGAGTGACGGACACACTACATCATCGGTTGTGTTCGGCGGAGGAGCAGGGGAGAACCATATGAGATCCGGTCCATTATAAACAAAATGCGTTCTACCTTTCAGACATATTTTCTGTCCGATATGCATTTTTTGTTTTGAATTTATAAGGTATAAAATGTTGAGAAGATCTTCGATATTGTGAATCACATGCTGAACTTTGTTGAAGCGGATCTGTTTGAAGGAAGCATCATTTAGAGACGGTAATAAGAATTTTCTATGTAAAAATTTCCATCCCTTTTTTGTGACCTCGTCTTCATCTGGATATGCGGGAAAAATAAAAATCCGACTTTTTTGTTTGCAGAAGACACTCCCATCGATGCGCTTATATATTTTTTCGAAGTCAAGTTTACGCAATATTTTGTACAGAACTTCTAGAGATGCATCGAATTCAATCACCTTCCTCTCTGAAGGAGCAATACGAAGCCGTCGTTGCGAGCTGCTTAAATTATTGCAATGCTGATGAAGGGTAGAATCGATAGTTGTGATAATATGACCAATGAGCCCTTCGTTTCGTGAAGGATTGTCCAAGAGCCAATGCTCAACGGCCCCTAATAATGTTTTTGAACGATCGTACGACGTGCGCCATGTCTTAGAAGCATATTCACTGAATTCAGCCAATGCGCGATGTACTTTCAATTCTTTAGCGTCAATACTTTCTCCAGTCATACTTGCTGTCATTGTTTTCTGCTTGATTATAAAATGCGAACATGAAAAATGCTGTCCCTTTTTATAAAACATTACCTGAATGTTGATATAGTGTGTCACTGTATTCTTTGCATGAGTGATTTATTGGTGGTGCGTTGGGGCGCTTTTAAATGAAACAGAATGCAAACTATAGAGAAAGAAAAGAGCAATAAAAAAAGTAACGCGCCTCATGGTTTGGCTAGAATAAACTACATATGAAAGCACATCCATATAGAAAATCGTTACTGTCATACGTTACATATTGCCCTCTATATTGATGACATTTTATCTATAGATGGCAACAATCAATACCATTCCCTCTTCTCTGTTATACTGTCAGTTCACAGATCAATGATCAGAATCATGACAGTAGTGCCTCTGAAAGTATTAGTGTTGATTCTATTATCATCCCCACACCCTTCAATTTCTCTAAAAAAAATTCAATATAAAAAAACTAAGAACTTCTGTGTGATAGTAGATGATTTTTATTATTAGAAATAGTTGTTCGTTTTTGAAGAATGTGTTATTGAGATTATTATTACAATGATATTCATGAAAAGTGCTAAATTTCATCAAAAGATAAATTAGTATCGCAAAAGAATACTTGAAAAAGATCATCTGCTGAGATGCGACTTATCTTACAGTAAAACTTATCAGAAATAGTAGATATCTTACAAAATAAATCTCTAACAAATCGCATCGAATTATGAAAAAAATTCAAATTAGCTAGAGTTTCGATAATTATTTACCAAAAATTTTATTTTTGTCTTCGTTTCAAAACGCGTTCAGACGGATTTTTAACGTTTAATATCGCCTGGATGCATTTAGACAAATTTCATTTTTGTCTAAAAGCGAATAAGGCTTGTGTCTCGAACGTATGTGAATACACTCAAAAACGCGTTTAGATGCGGTTTCTCTCCGTTTGATTTTTACATGGGCATTACCTAATTTCGTAGCTAATTCCATATTTCATATTGATAAATGTAAGATGACTAATCAGATACTATTAGCGAAAGCTCGTAAAGCCCGATTCAATAGTTTACCTAACTTTTGTTGGCATTCTTCAGAGGATGTTGAACGTTTTCTAAAAAGTATTAAACATATCACAAAAGCAAATGATAAATCAAATAATCATGAAATCTTGTAAATCGTTCGTCAAAAAAGATAAACAGCTGATACGTTGTTCAACAACAATGAAATTACATTTAAAACATAGACAGATTTGGAAAGCATATTTTCAAATTGATATTTTTCATCAACAATGAAAGTTAACAATTTATGTCGTGAAATTGATCCAAACATGTCTAAGAAAACAATTATTCAACACTTAATGAGTAAACTAGGATGCGAATGTAGATGAACAATGATCATCCACCCACACTCTAGTCAATGTTTAAAGAGCTTGTTACACAGTTAGTAGAACTAACAAGAAATTTATGATTAAAGTTAACTCTATTGTATTCTAATTCTTTTTTTTTTGTTGTTGTTATTGTTATTCAATGATTTGTTCTCTTACTCACTCTTTATACATGACCAATTATTGTAGGCCACACCCATACATATATTTATTCTCTAACATCAAATTGATGCCTAGCGATAGATAATAGTTTATATGAAAGAAAAAATTACTTTGTTTTTTTTTCTACAGTCATACTACGTGTGTTACAGATAATGGTGAGAAATAGTATTTAAATATATAAATGAAATCGATAGTGCGATACATGCAACAATTATTTTTATACATTCTTTTTGAACATTGAAGGACGATATATATATATATCGATTGTAGAAAAAGGTATGCAGTAATCAAGATATTTTTCAGTTTTTTTCAACAAAACTAAAGAGAGAATAATATGATGAATGAAAAGAATTTTGTGTAAATCGAACAAAGAAAGATTTTTTGTAAGATAAAAAATAAATTTGATATTTAAAACAGCATAGAATACGTTAGAATAATAAAAAAAAACAACTATAGTTTTAAATAAGACTCCAGATACAGATTATATTGAGTGTTTGTCATATTTTTAGTAAATAGTTTATTTAAATCTATAATCTAACAATATAGATATGATATACCGGTCCACATCCACCCTTAAAATCATGTAAATATCTAACAGAATAAAAGTAATACTACAGTCAGTTGAAAAGCATTTTTTGTAAGTTATTGATTTCAGATAAGGAACGAAAAATACGGCGTTTCTCCGCGTAAAATTTTTCATGTAGAAAAAGTTGAGTTGCTAACAACAAAGGGTGGCTTCATCATTTTGTTTTTAAAAAAACTTTTTTTCGTCGCGTAAAAGCGCACATTTTTATACGCAGAAACATCGTATTTTTCGTTCTTTGTCTGCCTGAATAGTAAAGTAAATGTGCTGTTGAAACGAACAGCGATAACAGTAAATTCCATTTCTATTATATATCATTTGAAGTAAGTACAATTTATTCTTATCTTGTTTTCTATTTAATCGTTCGACATGATGATGAGAGAAAAAAGTTGCCTTTTGAGTTATCTTTATCATATATTTAATGATTCTGCTATTTTTTATTGATTTGGTTTGTGCAGACTACTATTTTGTTTTTTCTGTTTAGAACAAATAAATAAACACAAAAAAAAGTCATATATTTATTGACTTACTGATCAAGTATACAATGATACCTATGATTTCCTCTGACCAAGAACAAATACAAGTTAACAGCAGTGATAGTCTTAGTGATGCAGAAAGTCTGCACGATACCGATTCAAAACAAGATTTACCAACTGTATATGATACATATACTAAATTCAAAAAGTATACAATACTGCTTATTATTATTGGTTTAGGATTTTTATCAACTTTCGATAAACTAATTTTTGTTCCGGCATTGCCCACAGTAATTGAAGATCTACATTCAACAGAAACATTAGGTTTATTAACAATCACTGTATATATGCTTGGAAGTTGTTTTTGCGGACTTATTTGGGGAGTACTAAGTGATTGTTATGGACGTAGATCAATCATATTACTTGCACTTAGTGGATTTCTATTATCTGTAGCTGGTTCTTACTTTTCATCAAATATATATATATTTTTAGTATCTCGTGTACTACAAGGAGCTTTTATCTGCGTAGCACAAATTCTTGGTCCAGCAACAATTGCTGATATATATCAACCAAATGAACGTGCACGAGCTATCTCTCTCTTCTATGCGTTTCATTTCGTCGGGTCATTAGTTGGCCCAACCATCGGTGGACCGTTGTCTTATCATTATGGTTGGAGATCTACATTTATTGTAGTAGAAATTCTTGCAATTATTTTATTTATCCTTTATATTTTCTTCGTACCTGAAACACACCAGTATATAGTTGTATGCAAATACCACGAAACAGGAACAAAACTACTTGAATATGACTTACTTGTAAAGCCGACACTACAAAATCCATGTTTAGCATTAACATACTTAAAAGAGACAACAATGCTACCTTATGTCTTTCTTTTAGCGCTAGGATATATGTCAATGAATATTGCACAGCTTTTTTTTCCTATTCAATTATCTAAAGCACCTTACAACTACAAATCAGACATAATCGGTATATTATATCTTCCATTGGCGATTGTAAAGTGTTCAGGTAGTATTATCGGTGGTATTCTATCTGATTATGCAGCAGTTAGATATATGGAAACATCAAGAATTCATGAAGGACATGTTGTGCCAGCATTATTATTTTCTGTTCTAACACCTATTGGTCTAATCCTTTACGGATGGTCATTTCAGTATGGTATGCATATAGCATTACCAGTCATTGGACTAATTATCTGTCTTTTTGGTCAAACAACTACTCGGCCTGGTATCTATTCGTTCTATACAATTAAATATCAACACTGTTTAGCTAGTGTTATCGCAGCAAATAATTTTGTACAATTATTGTTAACAACGATTATGTTAACATTTACAGCGATAATTGTAGAATCAATTGGTAATGGACTATATTTTACAATTATAGCTGTGGCTAATATATTGACAACAATCGTACCAGCAATAATTATTTTAAGAAAAATTAGATTATCTCATATTTCTGACAAGATCTCTAGTCAAAGTATTCCTCTAATAAGTACTGATGATGAACAATGATAAATAATCATGATTTTTGTGTATTCATACTCATTCTGTAATACTGACTTTTTGCTTGAATATCTAATTAGAAGTGTGAATGTATGTCTAGATATGATTGAAGACGAGATATACTTAGCGATTGAAATACATACTCGTATATGATATCTTCAAATCGTTTTGAGTGAAAAAGAAAATCTTGAGGGTGGATGTGGATGTGAGCGCCTGTGGATTGGTATAGCTGTGAATAGAAAAAAGTCATTCATGCTCACACGAACACCACACCAACACCGTACTCACACTCTTTCGAGCGCAATATTTTGGTGTCTGACTTCTTCATAGTCACACGAAACTGCACCTTGATCGTTGCATGGCTATTGTATTTCATGTCATTCAATAAACATATCAAAATGCATCTAATTTACTCTTCCAATTTTTAGATTGCTGAAGATCGAATTTCAATGGCAATATAATTTGAGGGTGTGGGTGGATGTGAGTAAGAGGTAAATAAGCCATACTGACACTTACACGCACACCCACATCCGACATCCACACTCACTCACATTCACACTCACACACCCAAATAAAAGAAAGTCTAAATTAGTACATGTATGTATAGAATTTTGTTAATATTTTCACGAAGCGTAAGAAGCAATCAATTGTTAGAAGTTTATTTTACGCGCTGTTGCAGTTGTATTGGTTGTTGTAGATTTTTCACCTTCGGTTTGAACATCCATTTGAAGTATTTTCTTCCAATAACTGTCTCACCAAACTCCTTCTTGTAGCCACTTGAAGGCAAAACGAAAAGGACAAATCCAAGCGTTTGTGGGACATACGAGAGTAAATAAGCGACAAGTAGAGCATGTTTCTGCCAAACATTCAACTGCGTGCAAGCTAGGCTAAAGGAAATAATGATTTGAGGCAAAGCGGATAAGACAATGATAGCCGGTATCAGATAGAGTTCTTTGTGCACAGTGAACTGTTTCTTCAATACTTGTCCAAATGTTGTCTTCTCGCCATTTGCTTTTGTTCGCCTTCGAGCAATTTGTATGATTAAGATTGTGATTGCTATCGCTTGAATCAAGAATGGGATGACGTGGTGCAAAAGTGTGCTCACTCGATCATAATTAGCCAAAATGCTCTGTTGAAAATTAGTTACACAGACAAAAGTAGAAGAATTCGGCTGACGAATGTTCTCATAAGCGAGAATCTCGTGAGTGTGCAGACCAAACAGAGCAAGAATAGTGATTATACTTATATAGATACCAATTGTAGGATTTTTCGTAATGGTGCTCGTGGGAAACCAGACCATCAAAAGGCGATTAATGGTAATCCAACTTGTTAGCCAATAGGATGAGCGAGTGATGGCAGACAGAATAAAACTCATGATTTTGCATGAAGTAGCAGTTGTCCATCCCAGTGTACCGAAAAGGACGTGGATAAACTTGAAAAAAAGTCCAAGGAGAGCACATTGATTGAGGATGCTGAGAACAAATAAGTAGTTGCCAACTCTGACTTTGCGTGGCTCTTTCCGTATGAAAGTGAGAAGGGAGCATACATTGTTAAGAAGACCAATAGTGAAAATAAGAAAGGTCAGCATAATGTAAATTACTTGAGTTGTTTTAGACTGCGAAGTAAGAAGAGAGTCGAGTGTAAATCCAAAAGCTCGCATACTAAATTCGCATAGACGTCCTTGATGGCAGTGTGGACATAAGCAGATGAAGTCTTGAGAATTTGTCGGATCTCCTTTTATACATTTTCCACCTGATAAACAAAAGTCACAACGGTCTATTACGAAATCATGTATGAAACACATGACGCGGGTGCCATCTGCTATGCAAATACAAAAATAAGTGCTGTCGTAAAAACACAAGCGATGTTTATCATTAGCGCAAATCTGATGGTATTTGAAGAGGGCAGGTACTTTTGACGTTTCATCTGAAACCAGAAAGAATGTGTGGGTAGAAATTTTCTTCGAAATGTAAATAACCTACCTTTAGGCAGTAGTGATATGACATCTGGACACAACTGAGGCGTTGAAGTAAGATTGATAAGTGCACTATCCCATTGAGCGTAGAGCACGTAGTATTGAGGGGCTGAGAAACCTTCATAAATTTTTAGCAGACTCAGAAATGGAGTTATTTCTTGATCATGATAATAACGAATGGTTAGTGGCAGTCCACTAGTAATCATCTGATGTCGTAGTTGGAGTGTAGAAAATACACGCATGTCCAACTCATAAAACTGAACGACACTAACACTTGGTGATAAAGTCATGTTCACATCAATTGCAACAGCGACTTTCTCATTTTGACATCGATCACCATAGAATTGTTTTGAGCATTGACAAATGAATGGTTTGTCGCCACTTGGATCGTATGTTAAATGACAAGTTCCATTCAAGCCACAAGGATCTGACTTGCATGCTTCATTTCGTATATGACAACTAGGACCAAAATGATCGAGAGAACATATGCATAACGGATTATCTGGATTTTTAATCATACCACGTTGACCAGGCCGACAAATGGAATCTGGTGAGCAATATAAAGGACATTTTTGTTCATATACAGTGCAGTTCGTATTTGTGTAACCTGATTTACACGAACAATAGAACCTTCCTTCTTCGTTTAGAATAGGTTTACAGATAGAATTTGCATTACATGGATTTTGAGCGCATGGATCAACCGTGGAGTTTCCAAACCAAGCAGGAAATTTCAATATCGTTGCGAGACGAAAGGCCGGAAGATAATCAAAGTAGATTATATATCGAAAGGATCCTAGCTCGATTGTGTCATTACTTTGGAGTGCATAAACATCGAAATGTACCGAATAAGGATGATCATAAATAACATCCGTACTGTTCAAGTAACGTCGCCGTTTATGCTCTAATATTGTTACTGAACGAGAATAGAGAAGGTAAAAACGTTGTTTGACATAGTTTTTAGTTTCTAATATTGGATTTACATAAAAAACATGATGATCGATATATTTTGTTTCGCGAAACACTAAGCTTGTGACAATCTTGAATAGACTTGAAGAAAGCAGCAGTGTAGGAGTGAGAGTACTAAGATCGAGATACGTGATTATAGTAAGACGGTCTGAGAAAAATTCGCAACGAATACCATAATAGGCAGGTGGACAAAAACACAAAACGTTAGTCTCAATGCTTATTACGATGCCTCGATTGCAGACAAATAACCGCCAATCAAGTGTAATAACATCTTGTTTTTGCCGATATTCGCGTGTATTAAGCATCGCAGGAAGCTGATATTTAGTTTCTGCAACTGTCGATACTGACTTTTTATGTTGCTGAATTGTGGGAATAACTGTCGGAAACGTTGGTAGTTCGAAAACCTTTCTGAGCGGTTTATGTGTTCGATAGTGTGATCTGCGGAGCAAAGTATTATAGTATGGAGGACACCAGTATTCATCTTCACCGTGCAAACATTGTTTGATCCCATCGCATCGTGCATTTTTGACACACGTTTCATTCAGACAAATCACATCGTTCTTGTCAGAACAGGTTGCATTCCTGCTTTTGTACGAGCAGAGTAATGAATTCGAACATTTTTTATTAGTTTCACAAGCAATGTGATTTTGATCGCAAGTATTATTACATCGTAATGTATACCCAAGCATATGGCCATCACAATCTTCTTCTGTATTTTTTTCATCCACAGCTCCATAGCAATTCACAATTCCGTCACCAATCTGAGTGAGATTGATGCATGGCCGATAAGTATAAATATCCAGTGGGTTGAGAACCGACGCTAAATAACATGGATACTCTGTTGATATATTACACAAATCTGAGAAAGGCATCTTCGACTGGGAGTATCTATGAATGCATTCTTGCTTTCGTTCATCTAAATCTAGTAGACGTTGGTTATGTGGAAACCATTTTTTGATCAGAACTATCGCTTCTTCATCGGACCCATCACTACAATCCCATTCTCCATCACACACCCACGTCTGACTGATACATTGGCCAGATAGGCATTGGTACTCTTCAACAGCGCAAATCCATTCTTGACAAAAATCTCTATTTTCGTCTAAGTGCGATGCGTGATTCCAGACAGTGTCACAATACTGATCATATGGAATGAGTAATGCATTATGCATATTGTTTGCTATTTCGATCTCTAATGTTGAATTCGGATTAGATGAACTGCCAATATAGTATCTCAGGAAAAGACATCCACTATCGTCGTCTCTTTGGCAAGTAATTGCCGATACTTGTGTAGTGCTACCCGCGACAAACATATCATTCTTGTTTTTACAGTAAGAAACTGATTGGCCAAGCTTCGACGTAGCTAAACAATTCATTTCTTCAACTGAACATTGAAATCGATGTTTTCGAAGGTTGAAACAATAATTTATCTGTTTAGCTACTTGTAAATTCTCGTCTTTTGAATCTCCACAGTCTTCATGGCCATCCTTAATGCGATATTGCGAGATGCATTTACGCGAACCTGTACAAATATCATAAAATCCGTACGAGCGGTTATTAAAACTTCGCGTATCATTCCAGCAATTTACTGGATATTGAAAGGCCGACTCGGTCTCCGTTAATGTATCGGACCGATGAGAAGTTCCACAGAAATCAGATTCAATATTACGCATAGCCACTACGTCGGATCGGTATACCAGCGGTATAAGATTGTTTGTTACGATACGGTATCCCCGACATTTGATGCTTCCTTCTATCGCGAAAATGTCTGGGGTTGGATCTGTCCATGTTCGATTCCAATGATAAAAATGACGTAACCATGGAAGAATCATCCCGTTAGTTGGAATTGGATATATCACACCTTCTTGACAGAAGGATTGCATCACTTCGGTGCAGTTAATTCCATTACATGGGCAACTAGACTCTAAACCACCAGATAGTGCACATCGAATCAAGAAAACACATTTGTTACCGTCTGGCATATTTACCAACCCCATATTCATCGACGGATCACTATATTTACCGTCTGTACTGAACCAACAAAGTCCATTGGGTTTTGTCCATAGTTTGAAAGACGGGTTTGAGCTGCTTTCACACATGTAATTGAATTCACGCATAGTGTTACATGGCAAATCATGTGGATAAAATGTTTGATATACATGTCGAGCAAAAGGAAAAATGCACTGTCCATCGCCACACGACCATTGATCGCTAGTACATATATGTTCATCGCATTCGATAAACTGTGCATTAGTGGAACAACTAATGCCTTGTGCGTATTTCTCATCGCTCCAGTCCATACAATCAGGAACTCCTAGAACGAATGATCGTCAAATTGTCAAAAATGAAACAAGAATTACAGTAGTTCTTATTCTCATCATCGCCCTTGCTCTAACCTATCAGTTTTCTACGGCCCAAGTCATCAGTATATATACAGCTGATAAAGCAGCTTTATGCCTCTTTTATGTATTAAAAAAAGATAAATAACTGTTTAAAACTGGAAATTTACGCTCCAATAATCGAGCTTCTTCAACAAAATCTTTTATCTTTATTTTCACAATTGATTTCAGTTGTTTATGTGACAACTTCTATGATATTAATTAGTGTCAGAAATACCCGCGTATTGTGTGCTGGATATTCTCCAAATATATTCATATACATTGTACCTTAGTTTCTTCCAATTCTCTCATCTAGTTATATATGTACATGTTCGTAACACCTTCGCTCTTGTCGTTTTTTTCAATTATTGTCATTCCTCCTCTTCATATATAGAAATAAATCAAACTCATGCACACAAGCACTGAATTAACATGAATACTGTGACATTTTTCAGATTTATGTACTTACCATCAAGCCAGTACTCTTCATCGATACACATACCATTTAGACAACGGTATTCATCAGACTCGCATTCGTTGAACTCCAGCTTGTCACAATTTTCTTCATCATATCCATCCATACAATTTTGTAGGCCATCACATATGTTGCACCAGTCTAAGCAAAGCATCCCATAATCGCAAATTAATAGTGTTTGATAGCACCAGATCGATCCAAATAACTGATGACCTCGAAGATCGTTTTTAAATTTGAATGTATTGATAATAACTTCTCTGAATAAGTTATAATTGAAAAACAGCTTGAATTCGCAGTTTTTTCCAAATGATCCATCAACTGTACAATTGCATAAGAATTTATCGGATACGTCCATTATCGATTGATTGTAGAAAACACGACCATATTCATCGGCTTTCTCGACACTTGAACTCCATGAAAGCACTTGCCATGGAGTGATGTTGTGTTCGAGTAGTTCTTTGTAAGTCCATTTCTTTCCTCTATTTTGGCAATCAGACAGAGATGATTGCCATTGAAAAATTACGCCTGGTCTTGAACAAAACTCCACTGTTTGGTCATCAACATAGTAAATACAATGAAAAGCTTCCGTGCCTATACTATTCTCCGTGTTGTACAAGAAAATAAGATCAGTATTTTTGACGGTGAGCAAGGTAATAAATATGATAACGCTCAGAATCATCGTCATTTACGTTTACTCGACGATAATGATAGAATGACAGTTGACCAAATCTATGTAGTAAGAAGTCACTCGCAATTTTATGTGACACTTTCTTTTTATTTTCTCTCTTCTTAGAATAATGAACAAAATCTGATTTTTTCCTCCTGTTATTCACTGTAATGATCACGTAAAAAGCAGAATATTACTTACTAAACAGCAATAATCACGTAAATAGCAAAATATTAGTTGCCAGACAGCAATGATCATGTAAAAAACAAAACATTGGTTACCAAACAGCAATGATCACGTCTATAGCTTCATGTTCATTCAAGCACGTTCATTTCTTTGCCATCACGATTAGTATATTAAAAACATCCTGTCACAATCAGAATAGCAATGTAACAAAGAGAAATCACATACATCTGCCGAAGGAACCTTCATAGACCTCTTTCTATATTTTAAATGTTGTTTTCCCTATAAATACTGCATCACAACCTCACAAATATCTTTAAGATTTTTGCGTGTATATCGCTTTCTTCAAAAGCTATCAATATTTTAATTGTGTTCCTTTAACAGAAATTATGCAACAAAATATTTTCATAGGATCTTTAAAAGATCAGTTCCATAATAATCATCGATTTGACATGATTCACAGTGTTTGTAGGACTTATACGTATTTCGGTAAAGATCATTTTATTTTGATTAAAATCGACTTAAAGTAGTTACAGCGGTAAGAATGATAAAAAAACTCTCGAAAAACTGTTTTTTCTGGATGTGGGTGTGCAGAAAGAAAAGACCCACAACCACATGGAAATTCGCATCTCACCTACACTCACACCCTGGAATTTTTCACGACATATATTTATGGAAAAAATATCTATGCATGGTATTTCACGATACTTTTTTCGCATCGTATTAGAAGGGTTAATTTCTCTGTTGAATACGTTACTAGAATAATCGAATTTATTCCGTTTCTTTTATTATGTGTTACTGCACATTTCATGATAACAAAATAAATATACACGAAATCCCTCTTCGAACTGATTAATCAAACTTCATATATCCAACATTGTAGTATGACTGAAGAAGTTTTTTTTACATATCATCATTACAATATCTCACACACGTTTCTTTTCTTTTCGTTTTTTTGTCATGAATCATACTATTGCATCATTCTAATGCAATGCAATACAATCCCTATAAAATAATAAATAAAAAAAATATCCGCAGTCCTCAAATATATATTTATTTCAACAAAATTAGAAAAAAAAATCTTCTACAGAAAGAAATGTATGTCTATTCTTTCTGTAGTTCGTACAATTAAATAATTCTCTTTAAATAAAGCCATTCGTTGTACAGGGTTTCTATAATTTAATTGTATTTTCTTCCATTTGGAATCAATTGCTATTATATTAGAATTTACTGATGAGAATATAAAGAATTTTACGTCTGATTCAGTATTTTTTACATTTAACATCCAATAGTCATGCATTATATTTGAACCAGGAAGTAAAATTGTTTGATGACATAAGAATGTTTTCATATCACGAATTTCTAATCGCCATTGTTCAGTAAAATTATTATAAATTGTCATCATAAGATATGAAGAATCATCTTCTATAATTGTCAATATATTTCCAATAAATTCATTATAAGTTAATGCCAATGACATTTTCCCAATAAGTTTCCATGATCCATTTTCGTTATCTTGTTCCCATTTATCAATATATTCTGCACCCCATTCATTATATGCAATTAATAATGTCGATTGATTTAATAATGTAAAACATTTAAACATTTTGTTTTCTGTTGGTATTATATCCTGTAATAATTCTATTTTCATTGTATTGGGATCAAATTCATATATATTTTCTGTTGTGAGTAGAAGAAATTTTTCTTCCTTATTATACCATAAACTATCTAGTATAGGTTGTTGTATAAAGGAACGTTTACTAGATTTTTGAAGATGTTCATCGAAGAGTATAAATTGATTTTTTCTTTTTGTAAATTCATTTACAAGAATAAACTTTGGTGATGTTGCCAGTATTGATGCGAATGATACTAGTGGAATTTTAATCGGAGTGATCGAACCAGGTTTATCATCAATAGGTGTCAATTCAGTTGATGTTATTGATAATTTCGTAAGGTCCTCAATGAGTATTGTTTTATCCATAGTATTAGACATTTGTATTACATCTGATCGAGGTAAACAATCAGCAAGTATCATTTTATCGTAGAAATAATATCATCAATATTTATAATACAAGAATCTTTCGTCTTTTTCTCCACTGCCTACTTGTTCGTTATGATCAATAAATGTAATCGGCGACGGTTTTTATAGGTAAGAAAAAAGGTAACTGCGATTGTTTGAGAAAAAGAACAAATCAAAACACGTGTTGCGAAATCTACAAGTATGAGAGAAAAAAAAGCGGAGAGATTGGTCATTCTTTTTTATTTAAAAGGTATATTAGAAAAACAAATTTTGTTTTATTAATTATTATTTTTGTAATGAAAAAAAGTACATATGAATCATAAAATTCAAGGACAATTATCTTTAACTCATTTTAACATATTTCAATGTACTGCATAAAGAAAGAAATCTGTTCCCAATCCGTCCTACATATATTACTTGTTGTTTGCTTTGTCTTTCTATTTACTCTCTGTCAACAGTTGTGTCTAAAATCATATGACTCGCACTCAAGGTCATATAATAATTCTTTTTTTTTACCACGACATCATGAAACTATCGTATATTGGCCTTCGTCAAACAATCTAGCAAGAATATCATCTAAAAAGAAAATAGCATAGGCCTATATGACAGAAATGGATATTAGAGAAAAATAAATATCGTATATATATATTGTGGACTGCAAGCGGAAAAGCATATAACAACGTCTGAGAAACTGTAATATAGTATAATGCAAACCAAAACTCTTCTTGCTTTATTTTGTACTATTGTTGTACTCTTTATTGATATCAACGATGGTGCACCGGCTGTTGTGAAAAAACCAACCGTTGTTGGAACTACAGCTGCTTCTGTACCTAGGTAAGGTTAACGGGAAAACATACATATTTTAGAATTATTTATTTTTAGCCCAAATCCAGTTAAACTTGCTGGTGCACCTACACCATGGTCAACAACAATTGATGCAAAAAGTAAAAAAATATTTAATAGTGTAAGTTTATTTAAACATATTTATTCTGATATATTCTTCTCTTATTTTTCTAGCATATTAAAATAATATCAAAGAAACTCAATGCTGTTCATAAAGTAGATAAAAAATTTAAACCTAAACCAGTAAAAGTTCAAACACAACTTGTCAGTGGTATGCTTTATCGTTATTTAGTTCAAATACCAAATAAAAAATACGCCCTTGTAACAGTTGGCGTTCAAGCATGGAAAAAATCAAAAGTTTTAGATGAAAAAATGGTTAATGTACGCGAAAAACTCTACGATTTAAATGATAAAGATATCTAATCTTATGACAATATAAACTATCCTCTTTTTCTTATGTATTAGTTCGCTAGAAAACAAAATGGAAGTATTCTTTTTTTTTGTTTATTGTATGAATATACTTTTTATGATGAAGAACAAAAGAATTTTCTCATCTGTTCACATGAAGCATTGACACAACCGGGACAACGAAGAGGTAATTGAGTCGTATGACGACGTTGACTTTGTAAATGATTATGGACAATATCTGCCATAGCCTAGAAAATTTCGAAATTAACTTCAAGAAAACAAAATTGTATTGAAACTACTTTAATAAAATGAGGACTATCATTCAATGATTCACATCGACGGATCATTTCAACGCCAACCTGAATTTAAATAACTGAACGAAATGTTTTAAATGAAATTTAACTTATTTACACTTGTAGCAAGATGTTGAGAATATTCTATATCAAGTTCATGCAAAGTTTCAATATGATCACCTAAAATAAATCAAAATCTTCAAGATCAGAAAAAATCCTTTATTTACTTGTAAATGCAATAGGAACTAAAAGAATATGTCGGCGATTATTTTTAGCTAAACCTTTAATAGCATCATCTGTTGCACAACCTAACCAAGCACTTGGTCCAACCTAAAATATCGAAATCGTGTATATAATAGAATAATGAAACAGATGATTTATACTTTTGATTGCCATACAAGACGATATGGATTCGAGAAATTAAGAGATTCCATAACTGCTTGAACAGTTGCAGCAACTTCAGCTGGATAAGGATCACCACGATTGACTACCTACAGATATATATATATATGTAATTATTTGAAAAATTCATAATTAATAACTTACGCTCATTGGTAATGAATGAGCAGAAAATAGGATAACAACATCATTACGAACATCTGCTGGAAATTTATTCAATTCTTTCTGTATATTTTCTACAAATGCCTAATAAAAAATTTCTATTTAGTTTTCTTAGATATTGAATAATTACTTGAATAAAACCAGGATGTGTTTGCCAACGATCAATAACACTCCATGGAAGATCATTTAATATTTGACTATCTTTATCTGATTGTGATTTCTTTTTTTTCGCTGTATAATATCGAGCAATTGCATTTAAACTACTACCTGTTGTTGAACAACTATATTGTGGATATTGTGTAAAAGCAATAACTTGTCGAGGATGGTCTCTACAAAAATTTTCTTTGTAAAAAAAAAAGAAAGAAAGGAAAAAGTAATTTACTTTTCAATTTCATCAAGTGCCATTTCAGTTAATGGTTTAACATAACGAAAACCAATGTAGTATTTATGAGGAGCTAAAGAAAAATAGAATATAGTTTAGGAAATGTGTTTTTTTGCTTAAATAAGTACCTGTTGATGGAGATATCTGATCGAGTATTTTAACCATGCCTTCACCTTGTTTTTCAGTCCACATTTTAATTGGTGATCCACCTCCAATTTTTGCATATTGCTCCTGAATACTAGGAGTACGACGACGAGCAATTAAAGGACCAAGTGTTCTAACAAAAAATGTCTTGATGAGAATGAAAAATAAGCTAACTTACTTTTGAGCTGGTAAAGGAATAATATCTTTATCAGAAAAGAGGCGATTAAGAAAATCAAATACATCATCTGTTTTTTCTGGACCACCCATATTTAATAAAAGTATTCCTGTATTTACTTGACTACTACAAAAAATTCCTATTTATTCTACAATTTATACAGAAATCTAAACCTTTGAGATTCATTTCGTGGTTGTTGGTATTCTGTTGCAGTTGCAGTAGATGTTGCACGAGTAGAAATTTTTAAGAAATAAGAAGTAAACAATTCTATTTCATAGAAAAACTACAGTATTTATCATAGATCATTTTTTCTAATATACCTGATAAAAATCGATGTTTTAAATGTGATGATAACATCATTATAACTGTTAAAACAAATCTGAAATGCAATATCATCTCTTTGATCTCAACAAAGTAACAAACGAGTAGTTTAGCAGCTTCCATTTTTTATCCGCTACGATGAATGGAAAGTAAATGTAATAAATAGAGATTTTGTTTATTCTCTTTTTTCTTTTCTTATAACAAAAACAAAAACAAACATGATAAATTTCCCTTAAAAATGGACAATGTCAGATAGATATTCTAGAGTCTACACACAAAAACAAAAAAAAGAGAGAGAGAAAGAGTGTCGTTATATAAAAAAAAATGAATCAATAAAGCGATGAAAATCAAATCGGATAATAACATAACAATAATAATAATAAAGATTCACCTAAAAGGAATGAATAAAATGTTTTTTTGTCCATTGATATTGTTCATTTTGTTTCTATTCAGTTTTCTTCTTTGGTACATCATCACGATGATAAAGTACAATAAAACTTAAAAGAAATGCACCAGCCATCATTGAAAATGATGAAATATAATATGGATAAGCTGATGCTATAAAACGTTCATATTGTGTATGAAGTAATGGATGAACAGAAACCTTAAATTAAAATAAGTTTATTTCCTTCTGCTCATTTCACATAAGAAAACTTACTTGTGTAGCTGAATATAAATGTGTGTAACCAACACGATTGTAATCGATAACAAATTTAAAGACACCATAAGTATCTGGAGCACGAAATTGTGCTTCAAGTTGACCACCTAAATACACAAAATTTGTCTTGTCTTATTCATATAACAAAAAAAATCAAACCTTTATTTTTTAATGTTGTACGAACAAATGGATCAATACGAACAAATTCTAATTGAACATCAGTTCCATTAAATGGCATCCATTTTCCATAAACTAATTCATCAAATTGAACATTAAATACAATATCTTCTTTAACAGTATAAAATCTTGGTGTCGATTTATCTTCTTTTAAATAATGATGAATATTTCTTGCACGTAAAACACCACGTTGTTTAAATAACCAATCTGATAAAGCAACAGCTAATTCTTGGTTACCTGATTGTGTAGGTCTAAATTTCAAATGATTAATTAATTTTAAATTTTCAAAAAATCTTTTTCTTTACTTTTTTCCATCATTTGTTTGTACTGATTTAACAAAAAATTCATTACTAAAAAAATCTAATGAACCAACGAAACCAACACGAGCATTGTTACGAGCTTGAAGAACAGATATTAATAAGGTTCGTTTACCAACTGTAGCTGGATACTATTCAAAAAACAAATCGAATTAAATTAATTTGAAAATAGAAATTTTTTACTTCAGTTAATGTTTGTTCATCAGGATTAGCTGTATATGAAGTTGATGAAGCAGTTAAAACATCAAGTAATAATGGATTATCTTGATCTGATGACATTCTTTACAACAAACAAACATTATATTTTATGAAAAATTGATCATGAAAATTTTTACCCAATTCCTCGAAAAACAAATGGTAAATTATTTTTCTTGGCTTGTCCAATAATTAATTCAGATGAAAGAAGATTATTTGCATTTGCAACAATTAATGTATGCTAGAAAAGTTTTAAGTAAAAAGAGAATTCAAGATTCTTAATCATACTTGTCCATCATCAGTAACATCATAATTAAGATGATCGATAACTGCACTATGATCATCAGCAAATTCAATACCACATTCACCGGCAAATTCACGAATAACATCACCGATGACATTACTACCTGCAACAAGAACATTTCCACCAGCATCAACAAATTGTGTTAAGATTTCTGAATCCAAACGTCCACCAAATTCTTCAAATAACAAAATTTTAAATTATCAAAGAAAAATTAATAAAAAAACTACAATACCTTTTGTAGCAGGTGCAAAGATAACAATATGATCATATAAATATTCACCGTATTTAATAATTTGAAGAGTACTATCATCAGATGATTTATACGTTATATCAAATCCACGATCTATGAATGGATAAGAAATATCTGTTATATATCGATACAAATCTGCTCACCTGCTAATTGTTTAAAATAGAATGAATGTGATTCTCTTATACCCAAATTATCCAATAGTACTAACAAACGTTTTGATGTTGAATCTATGTTCAATGTTGCTGACCAAACAGTTGAAAATAGAAACAATGCAATACAAATAATGGATAAACGTGCCATTACTGAAATCTAAAAGAACGATATGGTAGAAATAGAGTCAGCATCCATAAATCGTCGACAAAAAGTCCATATTTTATCCAAATGATATGCCACATTCGTCTCACGATATTATTGTTCTATTTATTTTCCAATCATAAGAAGTAAAGATGTCACTTTTTATTTTCATCAGAATATTTTTTTTTATAATAAGTGTTAAGACAAGAGAAAAAGAAAGAACATATAGACGGAAAAAAGAAAAAAAAATGTTTTTTTATAATCCTTGGCTAAGACATGAAGAATTGTTTGTAACGATATTTTTTAAAGATCGAAAACTTTTGGTAAATCATTTCCAAGGACGTCAATACGTTCAACACCATCCTTATTGATTATTGCTAGACGAGCACAGCCACCACTTGAACCATCACGTGTTATAGCCAATGTTATACCTATAAAATAAGTTATACAAAGAAAGAAATATTTTTCGTTTTATTAAAACCTTTTAATACGAAATCGAAACATTCTTGTTTGGTCATATTTGGACGAAAGTTGTTATCAAGATAACCCCATATGTAAGTACTACCTGAACCACCAAGTGAAACTGGTTGTCGAACAAGTAAACCACCAAGTGGACATGAATATACCTATAAAATAATAATAAAAATAAAAAATAATTTTAACTTTTGCTAAAAAACATACTTGTCCACCAAGTTTTTTATCCCATCCAGCAACGATCATACCAGCAAGCATATCATCCCGATATTGATAGATCATACGACGAACACAATTAGCAGCAATACGTACGAGTGGTGGTTCATTCATTTCTTGTCTGAAATATTTATATACATAGAATTGTATAATGTCAAGAAAAAACCGAACTTACGTAAGAAAATCAAGTTGATATGTAACCACTTGTGCAATAGCTTGAGTATCAGCAGCACTGCCAGATCGAAGACAAAATATACGATCAGTTAATGGTGTTAATTTGTCTGTGAATCGATTGAATACGAATGTTCTATTTTAAATAAACATTTCATTGTAAATTTATCAAAAAAAATAAAACTTACCCTGTTGAAGTACGTGTATCAGCACCAATAATTACTCCTCCATCATATTCAACGGCAACAATTGTTGTCTAAAAAGAATTATTTTCTATTTAATTTTCTATAAATATTTATATATATATCTTACACCAGTTGATACTGGTGCTTGTTGAAATTCCATTGGTATAAGATGTCTATCCATTTGACTATATTTTGTTCGTTCACGTAATTGATCTTCTTCAGCATCATAAGTCATTGGATTAACTACGTCCATGATATATATGTGTATAACTTATATCTAGAATGAATAGTTTTATTTGTACGAGACAATCTTCTAAATAAAAATTTTTCTTTTTTTTATGTTTAAGAAATAACAAGAAAAAAAAATTATTTAATTATATGTCATATAACGTGGTGTTGAACTAAATTTAGCATATGCTTTAATGACCTTATTAATAGCTTCAATAAAATCTTTTTCAGTGGCTATTTTTCGTCGTGCACGAATAGCAAACATGCCAGCTTCTGTACAAACACTACGTAATTCTGCACCGGTACTATTTGGACATAATCGAGCTAATAATTCATAACGAATATCTTTTTCAACACTCATTGATTTTGTATGAATTTTAAATATATGTGTTCGACCCTAAATAGAAATGATTAAAAATTTTTTCTTTCTTTGAAAAATAAGTATCATTTACTTCTAAATCTGGTAAATTAAATTCAACTTTTCGATCAAGTCGACCAGGACGAACAAGGGCTGGATCGAGTGTATCAGGTCGATTGGTTGCCATTAGTACTTTTATATTACCACGTGGATCAAAACCATCCAATTGATTGATTAATTCAAGCATAGTACGTTGGACTTCATTGTCACCACCAGCACCATCATCAAAACGTGCACCACCAATAGCATCAACTTCATCAAAAAAGATGATACAAGCTTTTTTACCACGAGCCATTTCGAATAATTCACGAACCATTCTTGCACCCTAAATTGAATTTCATTCAAATAAATATATCTATGAAGTTTTTGACAAACCTCGCCAACATATTTTTGAACAAGTTCAGAACCAATAACACGAATAAAACAGGCATCAGTTCTAAAAATAGATATTTGAAATTTTTTGCTATAAATATATATGTATATTACCTGTTAGCAACGGCTCTTGCACATAATGTTTTACCAGTACCTGGTGGTCCATATAATAAAACACCTTTTGGTGGTTCAATACCCAAATTAACGAATTTTTCTGGCTAAAATGGAAATGAATACAAAAATTTAAAAATAATATTTTTTTCTTCTTCTCTTACATGTAAAAGTGGAAGTTCTACGACTTCACGAAGTTTTTCAATTTGTTCTTTACATCCACCAACATCACTATAAGTAACATCAGGTTTTTCTTCTACTTGCATCATTGTTACCGATGGATCAATCTTTGGTGGTAATGGTAAATGTATCTGATATTTATTTCGATCAACTCTAAATAAATATATATACATATTAATTCTTTTCCTTGTTCATTATTATATTTTACCCGACACGCATTCCTTCTTCGATATCTGTTGGTGAAACAGTATCAGCAAGATCAACAACGAATTTTGCAAATTGTTTTACATTAATTATATATTTGGCATCATCACTGCCTTCATTAATTATTTTTGTACAACGTGCTACTTGTAGTGGTTGTTCACCTAAACGAAGGTAAATATTTGAAAAAAAAATTAAACAATAAACGAATGATTTACTTTGAAGGGCTTGTTTATCGGCGGCTAAATCCCATAATGCTGGTGGTGCAAGACCAGTATCTGATTCTTTAATACCAGATAATTCATTTACGCGTTTTAATATTGTTTGTACATCTTCTTCTGTTTGTTTTATGGCTTTATCATATGGACCAGCTCCCTAAAATAATTTATTTATAAATTTATTTAAATTAAACTACTTTAACTTACATATGATTTTAAAAGTGCGATTTCGGCTTCATCAAGTGCTAAAATAATGACATCATCAATGTTTTATATTGAAATAACATTCGGAATTACCTTTGATTGGTTTATCTTCTTCTTTATCATCTTTTTGTTTAGTTTTACGTTGATCGTCACCAAGATAATCAGGCATTTTAGAATTTGTATTTGTTAAAATCTACAATAAATATGTTATTGAAAAGAAATGAATGAATGAACAAACGACTAACTGAGTGTTAATGAGTCATTTACGAAAATAAATTTTTATCTCGTTTTTATCAATTATATTTATAATAATTTTATTTAAAATTTTTATAAAATAAAAATAAAATCGAATAAATAATTTAATAAAATTAAATCTTTTTGATGGGCGACATCTACAGAAGTTTTGTTACTATAGAAATATGAATTGTAAATGGTATTAGTTGTTATAAAGTTATTTCATAGTTATCGTCCGGAAAAATGACATCTCGAGCTGAAAAAGTAGATCGATTTCCAAATAAAATTAATATAAATGTTACAAAAACACAAAATCTCGTTCGTATCTAATTTATTTAAAACAAAAAAAATCAATAGTTATTAAATTCTGTTTTTTATTTGATAGAAAAGTCCAAGGGCTGAACCATTAACTGTCATTCTCCGTTTTGAATATAATGATGGACAATTTTCCGAATCAGGAAAATTTGATGTTACTGATGGAAGTCCACGACAAGTCGATCATACTGCTGTTTTAGGTATCAATGCTACAGATTCAATACAAGTTGATGATTTAGGACAAAAACCTGTTCTAAGTAAGAATAGATTTAAAACAATTTAACTATGAAACGAATTATTATTATATTTAGTTACATTATTGGAAGCTGCACCTAAAGATAAAAAAGTTAAAGAAGATAAATCAACACCGTTTGGTCAAGCTATACTTGATCTTTGGCCGTTACTTAAAAGTAAATTTTAGTAATATTTTAACTAAAGATATAAATAGTATTTGAATTTTTTTTAGAAGAAACACAATTTTCCGTTACTGTACCAGTTCATGCTATTCCTGGATCATTTCTTGAAACACAAGGAGAACAAAATCAGGTATTATTGAGAGTCAGAACACAATATTTAGATGATATCATTTATTTTTTGCAGCCACATTTAGTTGTCAATGTCAATGTTGAACAACCACTTATTCCTGTTCGTGATCAATTTCATACAAATGCAGCTCATATTACATTAGAAGGTTTATATTCACCACCTGAAGCTTGGCTAGCTGGTGGAACATCATTTGTTTATACAGCAGCATTACCCATTCCACTCAATGAGGATGTAAGTCATTTAAACGATAATTTTCTTTTTATTTTAACATTTTCAACAGAAAGATACAACTGTTGTATTCACAAATGGAACATTACGTGCGCCAGCTGACATAACAAATAAACAAAAACGTTGGCCAGATGCTCGTCGAGTTTTAACTGTAAATGGTACATATATTCCAGGACAGTAAGTTATTAAAACAAACTACACCTAATTTTTTATAAACTCTCTAGTAATATCAATGAAGAATCAATTGATGATGAACAAGGCGAATTACGTAGTAAAGATGATCGAGAATTTCGAACAAATTCAGAAAAAACTAAACCACAAGTGGTATGGAATATTGAACGACGATGTTTTTTACTTCCACATGGAAGTCAATCGTAAATAAAAAGAATAGAATATTTAGAAAACAAATATATATATATATAAATATTTCTAGTTTACAACATCAAATTACACGTGCACCGTATCTAGCCGTTGAAGTTGTTCGTACAACGACTCCAACTGCACCTAGAGGAAAAAAGGTTCTACTTTAATGAAAACTAAAATTGAAAATATACTTTCGAAATTTTTCTTATAGGATGATGATAGTGGTCTTAGTTATCATGGTGTTGCTTATATTGAAACAGCACCACTTCTCTATCCAGGCGGTAAGTAAAAAACAAAAATAAATAATAAAATAAATTTTATCTTATTTTACTATAGCAACACGATCACGAGGTGCATATAAAATTGTACCTTATAATGAAGCTGAATATAAATCAAAAGTAATATTTCATAAAAAACACAGATATTTAATATTATCTATTTTCGTTATTCTATAGACAAAACGATCGAGTAATGTTCTTGATGAAGCAATGCGAATTGCTAATAATTTATTCGATCGTTCATCTTTAACTACAACAAAAAAAGATACAAAATTAACAGCTGATAAACCTGCATCATCAAGTGCATCAGCTAGTGCATCAAAAAAAGTAATTGATTTTATTATTTCATTATCATAGTTAATCAAGACTAAATTCAAGACAAAAATATATTTGAAAATATCTTCTTCGTTTAAAGAAAAAAAGAAAGTCTTCAAAATCACCTAAAATTCAAAAACGTCGCGCTCTATCATTAGAAGAAAGATATACGAAAAAAAGATTTAGACAAGTAACAACTAAATCAAACATGCTATCTTTATTTTGCATATTATTTTGATAATATTAAACAGAAAATTTCAGTTCATTTTTCCTCATTTATAAGAAATTTCATTATCGCTAAGTTAATGATTGTATTTTACAGATATCTTTCAAGGTAAGTTACGATGATCTTTTGATTGCTCTTAAATTATTTACTATAATTTATCGTTCGAATCTTCTACTAGCTACCTTTGCTTTGATTCTGTTTTTCTTGATATGGTTTAATATTTATATATATTTTTTAGAAAGCAGAAGCAGGTGGTGAAGAAGTCGTTGCAACAACAACAGATGCTCAACAATATGTTGATCATAATTCTCATATTACAATTGATATTTCATTTGATCGACCAATTATTGAAAAAAGACAATTAAGTGATTTACGTAGAAAGTACGAAAATATTTTTATTTTTAATAGATAATTTATTTTTTCTTCTTCTAAAGAATATCTGAACTTGTTCCACCACGTCCAAACTATCCAGTCAAAGTAAATAGTTCACAAAAAGCAGTCGAAGATTATCATCAACAAATTAAAAATGTTTGTAGTCTAATTCTTGATGAATATAGGTTTGTAAGAAAAATATTTTGGTTAAATTTTCCTATTTATATATAATATAGAAAAGTATGTAATGATGAAACAAATGCCGAAGCATCTGTACCTAATGATCAAAAGTAAATCTTGTTTTTTTTTTCTATACTATTGATTAAAAATGATTTTTAGACGTCGTAAATTATTATATGAATTAAATTCAACTGGTAAATACTTCGCATTTAAAGAACAACTTAAACATAGTGTGATAAAAATTGTACGAGAAAAATTTCTTCGTACAAGTAAATTTAATAATCCAGATGAACTTCAAGTAAAATCTTGAAATTTAATTTCTTATTTTTGATTAATTCTGTATGTGTTTTAGATATTTATCAGTCAATTATATGTATTTCTTCTTGATGAAATGCATCGTTCATTAAATAAAACATTAAGTATTGAAGAACCTGAACCTGTACCACCATTACGAAATACTGATGCACAATTACGTACATTTGCACTTGAAGCTGAAAGTAATGGAGATTATCTTTTAGCTGCAAATTACTATAAACAAGTAAATTTATTTCTTTTTCTTATTCATAAAAATATGAATAATTTAAATTATTTTTCTAGCGACTTGCACGAAATCCAAATAAACTTCGTGCATGGCTTGATTTTGCTGCTTTTCATTTGCTTGTCAATGATTTAATTAAAGCTGAAGAATGTCTAAAAGAATGTATTGCAATTGAACAAACAAATAGCACTGCGTAAGAAAAAGTTCAAAGTTTTCTAGAAATTACTATCTAAATAAGAATGAAGCAGAGATGCCCATGGCGGCACGGCACATCCACACCACACCCACCCTTAAGTATAACTAAATGTTTCTTTGATTTACAGATTAATGTTAATTGCTGTTGTCAATGGTATATTAGAAAATAATGAACTTGCTGATTTATATTTTGAAACAGTTACAGCTGGAGATAGTGAAGATGTTATTGCATGGACACTTTATGGTATGATAGAAAAATAAGTTTTGAAAAAAAATTCATAATGAATTATTTGTATTACAGGCATTTTTCAAAAACATATTCACAATGAAATCAATGCACAAATAACTTTAGGACAAGCTGAAAAACTTCAACGAGCTATATTAAAAAATGAAGAAGAACAAATAGCGGCAGCAACACACCATGCAGCACCAACAAGTGATGAAAAACGTGAAGAGGAAGAAAAAGATCGCGCTGCTGGTAAAAAATTCGCGATTAATTTTCATTGAAATGATCTCAATTGTTTTATTTAGAGGAAGGATTGAAAGGTTCTGATAATCAATTAAATGTTGCATCAAAAACTCGTATAAGTCGAAGTAGTAAATCAAGTAAACAAAAACAAGGTACTGAAAAAAATAAAATTTATTTCATAATAAAATATTCAAATTTTAATAGATAAAACGAAAACTGAAGTATCAACAGCTCGAAAATCTGTTGATATGTTAGGCTATATCGAACCAGAAAAGACACATACGAAGAAGAGTATTTATCTTAAAGCTGCTGAATTTTTACTTAAATATAATATTGCTACTGTATGAAAAATTTCTTTTTATCATTTATTATTAACACTGAAAAATTTTTTTTTCTCTTTGATTATTAGTGGGCAGAAAAAACTTTAGCTTATGAATTTCTTACAAATGCTGGTAAAGATTATCAAGTTGAAATAGCATTAGCAAAAGCAAAAATACTTCAGCAAGATTTTCCAGCAGCTGAAACACATATTACACAAGCTTTATCAATTGAATATGATAATGTTGAAGCATGGGCATTATGGGGACATGTTAAATATTTACAATTAGATTTCGAAGCTGCTAAAGGTTATTCTTTTTCTTAAAAAATCATAAAAAATAAAGATTTAAATGTGTATTTCAGGTCGTTATCAACGTACATTAGTTTTTGGAGATAAACCATCAGATCTTCATACAGTTTATATTCGACTTGGTGCGATTCTTTTATCTGAAGGAACAGAATCAAGTGTATGTTAAATTCAGTAATATAAAATATATTAGATTTATTTTTCTGTTAGTATGGAGAAGCGAAAGAAGTATTTTTAAATGCATGCCGATTTCAACCAACATGTACAACATATTTAGGTCTTGGTATTGCTTGTTATCGAGTATGATAGAAGATAATTTCTATAGAAAATATTAATCTCTTTATTACAGATGAATCAATATGATGATGCAGAAGAAGCACTTACAGAAGCTAATTTTTTGAATAATCAAAATGCCGGTACGATTTAAAATATATATTTCAATTCTTAAATTTTTTAATTTATAGAGGTTTGGGCTTATCTAACACTTATTTGTTTACAAACAAAACGAAATATTGAAGCAGAACAAAGTTATAAATATGCTATTAAAGTAAAATATATTAATTCATACATATATAGAATCACATGAAATTTTATTTTAGCTCGATCTTCCAGCTGGTCCATTAATGGATGAAATAAATTCATTACAACGTCAAGTTGGTTTTGGTGATCCAAGTTTTTAGAACAAATAATTGATAATTTTTATTTTTCTTTTATAAACCATTACACCATGAGACAAAAAAAAGAGAACTACAATATGCTCTTTACAAAATATACACACAAATTATGTTTTATCTTATTCTTGTTTGTTTGAATTTTTCTCTCTCTCTTTTTGTAATCATACATGCACAAATAATTGAAGAAGAAGAAAACAGATTAAGTGTGAAAGAATAAAGTTTTTCAAATAAAACAATAATTAGAGTTTATGTTGTTTGATTTGGTTGAACTAAAATACAAAAAGAAAGCAAAAATTAGTAACAAAGAAAAAAAATGGAGCGGATTAATAAATGCTTAGCAAAATCAATTATACGAACTTAAATTTCTTCTGAAAAAGAATTTTTTCAAATATTAAGATGAACTTTTTTGTCGGAAATGAATACTTACGTTTTGGCAATCGTTTTACTCTGGAACGTAAATTATATGTTGGAGTAACTGCTGAACTTCCTATATAATACAATTTTATTATAGAAGAAAAAGAAAATTTTTTGTCTACCTTGAGAATTAGCTCCATTATCATTATCTCCTTCTTCGTCAACAGCTGGTAATCTTAATGCTGATAAATCATTCCCACGACGCTAAAAATTTCAAAAAATATTATAAAAATAAATCCTTCATAATGTTTATACTTTTCGTTTTTTGGCTGATGGTGGTTCTGAACAAGTGGACATAGCATCATCATTATCTACAATAAAAATAATCGAGATTATTCTAATATATATATTATTCAATGATTATTGATTACCATCAACTGTTTCGTCAGCATCATCATTGACTGTTGATTGATGACTAAAACTTTGTGAACGCATCTTTAAAATTGAAAGATAGAATCAAGATGAAAAATTTTATTGACAAAAACTTACAATACGAGGTCTCGTTGGTGTTGGTTCATTAGACGACCTAAAAAAAACATGATATGTGCATATATTTGAGCTTATTTAAATTTCTACTTACATATTTCGACGACGTTTTGCTGGTGTTTTTAAATCGACAACAGCCGCATCTGATGAAGTATCATCAATACCCTAAAACAAAAACGTATATTAACAAGTTCGATTAAAAATATTTTATATACCAAATCTTGTTGAATTATAAGTGGTGAAGGAGGTTCGCTAATAAATAAAACGATAAGAATTTAAATAATAATTATAAAAGTATGATTTGTTTTTACCTAATTGGTAAATTATGTTCTTTAGTTTGTCGAGCTTGTTTTTCTTTTAATTGAAAAAATTCTTTTTCTAAATCAATCATTTTTGTTTCCGACTAATTAAATAAAATCAAAAGTAAAACAAAAAGAAATATGAAATAAAATTTACATCAGCAATACGATCATGTAAAATTCGAATATCATTTTCTTTATTTGTTATGATTTCTTTTAATGATGTATTTGTTGCTTGTGAACTATCTAATTCAGTTTTTAATCGAAATATTTCCATTTCAAGAGCTTCTTCCTAAAAACAAGATGAAATTATTTAATTCAAATCATTATAAAAACATTAGTACGAATTTCTTTATAGTATGAGTGACATACATTAAAAGCTCCTGTGGTTATTCCGAGTGTACGGAAGAACTCTGAGCCAAGCCGATCCTTCTATCAACAGCGTCCTAAACTGTAATGTAGCACCTTTCTTCTATAATAACTATGGGAGTAAATTAAACCTTGTCGCGATGTATTGAATTTCCTTATACTTAATACTTTCAATTATGATTATATTTACCTTTTCTTTGAATTCATTTAAACATTTTTGTTTTTCTTCTTGAGCATTTTCAAAACGTTTTTCTGCTTCATCATATTCATTTCGAGTTTCCCGTAATTCTAATAGAATTTCAAAATTAATCAATTATATCTCATTAATTTTTGTTATTTACCTTTACGCATTTCTTCCATTTTTTCTTCATACTCTTTTTTATCTGTTCCCATTTGCTAAATAATAACAAAACAAATGAAATTAAGGAATAATTTCTCAATTTTACTTTTTGAATATGTTCTATTTTTTCTGTTAATTTATTTGTCCAATTTCTTAATTGTTGTGTACGTTCTTCTTCTTCTTTAAGACGATTTTCAAGTGTAGCTGATGGTAAAAGACGTGTTAAAACTGTTGTTGTATCTGCATTACGTAATTTACTTTCCAGTTCAGCAATCTTTAAAAATTTATTTGAAATAAAATTTTAATCAAAAAAACGAAATTTTACTTTAGCTGCTGATTTCATTTGTTCTTCATCAAATTTTAAACGTATCTCTTCACATTGACGTTCTAATTTAACTAAATCATTTTGAGCATCTTTTGCTTTTATTTTCAATGATTCTGTTATTGCAAAATGTTGTTCAAGATCATATTGATGACGTTGTTGTAATTGACGATAAAGAATTTCAAGTTTTGTTAAATTAACAATATGAGCTGGTGTACCATTTGTTAATTCAGTTTGTTTGACACAATCTTTCATAATAGACTAAAGAAGAAAAAAATAAGTTCGTTGAATAAAATCAAAAAAATATTTTACATTTAATTCTTCAACAGATTCTTGTAATCGAGTATTAAGAAGATTTTCTTCTTGACTATGTGTTTTTATTTCCATATCTTGTTTAATACGATCAAGAACTTGTTCTTGTAATTGACTCATTTGTTGTTTTTCTATTTGAAGTTTTTCAATATCAATTTTTAAATTTGATACAACCTATTCAAAAGAATATAAAAATAAAATACAAAAAATTATTTAAAGAAATTTCCTACAGATAATAATTGATTATATTCATATTGAATTAATCGATTTTGTTCTCGTAATTGTTCACATGTTGATTCAGATATTTGAACATCATTAATAAGAGAATTTGAACGTTGAAGACTTTCATCAACAATACGTTGAAAATCATCAATCTAGAAATATAATTTTTTTTATTTAATTAACAAGTAACGCTCATCCGAAGACTCGCTTCGCTTTTACTCGCAGAAAGACATCCTCTTCACATCTACTGGCGGCACCAGTGGCTGATTGAACTAGCCTTTAACGAATTAGTGAAGTGTTAGTACTCTTATACGCAAGAAAATCATTAGTTTATGATTGCCACACTCTGCACTACAAGCAGGAGAACATCTGAATTCCCCGCATCGAAATACCTCTATAAATGTCTTTTTCGGAAAATCGATCTTCGATGTTTTTTTAACCCTACGGACACACAAGTAAGTAAATAATTTAATCTATTAATTACTTTTTGTTTATCAATGAAGTTTTGTTTTTGTGCATGATCTAGTTTTTGTTGAACAAGTCTAAATAAATGATAATAATAAAAAACAATTAGATAAAAATCTTATTCATATCTTACTTCATATTATCATTAATTTTATTAAATTCAATTTCTTTATCATTTAAAATTCTTTGTAAATGTTTAATATTATCTTCAATTGATTTTAAATCATTTAAATTCATATCTGTTTGTATATGAGTTGTATTGGTTGAAATTTTTGGTAAATTATGATTTTGTTCACGATCAAGTACTTGTTTAGCAAGTGATTGAATATTAAAATCTGTTCGTGTTTGATCAAGTTTTACACGAAGTTGTTCAAGATTTTCTTTTAATGAAAATTCACGTTGTGTTATTTCATTAATCTCTTTTGTATGTGTTTCTTCTAATTCAACTATAAATCTATCTGTTTCACGTATATCAGCTAATGTTTTCATATACTGTTCATAAAGTTCTTCAATACTATTAAATGTCACAACACCTTGTCGTACAATTATTTCATTGTCCATCATTGGCGGTAAAGAACGTAATTGTCCTTTAATATTACCATTTTCAAGTAAATGAAATATTTGTGCACGCATATTATTTCTATCATCTAAACAATCATCATAATCTCGAAGTTTTTGTTGTAATTGTCTATCTAAATCAATTTTTTCTTTAAATAATGTTTGTTTATCACGTATAGCTTGTTCATATTCTGTTTGACGATTATCAGCTAAATATTGTAAACGTTCATTTTGAATTTTAAATTGTTGTAATTCTGATTGTGTTTGATGTAAAAGCTATTTGAAAAGAAAGAAAACTATTTTATTTTTATTTTGAAAAATTAAAATATACATTTTCATTATAACGTCGTTGAGAATCATTTTTTTCATTAAGATTCGTTAATGTTTCATTTTGTTTTTGTAAAAGTGCATAATCAACAAGAATCTTTGAAAAGAAAAAAATGAAATAAGAAGAAAAATAGGAAGAATTTTAATTACATCAAATAGACTTCTCGATGATTGATAAATGGCAAGAATTGATGCACTATTTGGATCTGTTTCAATTGTACGTAATTCATCATTGGTAAGAGTTACTAAAATAAAAAGTTAACTATTATCTACAATCTTTTTCTATTTGAAATTACATTTATCAGGCATTTGTGATCGACATGATTGACTGATATCTTGAATACGTTGTTCAAGTTCTTTTTTATCTAAATAAATACGATAATATTGATAAGATCAAATGTATATTTTATTACCTTTATCATTTGCTTCAAGTTTTTGTTCATATTTGGAAATCAATTGTTGAAGACTAATGATTTGATCATCTTTTGCATTTGATTCATTCTAAATAGGTGTTGGTCATATGAATAAAAACAAAACATGAAAATAAAATTTACATTTATTAATTGTAATTCATGTTTATGCCTATCGACTAAATTTTCTCGTGATTGTTCAAGTTCTGTATTGCGTTTTTTAAGCTAAAATAAATCTATCAATAAAAATAATTTCATATAGAATTGTGTATACATCATCTAATTCATAGGAATGATCATGTGTCTGTTGTATTGGTGTTGTATATTGATTGTGTTTTTGATTTTGAAGTGCTATATTTTGTCGATTTAATTCATCGATTTGTAAACGTGATTCTTCATAATATTGTGTTATTTGATATAATTTTTGTTCTAATATACCTTTTTCTTCTTTAAGAATTGTAACATGGATTGTACTTGCACTTTTTTCTGCCTAGAATAAGACTTTGTTTTGTCAAATTTATATATGAAACAGAATAACAAACTTCAGCAGCAAGTTTTTCTTGTTTTAATTTTTGAGTATTCACAAATAATTCATCTTTTTCACTACGAAGTTGTTTTAAACTTTGATTAAGTGTATTTTTTTGTACTAAATATATAGAATTTTTTTTTTATGAAAAAATGATTAATAAATGAATTACAAATGGCATCAGTAAGAAGTTTTTCTTTAGCAATTAATTCCGTTCGAAGTAAACCACGTTCATTAAATATTTGTGAAATATCATTTTGAAATGTTTCCTAATAGAATTAATTGAAAGATTTAAATTAAAAATTTTCAAATACTTACTGCTAGATCTGACATATTAGTAGCAAGGAACTATAATCAATCTTTTGAACAACAAGATTAATGAAAGAAACTAACAATGAATGAACAAATCGACATGGACATGGGTAAGTCGTTTCACCTTAAAAAAATTATCGTTTCTCCAGTCTACAAGACGTTCATTAGAGGACGCCACTTGTTGACTATGAAAACTAAATAAATTCAAAAGAGTTTAAGATGTAATATCACAACTGAGAAAAATCAGATTAATATGAGAAAATTATTTTAGATTTAATTAATCTCATTATTAATAGTTTATTGAAGGTACAAAATTTTAAATTTCAATCCAATCAAGTGAATATGAATAATAGAAGTTGTCTATTATAATATAGATGATATCTGATCTATACCCAGGTCGAACAATCCGGCACGGAAACGGCCGGTTCCGTGGTATTCTGGAGATTTCATGGAACCAGTATTCTCGTTGAAGGGATCCAGTGACCGGATTTATCTCACTTGAGCTGGAACCGACAAGAACATGTCAAAACCGGCAGCCGGATACGATTACCTCACTTCTTGCTTCAGGAACCATCGTTCTGGATATAATGAAGAAAAGAAAAAAAATATCGAGGTAACCTTTCGGAAAAGTCTTTAACGAAAAGATAAATTTTACTATATTTCAGACGACTCTTTGTAGGATACACTTTAATTTACAGGAAAATATCGGCGAACCAAAATGATAAAAGATGATTTTGAATCAGCAACGAAAATACGATATTTGGGTGTGGGTGTAGGCGAGTTTGAGTAGGAATGTGCGGTGTCGGTAACAATATGGAAAAAATTGGCACTGAACTCGCTGAAGTACTGACGATCTCGATGCACCAACGTTTATTGATATAAATATGTCTGACATAGTAGTAAACGTCGGTGCATCGACATCATCAGTGCTTCAGTGAGCTCGGTCTCAGTGATATCGGTGATCAGTAAGCTGGCATCGTGCATCCACAGGTGAGGGTGGGTATAGGTGCGTGTTGCTGTCTCTTTTCTTCGCACACGCCTACACCCACACGCCCACACCCTTGGTGATCACATTGTAGAATCATGTGAAAATTCATCACTATTATCGATTAATAAAATAATAATTGATCGAATTAGTGGTATTATATCTTTAAATAACATTCACTTATTATATAACTTATTTTTATATACTTTGTAGAAATATATCCCAACAGCTTACCGTGCAACACTAACGAGCAGTGATGAAAATATTTTGTAAAATATTTACAATAATATTTTTTTTTGCTATACAATTTATTCTAGTTTGTTTTCTTTTAACATTATCTGAAAATATATTTCTTTATTTCTTCTAGATATAAACCTTCTATAAAGTCAAAAACAAACGTTGCTATAGGATGGCTGGAACAACTGTAAACGGACCACAACCTCCATATAATTTAGTGGTTGATGATGCTGAGGGTATGGGTGTGTCTCTTCCCTTAACTCGGACCCACACCCTCTGGCTCAAATAAGATAAATCCGATCAACGAGAATACTGGTTTCATGAAACCTCAGTTATACCACGAACCGGCCGTTTCCGTGCCGGATTGTTCGACCTGGGTAAAAGTAAAAAACATCGGAAAACATTTTGTTTTGCTGTTAACAATAATAAATGTCCAGATAAACATATTCAAATGAACGCAATCGTACAAAAGAATTTGCGTATGTTCTAATGGAGCGATAACAACTAAAGTTTTTCCATGTATTGCACATGGTAAAATTATACATGTGTCACCTATTGGTGATACTTCAAAAGGAGTAATAAGTATTTTACCTCAAGCATATTTAAAACATTATTTTCGTATACGTCATCGACGGGTGTGGGTGTGGTGTGTATGAGTGTTTGGGGTGTGCGCTGGTGTGTCTTCTCTTAGTTCGTACCCACATTCACATCCAGAGCCCACGCGAAGGGTCTGAGATTCGGGGAGGGAGGGAGTGGTATAGGGGTTTTGAAAGACTGCAAAAATCCTTACGAAGGTGTAAAAGGTTATTTAGAGCAAAACTTCTCCAAAGCACCTCCTGTCGCTGAAAACAAAATTTCCAATTATTAGGAGGAGGTGTAGACTCTCAGCTCCCCCGCCCTTCTCGCGGGTGCTCCTCACACCCACCCCCACTAACACACCCGATATTGATTGTATTTTTTTTTGCTTGTTTGTTTTGACTCAATTTTATCTGTGTATTTTTAGTATTATATTCAAATTTTGTGTTTTTTTATATCGATTGATACAAGCAAAATGAGATAGAAGTGATTTTTTTCCAATGATGGATAATATTTAACGTAATGTTAAGAATGAAATTTTTTTTTTTATTCAGAATCTATGTGCTTTTGTCAAAAGTAGTGTTATTGCTTTTAGTTTAATAGAAAAAAAGATACATACATATATATACATCTGTGTACTATTTAAATTTATTAATACATGAGGGTTAAAAATAAATTACTATCTTCATTCAATAAATTAAATCAATCGAATAAATGAATATATTGAAAATTCTCACACGCCTAATTCCATGATAATAGATTGCATGGCAATTATTTTCATCGTAAGAACTATATGAATCATTTCTTATATAGTTTTATTTTGTATGTATCTTGATGGTGTACGTATGAATGGAAAAGAATACGCACACTCTCATCCAGACTCTGTATGTATGATCACAATAATGTGAGATTAAACATAAAAGGAAAGCATAACAAAAGAAAATATGTATGATCTAAGATATAACATCCGAAAAGAAAAGATGTTCGAGCGATTTGAATATGTGATATCGGATCCAGGGAATGAATAAAAGAAAAGAAAAAAGAAAATATATCGCCAAGCCTTCGAAAGAGTATTTAGCGAAAAGAAAATTTCACTACATTTCAGACGACTCTTTGTATAATACACAATAGTTTACAAGAAAATGTCGTCGAACACAAAAGGTAATAGATGATTCTGAATCAGGAATAAAAATGCGATATTTACAAGTAAAATATTTTGCATAAAATTAAAAAAAAACTCTATTTAATTTTATAGCTTATTGATAGATTTCGTTTATGGAATGGAAATTTACCATTTAAAACAACAACAGCACGTCTAAGTCATCACGAAGTTCAATATATTGACAATCATGAATTGTAACTCGATCAAGTTACTACTGCTCCAATGCCAAAAATATCTTTAAATGTTTCTATAAAAAGTAAATTTATTTCAAATTACAATAGAAAAAGATAAATAGCTATTTTTGATTATTGTGGTTTTTAGCTTATTGGCTTGCAATTAAAGGAAGACAATCGACAATTAATGAAAATCCGAGTACTATTTCAAAAGCTGATCTCACAACAGATTCATTAGATCTTGTAAGATTTTCAAGAAGAAATGTCAAGTTTTTGATATATTTTATTCTGTTTTCAGATGAAATCGTTAACAAAAAAACGATGTAATCTTAATGCATCGAAAATTAGAACTACAAACCCAGATGAATTTTCTTTCATACATTAAAAATTTCTAGGAACAACACATTTTTTACACAGAAATAACTGAAGTATGTGTTAGTTCGGAAGAACAAAAACGTCACGTATGTATTTTTCATTACTCTAAAACAGTTTATTTTTTTTATTGATCTATTTTATATTTTAGGTGGTAGTCTATCGACAGAAGCAGATCTTTCTTATATTTTATCATGAATCGTCTTATTTATTTCTGAAGGTGTTAAAGTTAATTTGGAAATACTAATCTATTCAGTGAAAATGACCATTGTTTTACTTGAAAACGAGTCATTATATTGTAAAAAATATGTAAGTATTGAAATCTTTTGTTTATAAGAAATAAACATTTTCTATGAATAAAAGTAGTTTTTAGTTTCATCAATTATTTCCAGCTATTATGTCATGTATTCTAGCAGACTATCTTTGTGTTAGACCAGATACAGATAATCATTGGGCATTACACAATTATACTTCGTTATATTGTACTCAAATGGTTTAGTAAATATAGAATTTAAACAAATAAAAATTTCATTTGTTATCATGTTTTTTTTCTTAATTAGAATATTTTCAGCCACTAGTTATAATTTACGAAATTGTATTGCACGAATATTTCCTCGAAACTTTTCATAATGAACGTTTACCACTTGTTATTGACTATGGAGTACTTGATGGGTTATGTGAAATGGATCAAAAAGTAAATAGATAAAATATAAAATCAAATAAATTCTGTTCATTTTAATCTATTTAGATAATTGGTGAATTAGTATTTCCTATAATAAGAGCACTTGGTGATCAAATTGTAAAATCATGTGAAAATCCATTACTATCACCGATTGATAAAATAACAATTGCTCGAATTAATGGTATTATATCTGTAAATAATATTTATTTATTTGTATAACTAATTTTTATATGCTTTGTAGAAATATATTCCAACAGCTTATCGTGCAACACTGATGAAGTGATGAAAATATTTTGTAAAATATTTATGATAATATTTGTTTCTTTTTTTATTCAATTTATTCTAGTTATTTTTTCTTTTCTTCTCATGTTATAATATGAAAGTATATTTTACATTTCTTTTAGATAATACTCTAAAACACTCAAAAAGCAATGGATGGATCCAATCAGTTAACTATTGATGATGATAATAATAATGTCGTACGAATATCACAAAAAACAATTGATAAAGTAGGATTAATTCGTGGGTGTGGGTGTGGGTGTGGGTGTGGATGTGGGTAGGTATAGATGTATGCTGGTGTGTCTTTTCTTAGCTCACGCCTACACCCACACACCGACAACCACACCCACACACCAGCAACCACACCCACACCACCATCCACTCACCCACACACCCACAACCACACCACCATCCACACACCCACACACCCACACACCCACACACCGACAACCACACCCACACACCAGCAACCACACCCACACCCACACCACCATCCACTCACCCACACACGCACAACCACACCACCATCCACACACCCACACACCCACACACCCACAACCATACCACCATCCACATCCTAATGATGAAATTAAAAAATATGAAACATTTGGTAAAACATTAGAACAACCAGGTGGTACTAGTGGTAACCCACACCCACCCAAGTTTTACCGATTCTGGATACTATTCAAGGGATAAATGGTAACTTATCTGCATATTATTTGAAGCCATATTTTAATACGGGTGATCGACTAGTATGTCAAGGTGATGTTTTTGGTATAGGTGCAAAAACACGTAATATCGAATTTCTACCCAGGTCAAACAAGCGCGATCGTAAACGGTCGTAAACGGAAAAATACGATCTTTTACGAAGTTCGTAATCATCAACCTGGGTAGCTATTGACATAGAACCAAGCCCATATTGTCAGGTTGTAACTGGTATAAAAATACATTATGGTAATGCAATTACACGTGAAGAAATAAACGCGTTATTAAATGATATCAGTTACAGTGATATCAGTGATCAGTAAGCTGGTATCGCACATCCCCAGGTGTGTGCGGGTGTCTCTTCTTTTAGCTCACACCCACACTCTCAAGAACAACAACATAATGAACGGGATGGAGTAGTATTAGTACATGAAAAACATTTCGCAGCAGCGATGATAGGTGCTGAGCCATCAATACGTCGTGATGAAATTCTGAAAGATGAAATCATCACGGGTGTAGTCAAACATCTACGTAACTTAAGTCAACCACAACAATTACAAGATAATGCTGGTGATAATTGGTGGTCGAAATTAATCTGGTGATGGAAACAATAATGATGACGATTTATAGTTTTCAACAACAAGAAACTTTTTCGCGTCATCATATTCTAGTTATTAATGCATATATTTTCATTATATTTCTCAATGCAGATTAATATTTCTCATTGCTGATATATATGATATATATGCACTATTTTTTTTTCATTGTTAATCCCTTCAGCGTCAATTTTTTTGTTAAACTAACTAATAAAATTTTTTAAAAAAATACCTTTTTTAAACTTGAGGTTAGGTGCGATGAGTAAGGGCGTTGTGTGTATGAGTGTCTTAGTATCATCTTATACTCACCCACACCCACACCCACACCCTCAAAGAAATCTATGCATGAATATTTCAGAAAATGTTTCTATTAGAATTTTTCAATACATATCGTAGATGACGTACTTTCATCTCGTCATTATTACAGTTGTCTGAGACTATCATCAGAAGAATGAAATTTATTCATTATGACGAAGTAGTGATTTTACTTTGGTAGATAATCTCACTATTATGATATTGTTATAGTCGATTATAAGAAATGAGCCGTATTCAGTTAGATAAATAAAAGCATTATATTTCATTTGTATATTTACACATTTAAAAATATTAATCAAATTATGAGAGTTTATGCGTATGTATTGATGGGAAGAAAAGCGTACTTCTGTGTATCGCTGAAATGTAGCAACACGAATAAACAGAATAAGTTGATGTTTTCCACTATTTTTCTAATCGACACAAAATTCACGAATTTCAATAAATTTTACAATAGAATACTTGTTGTATTTTATATGAGAAGCGATAGCTTTGTAGGATGAGACGGTTTTGTGGAGTTCACGATTTCATAGATCGTAGATCTGAATCTCAGCTATACCAAATTAGTTGTATGTGTGACTATAATCGATGTATACTTTGCATTATTGTACAATAGAAGAAGAGACGAAGTATAAAATGAGAAAAACAGAATTATCAACAATGTCTCACAGATAAAAATGAAAAATAGAGAAAACTATTTAGTTTTTACTCGTACTCATCATTATAATTAAGTGTTCTACTTTTGTGCTTTGAAACATATATTTCAGTATCACATAGGTAACAACGACAAACATGCATGGTGTAAATCAACACTATGAATAAAATCATATAGACTACTGAATTCTGTTTGATCATATTCATCTATTGAATCTCGTTGTAATTGTTGACTTTCTTCTAATGTGCCCGATGTCCATTGATATTTAAATATGATCCTGCCAAGATAATCACATCCTTCTGGTAATACACTATCTTTTGGTACTATTTGATGTCTTCCATATTTTTTCATTGAATCAACTGCTTCTAAACACTCATATGGATGAATAATATTTATATCTGCTACTTTCTCTTGTTTTTGATAATAGTTAGTATACCAAATTTCATTGATCTCGCGAAGTATTTCTAATCCATGTAATTTACCTTCTTGCCAATGTCGTTCTAAATAGTAAACCGATGAACTAGGTCCACCAACACGATGATCTGTTTGTACACATTCTTCTAAACCATGACGTTGAAGATGTTGACCATAACCAATAACACTTACACGTGCATCTATATTCCACATGATAAATCGAACATTCAGTATTTCAATCTTACGTGTAAAACGTTTTTTCATAAGTGATTTCAATCGAAGAGCTTCATAAGACCATTGACGATTAATTAACGATTGTGATAGATAATCCTTTGGTGTTTGACAATATAATAAAATCAAACGAATAATTTCATGTGGTAATACAATATTATTAGATGACATCTATAATGAAAACATTTCAAAAAAGAAAGTGTTTTTATTTCTTTTAAAATATGTCAAATGCAACAAGTAGTTTAAATCTATAATAGTACAATAGATATTTCATCATCTCAGTTAAAATTATTTTTTTTTATTAATCTATGATTCACTATTTTCTAATTAAGATTGTTGCTACTGATTTGAAACTAAATATAATGACTACTTATGAAATAATTTAATATTACCATATGTTGAAATTACTTTTTTTTTATAAAGTAATATTTGCAACACACGCCATGTTTTTTTTTGCATTCTGTGTCAACTGTAAAAATAACAGAAACTATGAAGAAAAGAAGAATTTCATAAGAATTAAATATAAATAATATTAAATCTTTTTCTAGAGATAAAAATAAATTTTTTTGGCATATTAACTTCTCATGAAATATTAATGAAAATATTTTTCTTGAGGGTTTTTACCTTTGCTGTAAATATTTAACGAATAGATCAATATTTATGATAAAAAATCAATTAATATAATCAGGAAAAAAATATTTCAAGCTATTGGCATTAATTTAGATAACAAAACAATCTTTCTTTTATTATAAATCATTATTACTCAAAATATATGACATATAGAATCACATGTTATCAAATTCTCTTTAAAAACTATACGATATAATTGATATTGTTAATAGAAAATAAAAATACAAAATCTTTATAATATTTTAATCGAGTGAATTGTTTAGAGATTAATTATTATTATTATATTGAATATTCTTGAAAATATATTAAAATTCTTTTAATTTAGTTTTTGGTTATAGTATATCAATTAAACCTGATATCGAAGGACAGTAGATGGCGTATTTTATTTATAACAATGTAGAAATATCAAATAATCAGATCCTATTGGTCTGTATGTATCTAACCGTTTGATCTAGCAAATAGATAGATAGGAATTGCTTGTTTGTCAACAAAGGTTTGAAGGATATTGTACGTTCCTAATATTTGAAAAAATGTGATAAAAATTTATTGAAAATAAATTTTTTTTAGGGTTTGAATGGATCAAGATTTTGATGATGAAGATCTTCGTTCGTTATCTGAGCGTGTTTTACCATTAACATCTATATCATATGCAAATAAAAAGAAAAAGACTAATAATAATAATAATAATAATAATACATCTTCTCATGATAATAATCAATCGATAAAATCAGAAAAAAAACTTTCATCTATTAATCGAACTGTTCATGATACTTTACCCAAAACTGGAACTATTGGTGATATAATACATTTAAATAATGGTGTAAGAAAAAAATTTAATGGTACATCATGGCGTCGTATGTGTTCAAAACCAAATTGTCCTTATTATAACCAAAAACAAGGTCTTTGTAAACCTTGTTTACTTCAATTTGAAGAACAAAAAATTTTATCAACTGACGATAATTCGAAGAATAAAGATACTATATTATCTGAAGATAATATATCAACGAAACAAAATGATCCGAAAGAAGGTGATATTATAACATTATCCAATGGTATACGAAAACGATATGATGGAGAACAATATCAACGTATCTGTGCTGATCCATCTTGTGCAAAAACTGTTGATGATAGTGTTGATTATCAAAATGGGTTAGTTACAAAAGAAAAAGAATTTATATAACCATGAAAATCTAATATTTTATTATTAATTTTAGTTTATGCTCATATCATTATGATAAATTACATAGTAAAGATTTATCTGAATCTGAACTTTCTACAGATACTTCCGTGCTTTCATCTCCATTATCTAAACGTCGTTGTCAAGATTCTTCTACAGAAGTACCGGTGCTTTTTAATGTTCAATCTTCCATTGCAAAAATATCTGATCGTCTTTCAATTGCATCTATTCCGCCATCTGTCGATATTGGAAACCCAAAAAAAGGTGATATTATTGAAATGGTAAATGGTACACGAAAAAAATTTGATGGTGTTATTTGGCGTAAAATTTGCTCAATACCTGGTTGTTTGATAGCTTCACAACGAAATAATTTATGTCGAAAACATGTTTCTGTATTTGATAATAAATCAAATAATGAATCAAGTATGGAACCTAGCGAATTAAAATTTACTTCATCTATGTCAACATCATCAAATGACGAAAAAAGAGGTATATATATATATATAAAGAGATTAGTATTCAAATGTTATACCATAATTTATATGGAGTATTTTTAAGAAATAGAAAGTGACAGTTATCATAGATTTTTCCAGTAAATAAAAAAAACGACATTTTTAAAAATTGTTTCAGTTGTTATATAATATTTAATAGTAAATATTTTTTGATTAACTTATGTTTTCTTAGAAATTCAAAATGCAAAAAAGAATAATGAACCTATGGATATAAAGGATGAGCAAGATACTGATAATACATCAGGTTGATATTACATTCTCGCGTTTTTCGTTTTTGTTATTAGTATGAATAATTTTTTAGATGATCATAGTGAACAACAGAGCAAATATCATCAAGATAACAATACTGATAATAATACTAATCGTAAATTTGCCAATAACATTCCTTCAACCCGAAGAAAATTTTCCACAAGTAAAAATTTTTTTTTTCAAATCAAATTTTGATAAATATATATCTATTTATATAGGTTGTTTAAAAAAATGGTTACAACAACATCGTAGTCATCCATATCCAAGTATTGAAGAAAAAATTGAATTATCAGAACAATCATCTATGACATTTGATCAAGTAACAAAATGGTTTAATAATTCACGTGCTATTCTTCGACGAGATCAAATTAAATTACGACACTCATCGGATAGCGCTCATAGTGACGATGGTGATGATGAGGAGGATAACAATAGTGATGATGAAATCATACAGGAAAATAAAGAATATTCAGATACTAATGATACAATATCATGCGAAGGTAAAATAAAAAAATAATCTTATATTTGAAAAAGAAATAAAACTAAATTCTAGTTCATCATTCAATATCATTAATGAGTGATATCTATAGTCGTTCAATTGGTATACAATGTAATCCATCAACTGCAAATCAAGTTACATTAACAGATACATCTACGATGGTTAATGATGAAGATGATTTAACATCTGATCGTACAATTAAAATTTTAACACCATCCGAACATGTACTAAAATCAATAAATAGTATGAAACTTAGCAATAATCAAGGCTTTCTAATTGATAATATTGAAACTAAAATAGATGGAGATACTGGTAATGATCATGAAATCGTTGTTTCAAGTACTTGTCTTGATGATGATCAACTGGTAATTATTTTTTTTGAAGACTTATAGAGATTTCATGTAGAGTTTATTGAACAGTTAGAGTCAATAGTAATAACATTTCTTTCAAAATTTTGGTATTTTCGATGTATGGATTAAAGTCTCTGATAATCTTCTTATAGACATTGGATAGTTTCATGACAGCTGTTGCTGCAGGAAGCGGATAAAGCTGTACGCAAGATTAGGAGCTTTTTAATCTCGACTGTATTAAAAATAACTTTTAAATTTTAAAAATAATATTACGCCTGCGAAAAGGAAAAATGAGATTATTAAAAAACAGAAATAAATGACATAAAGCCTGATATTTTTCCTAGAAATTAATAATAGATTCTATATTAGAAACATTTATTTTCTTATTTTTAGACACGATTACAAGAATTTTGCTCACAATTTCATATAAAATTATCGAATATTGTTGATAAATATACAACACATTTAATAACTGATGAAGAAGGTGAAACACTTGTTTGTCCATTATCAAAAAAAGTTATTCAAGCAATTGCATATCATCTATATATTGTAACCTACCGTTGGATTGATGCTTGTTTAGAAACGAAGAAACTTATCAATGAAAAACCATTTGAAATACAAGGAGATTTAACATTATCATCTGATCATTATGGTTTGATTGTTGTTATATTTTGTTTTTGTTAAAATTATATATCTTTTTTTTTGTTTGTAATTCCTAAAGGTATGCAACGAAGTCGTCAAAGTGTTTTGCCATATAATTTACCGAAAACATTATTACTAGAAAATTTTTCTATTATGTTAAAATGTGATGGTTGTCAAGGTTTAATGAATAATGATGAATTCATTGAAATGATAAAATTATGCGGAGCTAAATATACGACTGATTCACATTTTTCACGTTTTCAAGCAGGTCTCAAACGTGTTGTTCTTTGTGAAAAAGAATATTTAATTAATCGAAAAGAAATCTATGAAAAATGTATTCATGCTGGTGTTTATTTTGTAACACCTGAATGGTAAAAATATCAGATGTTGTTCTTTTTTTATATCTCATTTAATTTCAATAGGTTTCTCGAATCATTGGTTCAATATTGTGTTCAACCATTTCAAGAATATGAAATAACACCATAGAACATCTATAGTTTTTTCCATTTATTTATTGTCAGATTTCCAATTCACACATATAAAACAATTGTTTTTATAGTATTTCTTATTCTTTCTAGAAAAAAAAGTAACCAACAAGCTAATAGTGTAGTGAACATTTAACTATGATTGTTTATGTATATATATAGTTATATATTTAAAGATTTGTATGATTTATATCTTCAGATGTTAGATAAAATTACTCAACGTGATCGACAACAAATTAAAAAATCTACGACACATCAAAAGAAAAAACTAGGTATATAATATCATTTATTATCGAATAAAATAATAAATGTTTTGTCCTTATCGTTAATTACTTGAGATTTATTCTATTTTGATCTTTAGTATAAGTACAAAATAGTAATTAAAAACAAACATTCTTTTTCATGATCTTATTCTATGTATCTTTAAGTACTCAGTCTTTCAATGCTCTTAAACATAGACATACTAATAACTGTTTTCTAATTCTCAATTAAATCTAGGTATGAACCTCGAGAATCCTTAGCAATTGTTATTTTCGTATATAAATATATTGTGTTCAGTTTACTTTAATGTTTAGATTACTCTCAAATAAATACATGTGATAAAATAATCGAATTAACAAATGAACAAGTACATGCTGCTCTAATATCTCTTATAACAATTGATAAACAAAATCGAACAGTTGCATCTCGTAAACGCCGTCGAAATAAATCAATAGAAAATGTCAACAAAAAACATAAACAAATCTATCATGAAATTATTTTATCGAATACAAATCAACCAGAAACAATTGTTCTTGCTACAAGTGCTCTTAATACTCAACAAATGGTTTGTTAATTTTTTTTATTTATCTATTTTTGTTTGAATTTAATTTAATTTAGAAACAAATTAAAAAATTTGTTTTACTTTTTAATTGTCGATTATTATTATTGGATGATAAAACAATATTTAATCATACAATAACACATTTAATAACAGATGAAATTGGACAAAATGATTCACTTATATGTACATTAACCAAAAATGTTGTTTGTGCTATTGCTCAACATTGTTTTATTCTTTCTTATCGATGGATTATTGAATGTTTAAAACAAAATACAATTATCAATGAAGAACAATATGAAATCGAAGGTGATAATATTATTTCAACAAAACATAATGGTCCACGTCGATCACGTTTATCAAAACGACCATTATTACCACTGAACCATTTTAGTAAAAATTAAAACAAAGAACATTAATATTAAGATTTTCCATTTTTTGTTTGTTTTAGTTATGATTAAAGGTGATAATCGACATTTTTTAGATTTTACAAATACAGAATTAGGTGATATAGCTTGGTTAGCTGGCGGTATTTATATAGAACAAAATCGTTTTCCAAATACGGTTTTTCCTAGACAATGTTTTTTATTAATTGAAGACGAAGATATAAGAAATAAAGTGAGAAGAATTTTTTTTCTATTTCTTTAATTAAATTTCCTTAAGACTAGAAAAAAAAAATTTCTACTATACTTTGTCAGACAAAAAATAAGAATGAATATTATTGTAGTTAAGGCGGAGAATCTTTAATTAGAATCTTTAGCTTGTTTTCTATACGATCATAATATCATGTTCTTACACAGTCTACTTAGTCCATTGTTTTTTTTATAATATTGTATTGTATTTGTTCAATCTTAAGTGAATATTAAATTACAAGCATTATAGAAATGCTTTGTATGAAAAAGATCTATAATTAATGATGCTTTACATCTGGAATAATTATAAGTACTATTTATAGATACTAGTTATCAGGATGGTAGTTGAGAGTACATTGTTTTGTTACCTTCTTTTTTCTCTCTGTTTAGTTTACCGAATGATTTACTCTTTTGACTTTGCCTACATTTATATAATGAACTTTACACAGAAAGGAAAAATATAGTGTAGTCAATAGAACACAGTATATAGGAAAGTAATAGAGTATAAAATAGAGGTTAGTAAGTCGGTAAAATATTTATTCATTGAAGTTATTGGTAATTTTTGACTAAGTGCATCGAGAGGGCTTTAAGATTCACTGAAGCGAATCGTTATCAATCATGTTTTTCTACTGAAACGAAATAGTTATACATATATCACTGTAAGAATTACCACCTAACAAAGATCAATCAAATGCAATCTGGAATAAAAAAACTTAAAGTAAGATTTTAATTTTTATATTTTTCTACAAAAACTCTACAATAAATATTGTATTCTTCATTGTGAAAATGCAATCTGTTTATTCTCATTACTTCTATCAATATTGATTTTACTCTATCGTTTGTCTTCTTGTATATACTTTGTTTTTTTTCTTCTCATATAGTTACTATTAGAAATATATTTTTGAACTCAGGCGTGCAACCTTTTCTTAATATACCAACGGAAGTAATTAAGTATAACATATATATATATAGATGTACTAGAATTGTGAAATGAAATATATTATGTAAAGTACGTTCTATATTTATATATAAGATCTCTGTTGGGATTAACAAATATTTTCTATTAAAAATGAATATTTGTCGTAAAAATAAACTTAATTAAACACATTATATAAGATTAATATTCTCTATTGCGCTAGAGGTATTCATTATTGTCTGGTCTATTAATTTAATTCTAATAGAGAGAGTTTGTCTGACCTAGATATAATAGAAATCTTTTTTTATACATCCATCCTGTTCTTTTCTTTGTCATCTGCTAGAAGAAAATAGACTAGAGGAGATGTGGTATTTTTGATTCTTTTTGATGTCAAAAATAAGTAGACATTTTTCTTAAAATAAGCTTATTTTCTAGACTATTGTTAATAATGATGAAGGTTAGTTACATGTAATTTATTTTTTTTTAGAATATGTTTCATCGTTGTATTGATAAAGGTTTAAAATTTCTTCGAAGTGAATGGTTAATACGTTCAATTGTTGAATATCGTATGGCTAATATAGTACAATATCATTGTGATCCATTTGATACTATTGATCGGTCTGAATAATTTCTCTCTCTCTCTTTCTTGTTTTTTGTGTATTTGATTTATGTAAATATTTCGTATGTTGATAATAATCCGGTGAAAATTATTGTAGCTAGTCAGATAGGAAACAAACAGGGATTTGGGTATTTTCATATATAACTATTTTTGTTGAACATTATTATTTGTGTTATTATTATTATTGTTTTTTTTCTTCTTCTTCTTCTACTTTTGCTAGATTTTCTAAATTGAATAAAGATATTTTTCATCTATATTTTTGTCTAGTTTATTATTTAGGTTTATTAAAAAAAAAAAAGATAATTTTTACTTATTTTTTTGTCATAGATAAATCACGCACACACACTTATTATTGACATACAACAGATGTTTATTTGATGTTATATAATTATTTAGTAATCTCCATGCATTTTCATCACTATTGCTTTTCTAGTGTTGCTGTTGTTGTTATTTTTTCTTTCTTGCTTTCTTCTTATTGTTCTTATATAGATATATATGTTCGTTGGAATGCTTATGCGTGTGCATCTCTTTCGGCTTATCTGTTTGCTTACGCATTATTGTCTATTCTTTTAAGTTTTTTTATGTTATTATTGACGTAGTTTCTTTCTTTTGACTAGTTCGGAAATATAGCACTACTGTTATGAGTACGCGTGTGTATGTTGAATAAGAAAAAAAGACAGAGACAGAGAGAGAGAGAGAGTAATAAAGAAAGAAACGAATGTAGACAAGTCGATAGGAGAGTAATAGAGAATCTATAGAACAAGAAAGAAAAAATATAGGAGAGGAAAAGAACGTAACAAAAAGGATTTTGACCTCATTCTCCGTGTTTTTTTTTTCTTTCGCTTTATAGTACGAACGAACTTCGACGTCTTATCATTTAAATATTGTTTGATTGTGATAGATTTTTTTATTGTTATAAAGAACTATATGTCAAAAAGTAAACATAACCATCGAGAAAAAAAATGGAACTTATTAAAGAAGTAAGCATTATTTGTTTTTTTTCTCCTCATTTTTTTCTTCTTCTTCTTCTTCTTTTTCTTTCTTGTTCGATAACAGAAAAAACCCTAAGCTAAACTAGCATTCTCTTTCTTCTTTATTCTTTCGTGCTAGACAGATACGCATCCAAGTTCAAGGATGTTATAAGTAAGTCTGAATAGGAAAGAAAAATATGTTGTCTTCAATGGAATATTAGAAAGAAATTAATAAATACAAAAGAAAATATATATATATTCGAATAGAAAATTTTTTCTTATTTACAAAAGATCAGGTGAGACAATTATATTTTTTTTTTATTATACGTGTCTGGTATTTTTTTTTCTTCGAGTGATTAAAACACGAAATAAAACAGAACAAGAAATTCATTCACATTTTGCGTACTAGTTATCTATTGGATGAAAAATGACAGATGTTCTTTATTTTGATTGACATATAAATGTAAACGAGATACCTTTTTTTTCTTCTTCTTTTATAAAAACGATACGCTTAAGGTAACAGACATGCTTCAAATGCTTTTTTTCTACCTTCTATTCAAAAATCAATTTAGTTCTTACAATGCTTGTTCTTTTTACCCTATTATTGCTATGATTAATCAATTAACATTAGGAATAATGAGTGCAATAACTATTCTTTATTTTATGAAAAGAAATTTGATTTTGTTTGTTTTTGAAAAATACTCATTTTCTTAATTATTCATTTATTTAAAACACTCTGACCTGTATGTGTTCCCTTGTTCAAATGAAATCTAATGTTATTTTTTGCTATTAAAGAAACCTTTCTAATTATTAACAGATTACATTAAAATATTTGACGTAAGAAAAATTGTTTATCATATGTTTCAACTGTTTTGACATTCATATGAACTTAATTTTAGAAACTTCAAGTATGATATGAATAATAGTGCATATAGACGTATTAAATGTTCATGCGTATGTTGTGGAGATCATTTGATATTCTTTCATTTCCTTTTTTTTTTGTCATCACGCCACCACTATCAATGACGCACGACAAAGACGTAAAAGTTAAGAAAATGTTTGATTGATTGCTCTTAGTAAAATCTACTAAAGATAACGTAAAAATTGTCGCCTATTTGCTTTCTCCTTTACATTTTCTTCTTTATCGTTAATTTATGTCTTCATCAATAGTATGCGCGCACTCACCCTTATAAAAAATAAAAAGTTTATTTGCAAACAAATATATACAAACCTCTCACACATAAAAATGACAAAATTTAATGTACATTTCGATTTTACTTTCTTTTTGTTTATTTTTATAACTAAACTTTAAGTTTATTCTGTTCTATTTCTTTTCGAAAAATTCACATGATTCGAACACAAAGTTCAGTCCAACTAAACAACAACAAAATATAACATGCATAGATTTGTTGTTTTTTTTCTATTTTAGATGTTTAGCGAGCCACCGTTATCTTCAGTTCCTTGTTCAATCCCACCTGTTTTGTCCACGCCGACATCCCCTATATCATCAGCATCTGCGTCGCCATTATCATCAGCGTGTCATTCACGTACATCTACAATAACTTCGAATAGTTATCAAAAACCAGATATCTTACCATGTCTACAATCAAATTCAATACAAAATTCTTCTCAACATCGACAGATGAAAATTGGTAAATATTTTCTTGAGAAAACAATTGGAAAAGGAAATTTTGCTGTTGTTAAATTGGCTACACATTGTGATACACATCAAAAAGTATTTCATTCAACTGAATTTCTAATTCAAACATATAGTTTTATTTTTTGTTTAGGTAGCGATTAAAATTATTGATAAATCACGTTTAGATCCAACAGATCATAAAAAACTAGAACGTGAAATAGCTGTTATGAAATCATTAATACATCCATATATTATTCGACTTTATGAAGTAAATTGAAATATGACAAAAAAAATAAATTAAACCCTAATATTTATTTTAAGGTTATGGAATCAAAAAACCTTATTTACTTAGTTACAGAATATGCAGCTAATGGTGAACTGTTAGGTAGGTTAAGTTTCTTTTTCTGTTTATGAATACTAATTGTTTTTTTTTTATAGATTTACTAATTCGTGAAAAACGTTTAAGTGAACCAAAAGCAAAAGAAAAATTTCATCAACTTGTTTTAGCTGTTGAATATATTCATTCAAAAAATATTGTATGTAAACTAAATCTTATTTATTTTATCTCAATTGTTTTTTTTTCTTCTTAGGTTCATCGTAAGTGATTCATTGAAATTTTATATTATAATTCTATATATTTAATTCATCATAGGCGATTTAAAAGCTGAAAATTTATTATTGGATAGTCGTGGTAATATAAAAGTAGCAGGTAAATATAATTGAAATTTAAGTGTAGACAATCTGTTACTATTCTCAAATTACAATAATAGAATTTTTTTTAATTTAAATATAAGAGACGAGAAACTAATAGTTATTGTTTATTTTGCATATAAAATATTACTTATCGAAAATCCTTGTAGATAGTTTTGCATGTAATTCACCATTAAAGTACGACCATGAATTTTTATTGTCACGGTCACTATTATTATGACAAATAGGTACACAAAACCTTGTCTTACATATTGATGTGTTTAGAATTTCTAATCCAAAGTTTTTATCAATGAATATAAAGGAGATGCAAATTGATGATAGAACATCTATTTTTATATCTTCGTAGTTATAAAACTCATGAGTGATATAGAATATTATGAAATATGATATTATGAATCGTTAGAAAAAAATAAAAGAGACTAAATTGATTCTTAGCAGGATTCCTGATTAGTTTTTTTTCGACAGCGGGAGGTCATAAATTTGATAGAATGTACTTAAAAGAAGCATTAGATTTGATTTTAAATTGTGTTTTTGTATTTTTAAAGATTTTGGTTTTGCTAATATATTTCAACCAAATTCGAAATTACAAACATTCTGTGGTTCACCACCGTAAGAAATATCTTTTTTTCTAAATATTTCTTATTAAATAATTATACTTATTTTAATTAGTTATGCTGCTCCTGAACTCTATCAATGTCTTCCATATTCACCTGAAAAAGTTGATGTTTGGGTAATATATATATATGAAATATGAAAATTATATTCAAAGTTCTATTTACAATTTAGTCTCTTGGTATTCTATTATATGTATTTGTTTGTGGTCATTTACCATTTGATAGTAATAATCTTGCTGAACTACGAAAACGTGTTCTTTCAGGACATTTTCGTTTACCGTTTTATATCAGTTCAGGTTTGTCTTATTTTCCTAATATATCACCGGGATATATATTTTCTTTTATATACATATAGATTGCAGTTCATTAATAAGTCATATGTTAAATGTTGATCCAAATCAACGTTATACAATTAATGATATAAAAAAACATCGATGGTTTGTGTTAAATGATACAGATGTATCTGATGTAACATCCCAAACACAATCAACGGTAAATTGTCAATTAACAAATGCTATACTTGATCATGCTGAATCACTTGGTTATAATCGTACACAAATATTAAACTCTGTTAATGGAAATTCCTATGATAGTGATGCTGCTATATGGCATTTATTATTAGAAAAATTTCAACAGACATGTCACATTGACAGTAAGATAAACTAAAAAATGTTGTTTTTTTCTGTATTTAGAAAATTTTTCTTTTTCTTTTTTTAGATACACACATTCCAATTGAAACAGTACTTGATGATGATGTAAATAATTCCGATCTAACAAGACGTTCAACTGCACCAATCATATTTGATGAAAATAATACTGAATTAGTTTATTCAGTTCCTAATACAGTAAGAAAAAAAAAGACTATAAAATATAGATTTGTTTTTTTCATCTCTTTCATTTAGGCTGAATCAATACGTCCACAATTAGATCCATGTGATCTTCAGCGTATATCACAACAAGATATTTATCATAGACCAGAACCTCAAATTCGTACTGATTATCTCAATAGTTACGATGATGATGATGATGATGTTGATGATGATGAAGACGAAGATACATCAGCACAATTACGTGAACGATATGCTCGTACGCATGGTTTACGACGACATACAATTGGTCGACCTGATTTACTTATCCATGGTGGTCCAATTCCAGCACTTGCTTCAAAAGTACGATTTGCTCATCATCCATCAAATATTGACCCATCCCTTTTAATGAGTCGTTTTGCTGCTCTTGAACGAGAACAAAAACAATTACAACAACAACAACAACCATATGAACCATTTGTAACAATTGATGATGTTGATGGATGTTGTTCACAATCATCACCTTCAATTTATCATCAAAATGAGGCAAATCCTATGGGTTACAGCGGTCTATCTGTTCATGCTCCTATGATCAATTCGACATTAGATGTACGTGATCATCAGCAACAGAATCATCATTGGCTTTCACCGCCTATTTCTAATAATTTTCGTATGTTCTTTTAATGAAAAAAAATCCTAATTCTAATTCTAATTTATTTTTCTTATAGAAATGAATCGACGAGCTAGTGACAGTGGTGCTCATCTTCTTCAATTTCAACAACAATATGGTGTAACCGGTTCAAATATGTTTAATTCTGCGCGTCCAACGCCTATACAATCTCCTCTATCAAATGTAAGAAAATAATAAAATCAAAATATTTGTTTAATATATATGCATAAATTTTTTATAGCGATCATCTCGGGGAAGTATAACACGTGGTTCACCAATAACTCCGCCAACATTTTGTATAACTTCACATGAAAATGAAGAAGATTTAGATGAAGAAAAAAAAGGTCATGATGATGATGATGATAGTGAAACTCTTGCACGGTTTGTTAATAAAGAAAATTTTATCAACAAGATTTTTTTCTATTTATATCTTATAGATATCTTAATCGTGGTAAACGTCATACCGTATGTGAACAGGGTTTAATTCTTGGCGGTAAAGCTCGACGCGGTAATCGTGAATCCATCAAAGAACGTAGTTTATCATCACGTCGTGCAAGTGATACAAGTTCGCATTTTATTAATAGTAATACACGAGCACATTTTGAACGTTTATATAATAATGCTGTTAATTTAAAATCAAGTGAAGATGATTTAGCAGCATCAAGTTTACAAGAATTACAAAAACTTCAAAGACAAGTTCAAAAAGTATGTTTTAATTATTTAGTTAAGTTTTATTTTTATATAAAAATTTTAGTATCCAACAAATACATCAGAATCATCTATGATTCGACGACCTACTGGTAAGGGATTGAAAACGTTTCTTTTTATTTTTAATTATTTATATTGTTCAATTATTAGCTATTCCATCACCTACAAATTCACCCGTTCTTCATATGATTCGAGAAGAACATCAACAAAATCCATTATTATCATCGAATTATCAACCTTCAAATCGAAATAAATCATCATCGTCATCATCATCATCCGAAGCATCAGCAGTTAATGATGATGACGAAAATGAAATGGATTGTGATGTTGTACATCATCATCATCATCATCATCTTCCAGAACAAAAATTATTTCGTCCATCTCATTATCATCCACCATCACCATCATTTTATTGTAATACTAGTCCTATACTTGCTCAACATTTACGTATCCCGACGACGACTTCTTCTTATATGCCCTGATCTGGTTAATTTTATTTGTTAATATATATACATGTGTACATATAAATATTTAAAGTTTTCTCTTTTCTCGCCGGTGATCTTCTTTGATAGTGTGTGAATTGGTTTCTTTTTTCTTTTTTTCTTCTTTTTTTTTATAGTTGTAGCAAATGAAAAGAAAATATTTTGTAGATAATTCTCTTACGGTGAAGAGTTTCATTCACATAAAACTAAATACATATATATTTTCTTTTTCTTTCCTTTTCTAATGTACAGTTCTATTATTTTTTGTTCTTCTTGTTGGTTTGTATTTTCATTGTTAGTCTGCACTAGCAGTTCAAAAAAAACATGTTAAAAATATATATAATACATATTTGCGTTTCATGTAACCGGTTCTTATGTTTGTTTGTTTTTCTTTTCTTATTTTCAAGTATTATTGTATTTCTATCCTTGTAATCATTCACTCTCTCTCTCTCTCTGTCTCTTTTTCGATCAGTCCATTCATGTGCTTCATTGACTGTACAGGCAAAAAAAAGAAACGTTTTTTTTTCTTTTGGTTCTGAAGAGAACGAAATAGAGATGAAATGAAATTGAAGAAAGGAAAAGAAAAAAAAATAATGTTATTTGCTTGGAAAAAAAACGACTCATATTGATGCATATCTTTATATATTTTATGTCGTTCGTTATATACAACCACCTGATTTTCTCATGATTACACATTGAATGACTGTCTTTGTTTTTATCAAAGGAAATTTACACAATAAAACCAAAACCAAAAAAAAAATTTTCGTATTCGTATGAATATTTTTCTTTTAGATATTTTTTAATTATATACTCATGAGGACAATCATTGATGCAAATATATCTCCGATTTGTTCATCATCTCAAACAGAATTCATGTCAACAACAACAACAACAAAACATCATACACCTTATCATAGTCGATTAAATAGTAATAGTAGTGAACAAGAAAATACTTCGAATGATTATATTTTTATATCTTCTTCTCCATCTTCAACATCATTATTCATTCCATCTAATACAAGGCAATTTTTATAATATATATTATTTAATTTTGAAAAAAAATATATCTATTTTTTTATGTATACAGTTCCGGTGAAGTATCCGATGAAAATAATTTATTTGAACAAGTCGATGAAATTGATTATTTAACTGAATATATATGTCCAAGTGATAGTGATGATGACTCATCCTATTTTCGTAATTATGATGATGATGATAAAAATAATAATGATTTATATGTAAAAACTCATTTAAATAAACAGCAGTTGAATTATATTGATCATGTACAAGAAAAAAATTATCAACGATCAAAACGTTCAAATAAAAAAATAAATGCACAACGTCAGATTAAGACAAAACATGCCAAATCAATCAAAATTAAATCACATAATAAACATTTGTATATACATCATCGTTTAGCTAAAAAAGTTCGACTTGACGAACCAAGTTATAATTATATGCCATCATCTCAACCAGTTCCATCATATACTTTAACTGAACTTCGATCAATTGTTAATCAATATCGTCATCCATACAATTCTTCATATATATATTATTCAACGCCAACAAGAAAAGCTCGACATACAAAAATTACTAATGATATGTATATTGATGAATCTCAAACAAACTTAGCTGCATTAGAATTTCGAGAATATGCATTACATGAATATAACATCCCTGATGAACCTTCATATGATGATGCTATGGTTAATTTTCTTCTTGAAATGCAAAATCGTGATCTGTAAATATTTTTATTTATTTATTTAAACAAAAACTAAGAGTTTTTATTTTTAGTTCACCAGAAGATTATGAAATGTTATTACGTCTTGATGAACGTGTACAACGAAAAACAGTTAACAAAAATATATTAGATACATTACCAACAATAAAAGTTACTGAAACGCATTTAGATGATCAATGTACAATATGTATGGAAAAATATAATCTTGATCAAGAACTTAAATTATTACCATGTACACATATATTTCATTCAAATTGTATTGAAACCTATTTACAAGAATTTTCTATACAATGTCCATTAGATAATTTACCATTAGTGTGATATTAATACGAAAAAACGATTCTTTTTTTTTTGTTTGTTTTTTTTTATGGATAATGTACTATCCATTGATACTTAATTGTAATTTTTTTCTGCTTGATTTTTTCACTGATATTATATTATATATTTCCTCTTTTTTTTGTATTATTATTTATTTTGGATATAATGTAATGGTATTTTTCATTTTCTTACAAAGAATATACAAGAATTCGGTGCCAATTATACAAGATATGAGAGTTCTTAAATATTTTGTTTTCAAGTCCTGAGACATCTGACTGATGTTAAACTTTCTCTCTTGCCATTCAATAACGATAGATATAAAACATTGTCTGATATACTAATTATCAATGCACATAAGTATGAAAAAGAGTTGTGTATTTAGAGGTACAAGTGTTTACAAAAAAACTTGCACAAGTTCTTCGATAGATATCGTCTTATATACAAGTTTTGTTCAAGTTGTTTCATATTGTGATGAATAGCCTACGAAGAGCACTATGGCACAGTATAATTTCACATTCCTTTAATTTCCGTTGAAAAGAAATATAAAGCAAATATCAATCGTTTCTGAAGAATCTTTATGTCGAAATCATCGTGTATGTTTTAGCCCCTTTTTTCTTTCGTCTTTCTCTTAATATTTGTTGTTTCATTGCATAATCATGATGTTATCTTTTTTGACAATGCATACTTTTGTCGAAGTCTTACTTCTCTTTTCCGTGAATTCTGAACCTATTATTAACGCTTTTTTTTCTATAATGAAAAGCTGTTAGTTGAACATAGACGATATTATACTGCATATCAGAATGACTTAACAATATTTTCGTATGAGCAGGGAACATCAGATTCACAATACATGTGTATGTGTGTGTAGTGTATCTAGAACACGTTCAGATCTATACATTATAACATGTAGTGAAATTTCCTTGTAACTAAAAGACTTGATGTTCTCAAAGAACTGTCTTTTTGCAAAAATTCCAGATCTGATTTCAAACTGGAAAAACTCGAATGTAAGAAATACTAAATGAATGAAATTCAGCTGGCTCTGTTATAAGGAAAATATATTCTTTCTTCTTCTCAATGTCATCCTTGAATTTCTTTTGAAACTGCATACAACATTCAATGTTTTACGATTGTGAAAAGGTTGACCTATCTAATTTGCCAATAGCACAAAACGTCCAAACAGACTGAGTTAGCAAATAAATCGTCTACAAAAGATGGTTTCACTTGGAATGGACCAATCACATTGCTAATTATTTCGCTTTATTTTGTTCATTCTGCTTGACGTCAACGTGATGAGATGCAAACAATGAACAAATATGTATGTATATATATAAAGCTTTATCTTAGTCAGAAACATCATAATCATAATAAAGTATGAACCGATCAATTGCTCATCTTCTGGATTTACCTAATGAAATATTACTTATTATTTTTAAGTACTTGAACAATATGGATGTACTTTATCTTTTATTGGATATTAATAATAGACGACTTAATAATCTTGCACAAGAAAATATTTTCACCAACATTCTGAACTTTGTCTCAATTGATAATATTTCTGTAATCGATCGATTCTGCAATGATATATTACCAAGAATTCATCATAATGTGAAATGTTTTATTTTTGATCCAATTTTTATGGAACGTATTCTTCTTGCCAATGACTATCCGAATTTAACTAAACTTACAATTTCTCATTTCCAACAAGAAATCGCTTCAAATTATTTTACAAGTAAGCATCTAATATAAATTTTATTAGTTGAGAAACAATAAAGATGTTAAAAAAGAGAAGACTTCAGTATGTTTCACTACATTGCTTTTCTTCTTTAGATGAATCATCACTTCGATCTATTTTCCAAGAACAAATTACAAATCTTATTCTTATCAATAATGATAAATGGAAAATAGAAGATTTATTGAAAATATATACTGAAAATGTATACGTTCATATCCTGACCTTTTTCAAATATTTGAAAAAATTAAGTATCATGGAACCATGTGTTATATCATATCTACCTTTATCATTTTGGTATCCACCTTTATCACTTGATTATTTGCCATCGACTAGTTTTTCATCTCCGATTCTTACTCATTTAAATATCAATGTCGACACTTTCAATGATTGTCTTCATTTACTTGATGGTCGATTTAGAAAATTGACAACATTGTGTGTTAATGTCTTTCATATGGACAGATTCTCAGACGCTGTTTACAATATGGTGAGTTTTTATAAATAATTTCATTTATGCCATTAAGATTATTGCTATTTCAATGCAGTTAACGATTAATCTCAAAAAATTCAGATAAGAGATCGAATGATTAAGTTTTATTTTGATAAGGAGAAAAAAGTATTACATGTTGAGGAATACATCAGAATCATCGACATTCAGTTTGTACTTACTAGAAATTATGATTATATAATATTTTATCAAATAAATTTCACATTGCAAAGTAGACTACTCAGTTTCATGATATGATTAAATATTATCATATGTCAACGATCATCAGCATAGAATGGAGTGAAAGTTTTTCTATAATAACATGTTTTCCAATAATTGAGATATGAGTGGAAGTTTGCGGTCTAAAACTTTAATTGTTCTTCTAACACTCGTTTGTCGTGCTGTAAAATGAGAAAATGAAACTACTAGATTTGTCATTTGTGGTCATTTACAGATAGAATATAGATCATATACCATGTGTAAAATAATGATGCTTATGATTTAATTTTGTTGATTATCAAAAAACTATTTCTTTTTTTTTCTAGGACAAATTATTGAATCTAAAATGTTTCTCATTAAAATCGCGCAATCCATTTCATCAATATGATAAAATTGTATTACCTTTTCGTCGAATGTCAAATCTAGAAAAGTTAACTCTAAACATTTCTATAGAAAGTCGAAATAGAATCATCAATGATACTTATGTTCAACATGATATTTTGGATTATATGCCACAACTTCATTCATTCACTTTCTATATTTGTACTTATGTCAATCTGAATGTTTTATCCTACAAGTTATCTAGTGAAGATATTCAACAAACATTAATAAATAATGGACAACAACATGTCAGGAGTATGGCCAGTTATGTTACTAATATTGTCAATTTGCCTCTTGGTATCAGAACTGCATGCTCAATTTTCTCACTTCCTTTTAAATTTGATTATCTCCAAGATATTGGCAATCACTTTCCAAATATTGTATTCAATTATGTTACCTATTTAGGTATACAAGATATTACTCCATTCGAATATGAATTCTTCATGCGAATTGCCCGATCGTTCCCGTTACTGAAGTATTTAAGTATTCGGAATGGAGAATCACAAAAATTGGATGGTGTTATGACATTTTCATCTGACAAATGTCAATTACATTCAATTATTGAATACCCTCACCTGGCTATACTTGATGCCAGATTTGCACATGAAGATTATGTTGAACAATTTCTGAATGAAGCAAAAACATTCGTACCTTGTCTGACCGAATTTAAAGTCTATGTTGGTCATATAAACGCAGTAACAAAAGGTTTTACAAGAGAAGAAACACGACGTAATTGTGCTAAGATGAAAAAAATAACTACGACAGGGGGTATGGTACATTGGAAAGATTTATGTCTTTATTTTCCTTCTTTGTATAAATAGATGTATTTTTGTTTTGTTTTATTCAATAAACTAAAAAAGATGGTAAATGTTGTATTTTGTAGCCTAATTATATTTCTCAAGTATAAAGAAATATTTACTAAATTATTAATGATCGTTTGTCATTTCATAAAAGAAAATATAAAATGAATCATTTAATTTGGCTCTTTCTTTAATCTTTTATTGTAATTATGGTTAACAAATAAAAGACAAAAAACAATGTGTGTGTTTTTATAAAATAAGTTAAAATTAAAAAAGGTCTATTTGAAACTGGTGGTTTTGGCTTCAGCATATTAATAATTATCATTATTATTTTTACCACAATGTTAAACTCGACGGTCATTACTACTAGTACCACCTGATTGTTCTAATGTTTTACCAAACGCTTCATATTTTTTAATTCCATCATTAGGGTTTGGGTGGTGGTGTGGTTGTAGGTGTGTGTGGGTGAGTGGTGTGGTTGTGGGTGTGTGGGTGTGTGGGTGTGTGTGGGTGTAGGCGTGAGCTAAGAAAAGAGACACCAACACACACCCAAACACTCATACACACTACACCCACACCCGTCGATGACGTATACGAAAATATTGTTTTAAATATGCTTGAGTTAAAATGTTTATTACTCCTTTTGAAGTATCAGCAATTGGTGAAACATGTATAATTGTACCACGTTCAATACGTCAACAAGCTTCAACGATTACAGTTCCACCTGAACGAACTCCCAAGTTATTTTGTACCATGATGTTCATTTGAATATGGCCATCTGGACATGTATTATTGTCAACAGCAAAACAAAATGTCTGATGATTTTTTATTCTTTTTAGCATAACAGTAGGGGTGTGAGCTAAGAGAAGAGACACCAACACACACCCACACCCACACCCGTGATGATGGTAAACCAAATTTGAAGAATTTTTCCGGACATTTAATTCGATGTTGTGCAAGATTTTTTAATTCGTGTTTAGCGTTTTGTAAACCAGTAATATCATCGTAATCGATATCATTTAATAACGCGGGTGCGAGCTAAGAGAAGAGACAGCAGCACACACCTACACCTACCCACGCCTGTGGATGTGCGATGTCAGCTTACTGATCACCGATATAACTGAGACCAAGCTCACTGAAGCACCGATGATGTCGATGCACCGACGTTTACTACTATGTCAGACATATTTATATCAGTAAGTGTTGGTGCATCGAGATCGTCAGTACTTCAGCGAGTTCAGTACTAGTTTGTTCAATATTTTAACCGACACTGCACATTCCTACTCACACCCTCACACACATACAACCACATTCACACTGTCACACACACCCTCAAGATGGTTTGGAATACATCATATCAATTCTCTTCGGATTCTCCGAAACACATAACTGAGGGTGGGTGTGGGCAGCACTCGCGCGAGCGGGGTGGGGAGTGCACACCCCAAAAGTTTTTACACTTTTTGAAAATCCTGTAACTACCCCTCCCCCCCCTAATCTTAGACCCTTCGCGGGAGCTTTAAGTGTCGGTGTGACTTAAGAGACACACACCCACACCCATCAATATACTGAACTTCATGATGACTTAGACGTGCTGTTGTTGTTGTTTTAGATGGTAAATTTCCATTTCATAAACGAAATCAAACAATTAGCTATCAAATTAAATAGAATTTTCTTCTTGATTTTATTCAAAAATCTTTTACTTCTACAATAGCACATTTTTATTGCTGATTCAAAATCATCTGTTATCGTTTTTGTTCAACGACATTTTCTTTTAAGTTTTAGTGTATTTTACAGAGTCTTCTAAAATATAATGAAATTTTTCTTTCTATTGTATACTGTTTCGAAGCCTTGTCTAGATATTTTTTTCCTTTCTTTTCTGACATGATATCATACATGTTTTCTTTTGTTATGCTTTCTCTTCACGTTTAACTGTAGATTATTGTGATCATACCTACAAGGTGTGAGTGCGCGTGCGCGCATTCTAGTCCATCCACACCCACAACCAATTTCAATAATACACAGATGTATATATATGTATGTATCTTTTTTTCTATTAAACTAAAAATAATAACACTATTTTTGACAAAAGCACATAGATTCTGAATAAAAAAAAATATTTCATTCTTAACATTACATTAAATATTATCCATCATTGGAAAAAAATCACTTCTATCTCATTTTGCTTGTATCAATCGATATAAAAAAAACACAAAATTTGAATATAATACTAAAAATACACAGATAAAACTGAGTCAAAACAAACAAGAAAAAAATACAATCAATATAGAAGGTAGCATACTACTATTATCAGCAAGAAAGAAAATTATAAGAATCCACCCGAGATTGTTTTAAGTATGACTGAATTAATTTGATGTAGACTTTTATGTAGAAAAATTTGTATGAAAAGATTGCGGTTCGGATTTTGTATTGAAAGGTATATTTGAAGACGTTGATTTCTATTAAAATATTTATATAAATAAAGAAAATTAAATTTTTTATTTTCTTTACATTATTTTTACATGTTGAATAAAATAGATGATCTTCATGTTGAATTATACAACATAATGGAATAGTTATATCAGTTTGGACGGCTTGATCATTTTTCAATAAATCATTTTTTTGCTTATCAGACTTATAAAAAAAAACAAAAAGTTAAAATTTAAAGTAAAATCTTTTTTTTACTAATGCATAGTTAGATGATATGGTATTTAAATTTTTCTTAAATGATACAGCTTTGTGACCGGGATATTTAGATGCTAATAAAGATGATTCATCATCAACTGTTGCAGTTGACTAAAATAACAAAAGAGGAAAGAATTAAAATTTATAAATTGTAATTTTTTGATAAGTACCATATGAATATTTTCATTACTGTTGATATCAAACTGTTCAGTTATAGATGAAGAAGATATCTGAAAATCTAAAGAAAATTTTTTTTTGAAATTCGAACAAATTAAATAAATGAGTTTCTACCGTTGATTTTCAAACGTTTTGTAATGTCATTTGTAAAAACAGAACGATGTTTGTCAAAAATAGTGGAATGTAAATGTTGTTTATCATTATTATGAAATTTAAATAAATTTCGTCGTTTTTGTTGTGTTAATTCAAAATGTTTGATACATAATAATTCATATTTAGCAGTGTTACGACAATTATTATCATATTTACACAATGGTAGCCATTTATTATTTTTTAAAATGAAACGTCGACCATTATTTCTATATTCTATTTGACCATCATGTATCAATTGATTATTATTGATATTTAATGAAGATTGTTCAGAATTTTCAGTAATATTTGTGGTTGTTATTGTATTATTTTGATCTTCAATTTCACTACGTGTTTTTGTATTATCATATAGATGTTGTTGTTGTTGTTTATAAGAAGAAAGTTGATATGATTGAAGATTATTTGGCCATGATGATGATGATGATGATCGAGGATTAGATTCATATTCTTCTTTGTAATGTGTTATACAAAGAGATTTTTTATTAGTTTGTTTTCGACATTCTGAAGTGAAAAGGAAATGTTCTATTTCATACTTGTACTTAAAACATCAATAGACGAAAAAGTATAACTCAGCGAATGAAATGAATACAAAAGGGGAAAGTGTAGGCACCTGATTCGCACTTTTCCTCTTGTTTTCTACACTTTAAATTTGATGATGGCTCTATATTGTAAATCGAATGCGCTATTGACCCAGCGAGGCAAATGCGGGTCAAATGTCGACAGCACCTACTATCACTTTTAGATGCTCAGGTGCCTGCACTTTCGCCTTTGATAGAAACTGATATTTATCATAATTTTGTTGATTTATTCGATCTACATTCTATGAGTTTAATAGACAAACCTGGTCTTCGACATAAGATTTGCCATCGAACTCCATCAAAAATTTTTCGACGTCCTTTACTTGTAACTTCAATTTTTCCTTTATAAGTAGATGGCTGTAGAATTGTAGATGCTGATGATAGATTTGAACAATAATCATTTTTTTTATTTACTTCTATTGCTTCATCATAGGATAAATCATCGTCTGTTTCATTTTCAAGTTTAATAGATGTGGCTAAGAATTTATTATCATGTGTTTCATTCTGTTCCATAGACATGATATAATTAATCTTAAATAAGAGGAAAAAACAAAGGAATCAGATACGTTATTTCGAATGATTTTAATTATTTTAACATAGCACATGAATACGTTCAATGAAATGTATGAATAAACAATACAAATTAACAATCATTATTTCGATTTTTTTTTCTTATGAAACAAAACAAAACAAACAAAAGTTAACAATTGAATTTGTATTTATCTGATTGAGCCATTTTTTTTGTGAATTGGAAATATACAAATTGATATAAGAAATACGAGGCGATTTTCATTCGTTTAAGCATATTTTCAAATTGTTATCGATGAAATATTACCAATGCAATCTTGAATTTTTGCTAAACGGTAACTAATACGTTGACAATCAAGTTTAAATTCTTTCTTTTTTATATCTTCAGCACGTAAAAAGTCTTGTAATGTTTCACAAGGAGATTCGCTTCCATTTGTATATGTAGCTGGAACATAGATCAATGATTCTTCTTCCTATATAACACAAAACGAAACTAAAATAAATATGTATATATATATAGAAATAATTTCTAACCACTATTTCTTTTTTTATAATTGTTCCGAATTGTTCAAGAATTGCCGCTGGAGAAGAATCATAATTTATTGGTGGTGATTGAACAGGAATTTCGATAGATTGATAACTTGTATTAAGTCGATTAGGTTTTAATGATAATGATAATGATATCTCAGATTCATTTAAAAGAGGTTCTTCAATTGATTGATCTTTTGTTGGAGAAGCAGAGACCTAGAAAATAATCGTTAGAAAAGATAAAAACAATTAAACAAAAAATCGAATTAAATTACAGATGGACTGGTTGAATTTGGTTCCAGATGCAAGATAATTGGCTTATCGAAACCTAAAAGAAGATATTATTTAAAAATGAGTCAGATATAAATAATCGTTTAGTTTAAATACAAAAAGATATTACCCATAACAACTTTTCTCTCTGAATAATCATCTAGTACTCACAGTACGAACTGACAGAAAGCAGCTGTGTTCAATGCGATGTTATTTTTCTTCTTGTACTTTTAAACATGTACTTAACGGATGACAAATATCTAATTTTCTGAAAGAATTTTCCTAGTTTAGACATTACACATTTTTTTAAATTATTTCCATACTATATGTAGGAATAATTAACTATTTATAGAATTAATAGACTGAATAGAAATAGAAATTTTTTCTTATTCCATTGTGTCTACAACTAGCTCTTCAAAAAAAAACACTTTAGTTAATGATCATTTAACAATCAAAAAACTGAATAGGATATTATTTGTCATTGTTTACCTTTCTGTCTTTGTCCATTACTTTTTCTTTTTGGAACAATATGTTCTCGTTTATTAATATCACTCATTGTTTTTCGTTTTTTACTATTTTTCAATTGTGTTATCGAACTAGGATGTACTATTGAATTGATTGTATCTGACGATAATGATGTAGTTTGTTGAGAATTGCTTTGATCTGTATCGATGATTGAATCAGTTTTTGCAATTGGTAAACTTTGACGTTGATATTTACGTTTGTATAATACATTTTTCTTTCCAGCACATAGATGTTTCCATATTAATTTATTACAACGTACACGACGACCATTTCGTGTATGTAATTCATGTTTTTCTGATGGTAATGCATTTACTGTTTCAAAAATATTTTCATCGACACGACGACGTTTACTTATTGGTGATGTAAGAGTGATTTTTTCTTCTGGTTCAGCTTCTCGATGTTCCTCTTTTTCTAAAAAAAAAAACATAGAAAATAATTATTTTTAATTTAAATAAAAAATTTACCGGATTTATCACTTGCAAGTGTACATGATCGTGTTCTACCTGCTAATCGAAAATTTTCAGGAATAACTTCATCTAATCAAAACAAAAAGATAAAAATAAAAAAGATAAAATATACAATTTTAATATACTTGAATTTGGTAATGACATTCGTTGAGTTTGATGTGTTTTACAGAATCCTTTGGCTTGAGTAGAACAATTTTCTGCTCGACATAAATTGTGCCATCGAACACCACGCCAAATTCGACGATTTCCATTTGGTAATGATTGTATATCACCTGGTTTAGGTTTATTAATTTTCTGTGGTGATTGATTTAATAATGTACCGTCAGGATTATAACTTCGATGATGTCGACAAGTAAATTTCGCTTGAATTCGACAATTTGGATCACCCCGACATAAATATTGCCAACAATTACCATCAAATACTTTACGTCGTTGTCCGTCCGTTGTTAAACGTATTTCACCTACTTTTGGTTTAATTTTTGTTTCACCTAATCGTGGAATATTATCAAGTGATGAATTCATATTAATCTAAACGATATTATTTAATTTAATTAAAGATTTATATGAAAATTAAAATAGATAAATTTAGTCAATGAAATTTAATATTAAAAAGAAAAGATAGAGAATGAAACAAAAACAATAAACAAGTTAAAACAGCTGGAAATATCAATCAATGATATATCATTAAAAACTAGATGTCGCTTGATTTCAAAGAAATTTTCAAAATTTAAATTTAAATGAAAATAAAATACTATAGATAATCTTTTTTCTTTTCAACTTGATCTAAATCAAAGAATTGAACTCTTGTAAAAAAAGAAACGATACTTTACTATTATATGATTCTTGTGTATAGCAATTTAATTGCCTCATTAAAAATATAATCAGAGAAGTTTTTCCCCAGATAGATTTTCAGTATTCTCATGTGCTGCTGTTTTTATATCCATCAAGCAGAATGAAGTTTTAGTTCTTTATTGAGATTATGTTTATATAAAGCGATTACCAAAGTTTTATTTTTTATTCAGAAGTTTATTTTCATTGAGAATACATTTAAATAATTGTTCTCATTCAAACAAAGAATGTGAAAAAAAATTATATTATATGATATTTTATAATTATTCTATACCTTTTTACCTTCGAAGTCATTGAAGAAAATTAAAACTGAAAGAATTTTAAAAAGTAGTATTTCCTGTCGATAATAAACATAGAATACTTTTAGTAATGGAACGATCGACAATTAAATATACTGTTATGGTTTCCTGACTTTTGTTCTTAAAAATAAAAATTATACCTCGAATATAGTATTCCTTCCATAGACGTATTATCTTTTATCGACATTATTTGAATGAAAATTTATTTTTATACTCTTCTCTCATCATTTAAATAAATATACTTTGTATATATCAGTATTTATTTGATTTAAAATAATGTGCGGAAATCATAAAATTCATTATGGAAAGTGTGGACTCTCTGTAATAACATCACATAACTGTTATGTCAAAAAACCATCGAAGATACTTATGAACTCAAGTACAAAAAGATTCATAAATAGTTCTTATTTACATATTTTGATATCATCAATAAATAATAATATTCATATGTTTTTTTTTCTCATCGAATAAAACCCATTACACCATTGCTAATATTAAAATAATTAAGATTTCCATTGGTATAAGCTGTTGTTGGACAATAGAAAACAGATGGAACAGGTACTTTCGATATATTTCGAGCAGCAGCAATACATAAATCTCTATAACCACCATAAATAAAAAAGAATCCATAAAAATCTTGTGTGCATCCACTAGTTGAATATTTAAAATTACAATTAAATGATCTTATACAATCACTATCGGTATATAATGGTATCATTTGTGATTGACCAACTGATGTACTTTGATATTGTGCTATTCCCCAAAATTGTGAAGAAATTAAACGTAATATTGAAAACCAATTTGTTGTAGTTGATTGTGTAGAATTAAAGATAAGGAATTCAAAAATATTTGTTTGATTAACAATAAAAGCTAGACCGACTTGTTGTGGTATATAGGAATTTTGATTCCATTGAGAAATTAATATATTAAACCAATGAGATGCTGTTTGAGTAATTGAAATTTGAGGTATTGGTGATAAAGTTGTTAAATTACTTGAATTTAAACCTAAAAATAATTGATTATTTCCAGTAAATATTTTAAATATTGGTATCCAGGGACTTGTAGTATTTGAAAATAGACTTTTAGGATTTGTTAAATGTGTTCCATTATTAACATAAACTGAAGTTAATGTTCGATTGGTATAAATAGTTACATTTGATGTTAATGATGATGATAATTGAGAACTTTTTACTGGATATGTTGCATATAATTGACAATAATATAGATTAGTTGATATTACCATAAGACTAATAGAAAGACAATGTGGATGAGCAATACAAGTACACATACATGATGTTGATTGCGTTAAATTTATTTTTAGAAACGAACTACCAGTTGAATAAGTTGCATGCACAATTTTAGCAACTGATAAAGAATTTATTGAGATTATATATATCGATAAAATATTGATAAATATGAATAATGATGTTACATACATATCTTCGAGGCAATGTATATTGACTCAAAAGTAGAAAGTTGTCTTTCAAATGAATTCAAATAAAATTTAGTTAAATGAAAAAAAAGTTTTTATCGATAATTATATGAGAACAAAAAATAAGAAAGGCAGTTATTTAGTAGAAATAATTGAGATAATGTGTTTACTGATGAATGGTAGCTTTATTTTATTTTTTTGAAAAAAACTAAGTTCCCTCTATATTTGATATAATTTGTCGATTATGATAATGAAATAAAATTAATAATTTGACTAAAAAACAAACTTACAGCTTTTATCAAAAACAAAAAATATCGACTTTTAAGTGCATATTTAAATATCATAAATATAAAGTAACTCTAATATTAAGCCAAAATTAAATCAATAAAACATATATTGACTATTTTAGCACAATTCATAATTTAGGATACGTTAAGTATGCATATATAAAATACAAAACGTAGTCATTATTTATCGGGACAAACACATAACGTCCTAGGTGTCCCGATCACCTGGTAATTTGTCCAGGTGTTCGGAATTGACTTTTTTTACCATTTTTACCGGGAGTCCGTAAAGCATGTTGGTCAGGAAATTATAATTTTAAAAAATGCAGGGAAATCGGAACGAAATGCCCCACAATATGTAAAATATTATCACGAAATCTGGTGACGGTGTGAGAGTGGGTGTATAGTATAAGAGACGAATGACTTATACATCCACACCCACTCTAGCACTCAGCTTGTTTTAAATCTTTGTCATTCCGAAGACTTTGTATATTTTTATATGTCGGAAAATCGTAACGAACATCAACTCAGGGAAACCGCAAAAAAAAGTTGGTGCGTTATGTCTCTTTCCCTATTTATGAATGGGGGCGATTTCGATCAAAAACCGTATTATTATTCCATTTGACAAATCATCTACTGATTTTTCATTACAATAAAATTTCAATTGATCTATTTGAAGAACTTTCGAAATTGTTTTGTTTTAATTAAATGCTTTGAAAACAAAGACATGAGATATAACTTCAATCCTATTATTTGTAATTTAATCAGGCAAAGATATACATAGAAAAAAATCAGTGGCGGATCTAGGATTTTGAAAGAAAGGGGCGATATCTGAGTATGAAGGGGCAATACCTGAATAGGGGAGCCGATTTCGGCTAAAAACTATTTTTTAAGTCCAGTCGAAGTAGTGTGAACCTATTTTTTCGTTTATTTTTGTTGTAAAAAATCGAAAAAAATTTCTGAAGGAGGGACGATCATCTCCATCGCCCACCTCTAAATCCACCACTGAAAAAAATATTCAACAAAATTGATTACAAAAATAAACTTTTCTATTTTTAATTTGACCTTGAAGAGAATCGTATATATGAGATAAGAATATATACCGATATTTCTAGGGTATTATTAATTGGATATATTTATCACAATGATTATAATAACTGTTTTTCTTTTTCTTAATTGAGCATTGTAATTCTAATTTATTCTAGGTCACATATTCTGATCTACTTAGTTAATAGACTTGAAAAAACAACAATAAAAACTATTATTATGTCATTTTTTGTAAATTATTCAGATGAACAGCTTATGAACATAAATAATATAGTCATCAGACGGAAATAAAAAAGACTATTATTAAGTTAGTATTCTATAGCTGTATCATTAAAATGTAAAATGAGCTGAAGTATAATGAGGAACAAAAAAAAGAAGCAGCATGTTACATAATAAAGAAATAAAATAGGATAATATCATTAATTATTATTATTAGAGTGATATTAATAAACTCATTATTTTATAAATAAATATGTTTTAATAATATTTGAATTTATAATCGAAAGAAATAATAAATATTGATTTTATCGAAGTAATAATGAATACTTCATTGACGTAAACTCTCATTTTAATTCTGTTTAAGAACTTCTTAAATATCATTCATTATATACTCTCATTTTTTAATCTTATGTAATTTATTTTTTTTTTATTGAAGAGTACTTAGAAATTGTTATCAAGAGATTTTTTTATAATCAAAAAAATTTTCTAAGTTCAAAAGAAATTAGTACACCCTGTCATGTAAATCATTGTCAACATCTAAAGATTTCCTTTACTTCACATTTGAAACAGATATCCACGATACCTGGAGGAAAAAAACAAAGCTTAAGAATAAATTAACACCTTTTAAATAAAAAATAAATTTAATTTTAGTCATATTTTACAATATGAATAAATAAATCATTCATTAATTCTAGGATATTATTTGACAGATACTTTATTAATAAAATTTTTTTCGAAGATTTTCATTATGTAAACTAATAATATGTTTATTAAGCTTGTTTAACATTTGTCTCAACTAAAAATTGCTAGAGGCACTATTAGAAAGAAAAAGTCTTCGTACTAATAAGATATCTTCTTTTTAATCATGACTTATTTTCTTTCACGCTAAGAAAATTTCTAGTTAGAAGTTTCCTTGACTTGATTAATCTTTTTTCTTCTGTAGTTTCCTGTAGCAATATCCGGCATCGAACGGGTATTGATTATTATGAAAATTCTTTTTTTAACAAATTATTATTATTATTATAAAATAGAATTTTTAGTTCGTACACTTTTTGTTTATTAATGATTGGCAAGAAAACTTCCATAGAATACTCTAATGAATAGAAAATATACTATGATCCATCTAATAATGTATAAATTATTCCATTTGAAATAATCTCTATGGAGTGCATCATGAATAAAAAGTCAACGCGATGAACTAGAAATATAAATATTATAAGAAAAAAGAAAATAAACTTATCTTCTATGTATATAAATAAAATAAAAACAAATGAAGTATAATTTTACACAGCTGAAATTATATCCGGTACAAACAAATGATGTGCGAAGATTATTAATAAAATAGACAACAAAAAGAAAACGAATAGTTTTTCTTCATCTATTTATATCGACTGATTGAAATTAATTATATGTTATATTCGCTCTGTTTGCTGTTTTGTCATTTTCACTATCCATACTTTATATTCTAGGGCAACATCTTACACATTTCCTTTACAAAGCTGATTAAAATTATTTACATTAGAATGATTATTCAAAAGCGAGAATAGAGGAAAAAAAACTATATCGTGTATTATTCTTGTCTGTTTTGTGTCGTTATAGCGTATTTTGTATTTCATGCATGCTAATCATCTATCGATTCATTTGTCTTCTAAACCAACCATATTTCATTTTATTCTCTTTGGTAAAAGAAAGATTCACAAGTGTGCACATATATGTATATATATATTTAACAATTGCATTATTAATTATGAAGTCGTAGTTCGTGCTCTTACATATATTACTCTATATTTTTTAATGAAAATATGTTGTTCAATCAAAAAATCAGTTCGTGATGTTGAAAAGTTTAAAATAGAACACCTTTTATTGCGTATATTAATTTCTTTGTTGTTTTTCTTTTTTCATATAATACTGATTATGCATATGAATATCACGAAATCGAACAGAATAAATCAATATTATTCTCATTAATTCATACAAGCATATACAACTTTTTTATTTCCTTGTCGACGCATTTTCTAGTTTTATTCATTCATAGATTTTTTGTTATTACTCTTTCTCTTTTTTCTTTTTTTTTATAATTGTAACAAAAGACGCAAAGGAGCAAAAGAAAAAAAAGAAAGAAAAATGAGCATGATCACTGATGGAGAAAAAAAAAGATGTTAATATATGCACTCATTGATCATGACAATACATCTTATGTACTGAATCAAATACTATAACTATTGATTCGATTTATTTCTTATATTATTACAGCGGTTTATCAATCAACTTTATTATTTGATTGAATATAATGGTATTTATATTATTTTTTTCTTTCGAAATATTTTATTGAAACATATTCATAGATCGTTTGTTTTTCATGATATATATATATATATATAAGATAAATGTAAGCAAGTACATTGGTAAGAATGTACTTATGCCTAGAGTTAATCAACTCCAGTTGTAATACATTGAAGAGCTAGAAGAAGCAAAAATAATGCGTTGATTGTTTTCAAATGAGAAAAGAAATGCAAAAATGTCAGGAGAATGATAAGAAAATTCTAGGGGTTATAATTTTGATCTTAGATTTCATCTGACGTTATTAATAATACAAATAGTATCAATATAGTAACAAAATTTAAAGAACCTAGAATATATATAAAGATAGAACGATAATAATCATCGTCAGCCTAGTTTTATGGCGATATATGGATTCTTTTTTTGTTTCTATTTCTGTTTCTATATTTATCATGAGTGCCTTTCCTCTAAATCTCTTCCGTTATTCCTTCTCTCGCAACATTTGACATTTGATCGACGACAACATATCGACACTATCAGCACTATTTTGTTTCTTCTTCTTCTACTACTGCTGCTGCTACTACATCTTCTTCTCTTTTTTTCCTTTTTTCTCTTCTCTCTCTCGTAAATAAACGTTCTTTTCTTGGATTTATGTTCGGCCTCAGAACAGAGCGGAAAGGGCCACACAATTCCATCTAATATGAATACATCTATGACGAAGAAGATGTGCTACTGACAAGGAAAAAAAACTCTAAAAAAAGAAAAAGAAGAATGAGAGAGAGAGAGAAGAAAAGAATCATGTGGCTCGTTGCCTTGCCGACTATTAAGCATTAGCGGTAGTTGTAGTAGTAGCAGTAAAATTCCTCTTCCTTCTTCGTTGCTTACATGTGCGTGAGTAGTGTATTCGCCATCCGACATAAAAACTGTTTCTTTCATTTGACATTGATGCATATTTTATCATTTTCAGATTTAATTGTTCATGTTAACCATTTTTTTATTGCCATCTTGTTAGAAAAAGTCAAATGGCTCTACCACGTGCAAAAAGAATTACTTAAGTATGTCTATTGAATAATGTGTATATATATGTAGGGCGAGATATTTTTATTTATTCCAATAAATTTGGTAATAAAATTATATGACAAAATTATTGATTTCTGATAATTTTTGGGTACCAATAATTAAATCCTTTATTATTATTTTCCTACGTGTAATCTATATCTATTTTTATTTGATTTGATTAAATTGTCATATACAATAATCTATATATTTTTTTTTCTCAATTAAGAATACAAAACAATGTTATCATCATCATCATCAACTTCATATGAAACACAACCTACGTGGTGGAAATCAAATTTTACAACAACATTTTGTGCAGCATTATCGACTGCATTTGTTCCATCATCTAATCCTTTATCACAAGATATTTCCTCATCACCATTAACTATTGCATCTAATAACGTGGAGAAACGAACGAATAATATCGATCATCATTATCAATGTGAGTAATTCCTTATATTCACTATGTCATATATAGAAATCCGAATTATATTCGATAGAACAGAGAGAAAAAGAAGAACGAAAAATAAGATGAATAATAGAAACGAATAAATAAAATGCTTTTTATTTTTCTTCCGTTGAGAATCAGATAAATAAATGTTAAGATAGACAAATGACTACTTATCAAGGTATTATAATATTAAATTAATAAATTTATTAATTTTTTTGTTTCTTAATAGCTCATACGAATGGTTTTATTCATGATAATGATGATCCATTACGAATTTTATTTTTTGCTGAAAGTTTTCCATCTTTTACAAGCGGTATAACACGCCGATTTAAAGAAATAATACGACGTTTAGCGAAAAGAAAACATCATATACATGTTATAACTGGTTGTAAAGTGTGTAGAAAAGAACAAGATAAAATATTTCTTTTATTTTTGTATTGTAAATCATTTAGAATGCTCTTTTATGGCTTGAAGGAAATGATTGTTTACAAGCATATGTTACATTTTCAATCTTACCATCAACAGATTTTACAAATAAAATTGATTGTGCCTGTCCATTTTTATTTCCTAATGTAAATAAAGCAATTAAAAACAAACATTCTAATTAAATTATTTGTTTTTCTTCTTTAGCCTGCTATTTATTTTTCAATTCGAAATTTTTCACCTGATGTTATACATATCGTTGAACAAACTCCAGCTGCTATGCTTTGTGGTGCATTTGCTAAATCATTAAATATTCCAATTGTTTGGTCTTCACATACTAATATTGACTTTTATTTATCAACTTATATACGTCAGAATTGTGTTAACTTAACTAGACGTGTTTATAAATTTATACGTTTAAAACATTTACTTTATTCATCAATTAATTTAACAGTTAGTCAAGATTTTGCCGATTATATGGAACATACAGGTATACCACGTCCAGTTTTAGTATGGAAAACTGGTGTTGATTCCGAATTATTTAATCCTATACGACGTTCATCATTAATGCGTTATCGTATGTTTGGAACATTAAATAATTTTACTCATGAACAAATGGATTCTATAACTCTATTTCTTTGTGTTGGTCGTATATCACCAGAAAAAAATTTTCAATTTCTATCACATGTATTAGAACGTATACCAGATCAAACATTTTTATGTATTATTGGTGATGGACCATATCGTCATACACTTGAACCACTTTTTCCAGTTGATCGTGTTAATTTTTTTGGTTATCTTGGCGGAGAAGAATTAGCAAGTGCTTATGCTAGTGCAGATTATTTTATATATGCATCCGTTAGCGAAACATTTGGTCAAGTTTATCTCGAAGCAATGGCAAGTGGTACACCAGTTGTTGCAGCTGAAGGTGGACAATTAAAAGAATTTTTTATTAATAGTGAACATGGTTATCTATGGGAGCCAGATAATATCGATTCAGCTGAACAAGCTGTACGTTTAGCAATGAAAAATCGTGATTATCTATCTATCAAAGCACGACAACAAGCATTAAAACATTCATGGGATTCAGCTGCTGATCAATTAAATACAGTTTATTATGATGCTATAAAAAAAGATGATAAAGAAAATGAAACTAATCTTTTAATAATTCTTTGTCGTTTATTTTATTATGGATTAAATTGGTTTATATGCATTCTATTAGCATTACTTTTAATGGCACCATTTGTAAAAGTTTCATCTCCGACATCAACTACAACACAAAATATTAATTCTTGTCGAAATAAACAGCGTATAAAATCGACAAAAACAAGTTTTTCATCTTGATAGATATTCCTGGATTTCTTCTCTCTCTCTCTTTTTTTGTTTTTTAATGTCTCTCAGGATTAGGATAACATTCGTTGAATAATAGAAATTTTCTTGTTGTTGTTGATGTTGTTCTTTTTTTTTTTTCATCATCTTCTTTTCTTGTTTTGTTTATTCTTACTTTTCTTATCCCTTGGCTCCATAACAGTAAAAATCTCCTGATTCTTATTATTTCATCGCAATTCTTCTTGTGATACGTCTTCTATTTTTGAGATAAACACAAACACAAAAAAATAATAACAACTCAAATACATTTGACGTATTTTGTTATCCAAGTGTACAACAAGAAATTATATTAATTATTCTTTGTTGCTTATTATAAATGCTTACGAACTCTTTTTTTTACGCTATTATCTTTCGTATATATATTCTAGGATAAAGAAAATTATATTTCTAACACGCGAAAATTCGTCTTCTTTTCTTTTTCTATAACTCGCTATTATTATTATATTCAATGACTGTGTATATATATATATTAACGCCTTGAATTTTATTTTCCTTTGTCTATTGACAAACAAAACAAAAATGAGAATCAATCATTTAAAAAGAGTATTGAGTTCAATGATTGAATGAATATCTATTATTATACACATTGAATAAATCATATTATTGAGATAATTATTGTTCAACATAAGATGTGTATTATAGTTATTTATTGATAGTAAAGAATAAGAGAGCGGATGAAGGCGTTTTCCTGCTTTTAAAATATTTAGATTTTTTTGTTGTATTGAAATTAAGTTAATGATGATACTTGATGCTATTGTAAAGGTTTTATATCCTAACATCTTCTAATCAATTTTTCCACCCATATACATTTTCCATTTGAGAAATCATACAAATAAATATTCGTAGTCGCTATGCGGAAGTGAAGAGACGAGTAAAAAAAATTGATTGAAAGTAATACTATATGAAAAAGTTCTTTGTAATAGAATGTCAAGTTCTAATTGATTGGATTTCAATATAATAAAAGTCGAAAGATTTTCAAGATGAAATCATAATTGCATCTGTATATATATATATTTGTCCTTTGAGAGATCATCAAAAAATTTTTATTCGATCATTAACACATTGAATCACAATAAAATTAATACTATTTATTTTTTTGATAACTTATAACAGAAGATTAGTTTCACATATGATTCATAAAAATTTTCTTTATCCTTAAAGAGAAAATCATTGTTATTATCTACAAAAAAACAAACAAATATATTTTCTTCCATATCATTAGTCAAAACGTTTTCACAAGAGAAATACAATATATTTTCGAAATCAGAAGTCATTTACATATCTTATTTACTATTATAAGTAAGTAAGCAAGCATATCTTTATATATATAAGTTAATCAAAAACAAGTGAACTAAGGCATATATCTATCTTTAAATGAAATTGAAAAAGATGACATTTATAAGTATAGAGACATTCAAGGATTCAATAATCTTACTTGACATGTCGACTAAATGTATGATTTTTAACTTATATTTACTAACATTCTCAAGTTATTTGCTTAAGAATTTTTACAAGTATTTAAGTCTTCTAAGTAAACATTGATTTTCAATAGTAACTATAATATAAATTTTTGATAGTGTGACTATATATTTTCATTAACTGATTATGATTTTTCTTCTATTTGAATCTTGATGAGAATACTTAGACGAAGAAGAAAAAAAAAATCGATTTTCTTTTTCAAGAGCAAATTGATTGTTAAAATAAATAAAATCTGTTATTGATCAACTCAAACTTGTTGAATTCTTATGATTTATTTCTTGTTATTTTATCCTTCATTTAAATAAATGTTACTTTCATATAAAACATAATCGATTAAACAGTAAAAGAAAAAAAATCATTGAAAATTATTATTCTACCACTGACTGAGATGAAAAGTATACATTATATACATAACAAATACTCTTATTTCAGTTGCTAATATATACCTATATAAATAATAATTGTTTTGACATTTTCTAATCTTTAATAATTCTAAGTAATTTATTTTGTTCTATTGAGGAAAAGAATAACAATGATTATCATTTCCATATGGATATTACTCGAATATTGTCTTGTCAACCTGCTGTTTTCTTATGCCATCATTCTAATCAAACCAGAACACAAACACATGTGTATGTCATATACATATCGTTCTTCTTCTTTTTTTTGTTGTTATATTGAGTTCCGAATAAATGCTGCTGATGGTGGTGCTATGTCAAACTCATTAAAATAAGAAAGAAAGAACGTATGTCTATTTATTCTTTAATAATCAACATTTGTCCCTTCCCTTCGGCATTGACCATCACCATTAGTAACTAAGCAAGCACTCTTACTTTGCTTCACCTGTTCTTCCGTTTGAGAAGAGTAAATATATGGTTAATCGAGAGTTTATTGAACAATCATTTTCTCTAGGAACATCGGATTTTTGCATGATTAACTCATAAAATGCCATTGGGTATGATATGAAGCAAGACAAATATAAAATCTGATTTTTTACCAACGACAAATAATTTATATAGAATTTTTGTTGCACACATACACAAAGAATTTTAAAGCAAAAAAAAATATAGAGATACATTCAAACACGAAACAACAAACCTAGTCACACACACATACGTATATAAAAAAAAAAAGAAACGAACGAAACGAGAAAGTATACAATAACTCGACTGTTACTCGCCCCCTAAACAAAAAAAAAGAGGAAAGATATCTTCATCTCGTTTTGATTCTATCTGACACTGGAAATAATTCATTTACAAAAATGTTTTTCAACTCTTTTAATACAACGTTTACATCGTACTTCGCAACACCAATGAAATTGGCACTCACAATCTTCTTCTATTGTACTTATAATTGTTTCATAACCACGATCGCAACATAATACTGAACAAGAACCAGGTTCATTCATTGTTAAATTACATTCACGTCCTTGTGTACCTAATGAACCTAGACGAAGATTTTTCTCACAAAATGATGGTGAATTATGGATATATATAAGATCAGTTGTATTAAATAATTTCATTGAATTTTTACGAGGTTTAAGTAAACCTAAACGACGATTAAGTCGTATCTGTGTTGCACTTGCATATTTCGTACGTAATTCTGATCCAATAAGACGAAAATCGGGTAATGTACGCCAACAAACACGTAATGTACATGACCCGCTAACACCATGACATTTACATGTTAATTGAACATTTCGTTCGACAGCCTAGAAAAAAGAAATCTTTTGTTTTACTTTTATCAAAGATAAAATTTTTTCATTCGTACTTGTCTACCAGCTTCATTATTATGTAAATTCACCATACGTACAATACGACGTCGAGTTACAAATGATTCTTGTTCATCAATAAACGATGTACTAATATTTCGACCAAATTTTAAATCATCTGAACAACCACCCCATTCAAAACCATCCATGGGTTGTGGTGATTGTGGTGGCGATGATGATGATGGAAATAATGAAATACTCATAGATGGTATTGAACTTGTTTGATATTTTAACATAGTTCGTGCTCGTATTGGTGATGTTGATGTTGATGATAATGGTGATGTTGGTGATGGTTGACTTTTATCACAACCACATTCCGTTATTTCACCTTTTGCACAAGCTTTTGCAATACTATGCATAACTGAAGCAGATGTTAATGCATAAATAAATGCTGTTTCCGGTGTTTCTAAAATAAAATAAAGAGATCATTGTGAGAAAGTGAAAGGTGATACTTGACGGCGTCAGTTTAATTGTCCTTCTCGCTTGATTACATCCAATTATAATAGAACAAGAGAGCTTATTTTTCCTTAGGTGGTCTAATTATTCTTTCCCCTCTCGTATACAATATGATATTTAATGACTGACATATTGTTGATTGAAGAAAACGAAAAGATCAGGGTTGATGTGTTTTCTAGTATAAAACTTACTTCTTAAAATAAGTTTTCCAAAAATATCGGATTGATTAAAAATTGAACAATTCCATCGTTGATTACGAAATTGATATTGACATTCTTCAATAGCTTGTCGTAATGAACGACTTATAATTGAGAATATTTTTGGACTTGTTTGACAAAGATAACGTTGTTGAAGAGTTAAAAATGTTAACGAAGAACAAAATGTTTCTTGATCATTTTGAGTTGATGTCCATAATTGAAATGAAGGTAAACTAAGAGACCTTTAATAAAAAAAAAACAGATAAACATCATGCCTATAAGGGTATCATTATTTAAAATAAATGACGTTAATGTTTTTACTTCTTAATGTCTATCATAAAATCAATTTTCTTGTCTAGTTAACAATCTCCTAACTGAATCAAAAAGAACTTTTTCAGTTTAAATACTTACCACCAAAAAGCTGATGATACTTGAACAAAGGCAATAAATATAATAATAATAAATTGTTGTTGTTGAAAGAGATACATATTAGATTACGTTGTAGCAGTGATTATATTTGAATTAGTAGTATAAGTATGTTTATATGTATATATATATATGTTTAAGGATACAAACGGGAGGAGAAAGAGAGACGAGACAAATTGATGCTTTACTACTATTATGATTACTCTCGTCTTACGTATGTCGTTGTCGAGAATACAATAATAATGACAGGCAGACTTGTGCGCAGTGTTTATGTATGTATGTATCGATCAAAACTATGGTGTGACGACAGAAGAAGGAGAAGAAGAAGAAGGAGAAGAAGCGAACATTTCTCTCCTTTTCTACCCTTTGCGACAAGAGAAAGAGAGAGAGAGGGGAAGCCAGTCTATGGACAGATATTTTCTTTCTTTAGCGACGATAAAAAGAGAAAAAGAAGAGAGAAGGTAGAGAGAGAGAGAGAACAAGGTGAAAGTGATATAGTCTCAATTAGAGGTGTGTATACATTATTTTGAAAAAAGAAAACTGTTGATTGGCTTTTCTAAAAAAAATTAAAATTTAGTTTTATTACACAAGTAGTCAACATTAAAACTAAAGAGAAAAGGAAATGCAATGATGGAGTGAACATCCGGCGTCCGTTCAAACTCCTATATGCAATTTCTCACTCAATGTAAAGCACTTGAAATTGTTTGCTTACTGATCGCATATTCATATTTCCGATTCTCCCTTTTTTTCTCTCTCTCTTCTATCGAAACTCACTGAATCGTTAAGAGCAAAGGAGCAAGATTAAAACAAGAGTAAAACGAATATTACAACACCTGCAAATGCAAAAACAAAAGCGTCTGAACTCTTGATTTTTATAATGAAAGAAAAAAATGACGAAAAAAATTTTCATTCATGTTTCTTACGATTATTTTCAATTGTTCATTGAACACCTTTAATCTTTTTTGTCTGGCCGGTACTCAAATTATCTTGTTAATAGTCATCATCTCTTATATGAGCATCCCTATGTGCATATCATCAAAGACAAAACAATGAAAGAAAGGATCTTATGTTGTTGAACTATTAAATTGCTTCATAGGATGAAATGTATTATGTCAAGATTGTATGTAATTGTGCATACACATAATCATGCCTGCTTAGTATCAATATAATCATAATCATCATCATTACATCTGTCCTCTTTCTTTATTTCTCATCATCAATGAATCTTTAAAAAATTTCCACAGCTGTCTTGTTTATAGTGAATATGTTAGATCATTATTTAACATGATTTTTTTGGCACCAAATAATATAAACGAGCGGCCAATATGTTGTTAATATGTGCATGTGTTGAGGCATTACAATGTTCATATACAAAGTAGTAAAATATGCACATAAAATAAAAGGAACGGCTAATGCGTGAATGCCACTTTTGAGGACAATTTATGCACGCTGCTGCCAGCTTGTTCAGATGAAGAAAATTGTTATTTTTTTTTTCTATCACCTCACTATTATTGATCAATCAGCAACGTGAGAAAAGATTAGTTAGAAGATGAACGTCAAATAGATTAATTTTTTCTTTCTTCTATATACAACTGATCATTATCATACATAACCGGCTTAATTTAATTTAGATAGTATCATATTGTAAATATGTTATTATTAGAGAGAGAGAGAGAAAAAATAGATATAGATCATGATTGTTTTATACAAGATATAAAAGATAAAAACTAAAAGCTTAAAAGTTAGGCGAGATGAAAATCTTTCTAAGTTAAATTTAAGATTATTTTTATTCTTAAGTTATTCAAAAAAAAAGAGAATTGAATTCAATTGACGATATGTATTGGTCATAATCGTTTTTTGATTTAATTCACGCTTTCTATGTGTTATACTATTTAATGATTAAATAATCATAGTTGCATATTCAATGAATTCTTTCGTTGAATTCGAGTAGAATATTGAAAAGAATACGAAAAGAGAGAAGTACAAATATAGATCAATGATAAATTATAATATTAATGAAAAAAAAGTAAATAAAATAAGTATGACAAGAATGAAAATTCGAATTGTTCATATCAAAAAATTTGAAATATATGATTGTTTGATTTCTATTTTTCTTCTATTATACGAAAAGATATATTTATATTGATGCATCTTATAATCGAAAATAGTGATCGATCGTTTTCGTCATATGCAATATTAATAGCTCGACAGATCAATCGTCGTCTAATTATCGATAAATTTAATTATATACGTGAAACAAATCATATTCATACGTATAGATATTGTGAATAAGTAAAAAAAACGACTTCAATTTTTGATTATCGATGTCTAGATTAGAGGAAATCTAATTTTAATATTTTTTAATATGATTTAGATTGATAGATATTTATAATTATAAATAAATCTTGTCTCATAAGAATGTTAATGTCCTAATCTAAATTATTAATTTTTTTTCTAATGAATAAACTGTCTATAGAAAACAGCGTCATCTGTCGTTTTTTCTCATTTACTCTTTCAAATAGACCAGTCAGTCAGTAATGTGTCATGAATTTCGTAATCATTTCCATTGACTGTATAAAAGATCTATGCGTTTTTTTGATATATCTATCATACAAAAACATATGGAAAAATGCTAATATATAATATTGAAAGAATCAATAATGGTTGATTAAATGGATATTGATACATTAGTATATTTTAGGTTAAATAAAAATGAATGTCGATCATCGAGTTATTGCATTAATTGATATGGATTGTTTCTATGTTCAAGTTGAACAACGACTTCAACCAGAATTTCTTGGTAAACCATGTGGTGTTGCACAATATTATACATGGAAAGGCGGTGGGTAAGTACGATCAATTTGATATAAAATAATTTTAACCAGAAGAAATTATAATAATATAATATTTAGTCTTATCGCGGTAAATTATGAAGCTCGTGATTTTGGTGTTAAACGAGGTAAATAAAATATTCTTTTTATGTGCAAGAACATGTTTATTTAATTTAGGTATGCGAGGTGAACAAGCAAAAGAACTTTGTCCTGATTTTCATGTATTTCATGTTCAAGAAGTAAATGGAAAAGCAAACTTAACTAGGTAAAAACGAGTTATTAATTATAGAAAATCGACAAGACTAATTTTACATTATAAATAACTATTTCATATGATTTATTGGAACAAAAAGTCTATCATATGATACAATGAAGAAGAAAAAAAAGTTCTTAAAACTTACAGTGAATTGATTACTTTATATATATCCATCTTGAGCGTATAGATAAAGTTTGACTAGACTAATTTATAACTTACTGAAGGTCATCTTTTTGAGATACGATGGATATATTTTCTTCTTCTTCTATCGATTAGAAAATTATAGGTTTTAACCTTCTTCTATTATATCGTATAAACGGCAATCTTCCCTAGATTATAATTTACAATATTATGATTAGAACTGTTTAGTAGACATATATAATTGTTTATAAAATTCATTTTATCCTGTTCTCATCATGTCAATAACTCTTGATGGATACGACGTATGTCGTTGGCGTCTTATTGACAGAGGACATCGTCGCTAAGCAGACATTTGCCTTCATAATGCACATGTGGAAGGCCAAGTTCGATATGATTCTCTCGAGTAATGATGTTTGTCATCAGGGTTAAACCTAATTGAAAATATGAGGTTATTTTCAAAGTAGTTAGTTATACTATAATTCATTTGAGTTTATTTATGTTTTCATTGATATTCACTTGTTTTTATTCAAGGTGCAATATGAATCTATTCATAAAAAAAATATTTTTTGTTTAATAGACTTAATAGAATTTGATGTAATAAAAACTAATTAATTTGATTTGTCATAGATATCGAGATGCTAGTGCTGATGTATTTCGTGTTTTAAATGCAAATTATAAACTTGTTGAAAAAGCAAGTATTGATGAAGCTTATGTTGATTTAACTGAAGATATTCAACGATTGAAAGAAAGTCAACTGAAATTAACAATAGATGATTTTCCATCAACACATTTAGCTGGTTTTACAACGAAAACAAATGATGAACGAATAGAAATTGTTAATAAATGGTTAAAAGATTGTGAATTAGATGATGAAAAACGGAATTATGATCTTGTACTTGGTGCTTATCTTGTTGAAAAACTTCGAAAAAAAGTTAAAGAAGAAACCGGATTTTTTTGTTCAGCTGGTATTGCTCGAAATAAAGTAAAAACATTTCTTATTTCCAAAAAAACAAAAAAAAGAAATTCTTTTTCTGATAGATTTTAGCTAAATTATGTTGTGGATTCAATAAGCCAAGAAAACAAACTATTCTAACACATTCTGATATTGATCATGTATTTGATAATACACCTGTACAAAAAATGTAAATAAATTCTTTTCAAATTCAAATAAAAATCTATTTATAATTTCATTTGATATATATTTAGTCAAGGTTTAGGTGGAAAAGCAGGTGACCGTGTTATGGAATTATTTAAAGTTGATAATATGGGTCAATTAAGAAAATATTCACTCGATGCACTTCAAGCATCTCTAGGTGAAAGTAATGGATGTTGGTTATATAATTTAGTTCGAGGAATTGAAACAACACCTGTTAGTAGTAGAAATTTATATAAATCAATATCTGCAAGTAAAAATTTTCCTGGCAAAACATCTTTGGATACTACAGAGAAAGTATAGTAGAAATTTAATTTAAATTAAATACGAATTGAAAAGTTTGTTTTCTTTTTAGGTTCGTTCATGGTGTCAAAATTTAGCTGAAGAAGTTTTTAATCGATTAGAAAAAGATCGTGCAGAGGTATGAAATGATTCTGTGAGAATATTTTAGTTATTAAATGAAATCGTGTTTTTTATTTCTAGAATAAACGTCGTGCAAAACTTTTAACAGTTACATGTACATCAGCTACAAATGAAACAATAGCTCGTTCATGTCCTATAAATGAATATTCAATCGATCGATTTGCTAATGATGCTTATCGAATATTAAAACAATTTAATAAAAGTCCTTCTACATCTAATATTTATTCACCAGCTATTACTAATCTTGGTATTGGTGCTGGAAAATTTCTAGATAGTGTTAATAGTAGATCAATAGCTGATTTATTTTCAAAACAAACAAATAAATCTGAACAAATAATATCAACTGAAAATACAATCAATTGGCAAGAAGAAGATGAAGATGAAGATAATGAACAAGAAGAAACCATTACGGAAAAACCACCATCACCACCAGTAATATCACCAGTTAAAGGTGATTTCTTTCGGAAATTTCAAAAAAATGATGAACAAATGAAAACACCTGCAAAAATTGAAACAAAACCATCATCATCATCATCAATTACATCATTTTTTTCTCGTTATACAACAAATGAAAATAGTTGTAATTCAATACCTGAACAATCCGATGATCGATATATAACTTGTACAAAATGTAATAAGCCTATTTTAGCATGGGATATGCCTGAACATGAAGATTTTCATTATGCACGTGAATTGCAGAAAGAAGAAAATAAAAATACATTTCAACCAGCAACTATAATAAAACCAACAAAACCAATGAAACGTAAAAATGAAAAGCAACAAAATGATAATCATACACTCGATGCATTTATTAATAAAAAATCGAAAAATCAATAGTCTTTTGTGATTTATATTGTATTAAGTCACATATTTTAATGTGTAATAATTGTATAGTTCATTAAAATTGTCATTTTTTTCTCTTCTAGATTTATCTAACTCTATGTATCAAATAATATTTATTCATTATTTTCTTATTTTTAACAACAATGATATCAATTTTGGATTTGCCCGATGATGTTTTAGTAGATCTTTTTTGTCGATATGTATCTACAAAGGATTTAGGTCGAATTGAACAAGTGTGTCGAAGATTTCATGCTATACTTAACGATTATACATTGCCATGGAAAAAAGCACTTGCTCGATTAACAAATGTATCATTTTCACAATTAAAAAATGCAGCTGGATGTCCAGCATTTGAAGTAAGATCAATGTACTGACCATTTTGAGGGTGCGAGTTGATTTTCTATTCTCCTGGAATCGTACCCACACTCGCACCCTCACCCATACCCGCACCCTTACCCACATCCACACTCTCACCCACACCCTATCAGCTAATTTTTTTCCTAAAAACTAAACCGGTGTTATTATTTCTAATTCGTTCTAAATATGAATAATCGTTTTTTTCTTTAGAATATTCGTCATTCACCATCCATCATTTCACATCCATTCCATTTACCATCTGATTATCAATATGAAATTCTATCTGAACGTTCAATTAATTCATCTCATTTACTTCCATTGGATTATCGTCGACCATCAAATCAATCCAATACTTGCTCCAAACTTGACTGTGATATAAGACGTGTTTTTAATAATTATCGATATTTAATATCATTAGCACATCATTGGAATGGAGAAAATAAATATAAAAATCATACATTAATAAAATTTATTCGTCGAGCTCAAACATCTTTACTTCAATACGATGAACATAATCATCAATTATGGTTTACACATGATTATACATTACGCTGTTTAAATTTATCTAATAATCAAATTGATCATTCATATGAATTTAATCATGATGATATACTTTGCTATAAAATTTATAATAATCATTTAATCTGTATGGCAAATGGAAATCAATTAAGAATTATATGTCGACAAACAAATGATATATATCCATGTGAAAACAATCTAAATAATCCAGCAAATTTCGGTGAACGTAATGATATACTTTCATTAGATATTTATTCAAATGATCAAGAACGATATTTAATCTTAAATGGTTCACGAGATCATACAGTTTCACGTATGTTATATAAAAATAGGAGATGTATAATAATGTATTTTGTTTAGTACAAACTTTTGATATATCTTCACGACTGAATCAACCTATATGGCGTACAAAACTTGATGATCGTGTTCTAGCTAGTCGATTTACAAGTGATGGAGGACATTTTCTTATTGGCACTGGTGGGACATTAAGTCCCTATCCATTAGCTTTATTTAATACAGAAAGAGCTAAACCAATTCATGTATGTTTTATTTTTCTTAAATAATATAAGAAAATATGATTATGTTTTAAATAGTTATATAATGCAAATTATCGTCGTGGTGCTGGTGTTCGTTGTATTGAATGGGTTTCATCGAATGTATTCATTGCTGCAGGTTTTGATAATCAATTTAAAGAATTTGATTTACGTACAGGACAATGTCATTATACATTTGATGATGAATTTGCTAATGATTATTGTTCCTTAGCTGTATCTGTTGATGATCATAATGTTTCAAATGGAATAATTCTTGGTGGAAATCATAATTCAACTGTTCGTCTTGTTAATCGTAAACAACGTCAATTACAACAAGTTTTTTTTATTTCAAAAGAACGTAGTCCAGTACATAGTTTGGCTGTAACACCAGAATATCTATTTGCATCTGTTGATCGATCAATAGTTGCATTGGATTTTACAAAAAATAACCGACAATTTCAACAGATTAATCACAAATTTTGAAGATATATTTTCTAATTAAGAAAAATTCCTTTGTTTTTTATACATTTCTTTTCCGGTGATAAAATAAACTTTAAATTTATATATATACAAAGCTAATCTTTTTAATCAGAATACAAAAATATATTGCAAGATCAAGTAATTTTCAGCATTCGTTTACAATAGAATTATTACCTATATGAAGAGTCTTATAACTAGCATACAGAAAAGATCTTTATTGTACATATTGATAGATTTACGGCATTGATTATAGTCAAAGATATTCGTTACTTGTAATCATACAGAATATGACTGCAAACTTTCTAGCACTAACTTGTTCTTTTATCTGCTTTTCTTTGTATTGTATTGATTAGTTTTAAAAATATAGCATGATCTTTATTGATATATTACTCAATTTGATAACTTTAGCAAGTAGCACTATTCAGTGATAAAAATAATCTCGAGTGAATTTTGCATCTTTTCCTAGATATATTTCGAAACGACTAACAAATTCTTATATAATATGTATTTTCCTGATGTTCTTATTCGCTTGTGTGAGAATATTAATATGTATATATATTTTTTCTTTTTGATGGTTTTTTTTCCTTTTTTCTTTTTTGTTTCTTCATAGAATATAACAAAACACTCTAGCCCGATGTGTTCACAACAATAACAATAACATAAAAATTAAAAGAATAACAACATATTCGAGAATTTTCGTTATGATTATATCGTGATTGGGCTGTGAGAAAATCATTTTAACGATTTGATTTGGCTACACGTTCAAGTTCATCTTTACGTTTGATGGCGAATGATGTTGATGAACCCTGAAAAATAAATAAATAAATATTAATTTTTATATTTATAGAGGAAAAAAGAAGTTTTTGTTGGAGCAGCCTATCAAACGATAATTCTAATAATTATCATTTGCGAATTGCAAATCTTCGAATTTTATTTCGCACACGTCGACGGTCAAGCCACATGAAATATAAACTGGCCAGACTTCTAATTGTGTGCCTTTTGCTTTTTTTTTCATAATGAAAATAAACAGAGACTGATGATACAGAGGTTTGAACACAGTATCTTGTGAATACGTGCCGAACAACTGTATCCACTCAATCATGGTGGCTTAATGGGAGTCCCTCTTTCACAAAACCCGATTTTTAGAAAAACGCCAGTACTACTTTTTTTGCATAGTTTTTTGGGTGTCAATTCGCACTCATTATAGGAATTATGCATTCCACTTTTGTTCACTGCTCTGAACCTAAAAATTATACATATTCTACGAAAGTCTGCTGAAATCTGCTTCTATAACTTTTCCTATGTATTTTTCGAAATAGGGTTTTTGATCGGAAAAATTGAAATAACTTCTTTCCCGTTCATGATATACCCAATATTTTTTTTTATTTTGTAAGTCGCGATGAGAGTTAATTTTTTTCTGCAGGGTTTTTATATGTAATTGCTGTGTTGAGAAAAGTAGGATTTCTTGTCGATGGGTCACAGGTTCTCCTGCTATTTTAAGACATATCTACTAAAATAGTCATAAAAATGAGCTAAAAAGGAGCTGAAAATTTGGTCTGGTCTGACCTATAGAACTGAAATTTTTACCAGAAGCGTATCTTACAAGGATAACTCATCGCCAAAATTTTTAGCCCAAAAAGACCATCCTAACTAGGAAATCATTTCTAAGGGGGGGGGGGAACTTCTCTTAAAATAATTGTAGAAATACATACTTTGGCGGCATTGATAAGTTCATCAGCAAGACATTCGGCAATTGTTTTTACTGATTTGAAAGCTGAATCACGTGCACCTTAATTAAAAATATGAATTTTAAAAAAAACTATTTCTTATTAGATTATTTTTTTTATACCAGTGCAAAGTAAATAAAGCGATTGATTAACTCGTCGTAATGGTGAAACATCGACAGCTTGTCGTCGAACTGTACCTTGACGACCAATACGTGTTGAATCTTCACGTGGTCCACTGTTAATAATAGCATTGACGAGTACTTGAAGTGGGTTCTAAATGATATATTATGATTTTTAAAAAAAATGAATTTGTTTATTTTTATGTCTATATTACTTCGCCTGAAAGTAAATGAATGATTTCAAATGTATGTCGAACAATTCGAACAGCCATTAATTTCTTTCCATTGTTACGTCCATGAAACATAAGTGAACAAACAAGACGTTCAACAATTGGACATGATGCCTTTCGAAAACGTTTTACTTGATATCGACCAGCTGAATGTGGAAGAAATTTAGGTTGTTTTGCTCCAAGGATATAATCCTAGAAAAAAAAATAAACAATTATTTTCAAAAAAAATTTTTTTTAAATAAAAATATTTTACTTCGAGTGACATATCCGAAATTTGTACTTCGGCACCACTCCATTTTCCAAAAACTCGAATATCAGTTGCTGTTGTTTCCAAAGCATGATGATCATCAGTTATCATTAAATCTGTCATGATGGTAGATTTTAATTTTCTCTTTTCTCACAAGGAAAGGAGATCGAAGAAACGAATCTAAAAAAAAATTGAAATAAAATAATCGTTAAATTTTCTTAGAGCTATATCTTTCGAAATAAAATAAAGATTATTGTTGTTGTTTTCTTTTTTTTTCTATTTTGTTTAAATATAAGTAATAGTCTCTGCAGCCATATTCAGTTACACGTTTAAAAGTCCTCATATTAGTCTTTGAACTTTTTTTGATTGGAGGAAACAAATTATTTCAATGGTTGGTTAATACCAATATCCAGAGAATATTTTATATATATATATAGTTTATGGATAGTGGATGTCAGAACAGAACGAATAAAAAAAAATAATAATAATGCAAAGAAATTATAACATACAATCTATATTCGGAAATAAATAACTAAAATAAAATAAAAATAAAAGTCTTCTATTTATATCGTTAAATTTATACACAACTAGTCTTTAACTGGCAGATTTGCTAAAATAAATATGATGCTTAGTTGACTAGTGTTTGATTAGATTTGACGTTTGATTTATTAAGTGGCACCTCAATCAATATAGCACTTCAGAATTTCCGTTTTAGTTAATTCTTCTTTACGCATGATGGTGACATTTGAGCTTATAGCTTAATCGAATTAATAATGTCACTCTTCACATCATCATCATCATCAATTAATTTCTCTTGGGATCGGGAACGATGGGAGAGAAAGCTTTTATAGGCACTACAACTCTGAATAGATGCAATATTCAACAATTGCTTTTGCGTGACATACACGATAGTATTATAGTTTCAATAGAGGTCGAAGCAATAAAAAAAGAGAAGAATAAGTAATTCTCGATGCTTGATGTAATCTTTGTATACAGCAACTTGATCGGTCGACTAATACATGAAGACAGAACGAACGAACGATACGAACGAACTGATTCGATCATCAACACAACTTTTTTGTACATATACAAAAGTAAAGAGTAGAGAGAAGGTCATAGGAAAGTTTGTTTCTGTTTGTCAGACACATAGTTTAAATGTCTACTCAACAGCACCATCGTACTGCTCGAGGTAAAAAAAAAGAAATTCTCATTAACTTTTTTGTCTTTATAAATACAGTTCATTAATTTTTGTCAGAATATATTGTTTTAATTCCATTACAAAAAACGTCAACTGTCAATATAGTTTCAATAGAAAGACAAAATCTTATTGATAAAACAGATAAAAATATTCTTCATATTGGTAGTGGATTGAATGATGATTTTATTATATATAAAAATTCTCAATCAGGTAATTGTTACAAAATATAATATTTGATTAAAACTAATTTGATTTATAATTAGTACAAGAAGAAAATGAACCAATTGAATTTTCCTCTCGATTTAAAGTCTTTATGATTGATAAGCAAACGAAAAAAATACATCAAGAAAATCGAATATTACATTTTTGGTTCTATGATCTTCAAACAGATGAATGTGTAAATGAAACAAATGAATTTATGCGTGTATTACTTAAATCCAATGAATTTCCTCGAGGTTAGATAATAAACTAATCTTATTATTATCATCATCACATGAAAGAATTATTCTAGATTATTTTTCATTTATTAAACGTTTAATGGAATTATTACGAACATTTTCAATAATACGAAAGATTCAACTAGAAATTCAAACACTAACAGATAATAATCTTGATAATGATCATCCACGTACGTGATATTTTACTCTAATTAAAAAATAAGATATAGATATCATCAGTCATTTTTTGTCACACAATATCAACTCTATATGATAAGACATATAATCAATATAGAGAGAATATAATATAATATATCTATTTTTTATTGTCTAGTTTTTATAAAGAATAAAATTGCTCAGATAATTTGCATTGTAGTAGTAAAGTTACTTACTTTATTATAATCATAGTTATTGAGATTTGTTCTCTTTTCTTCTTCTTTTTTTTGTTTAGTATATGAAAATAATCCTCAACGATATGGTGATATGGTTAAAGAAAGATTATTAGACTTGCTCGAACAAGCATTTCCTAATCCTATGTTAGTTAATGATTTGGCAAAGTAAATATATTTACATTATTTAATTTCCTGAATGAATAATTTCTTTATTTCCTTAACAAAAAAACTCCAGATATGTCGAGAGTGATGATCAAATAGTATTTCAATATCTTGTGGAGTTAGAAGATAAAAATCTTGTTAAACATCTTGATCATGATGGTCAACAATGGACACGTGTTATTATATCGGCTGAAGAAGAAGATACTCATAGTTCGTAAACTATTGACAAGATAATCTTTTGTATTACTTTTTTTTGTCTTATAGAAGTTATTCTCTATAAATCAATTGCGGAATTATCAAGTACATTTCGTCCAACAATTGCTATAATAACAGTGAATTATTTTGAAAAATTAGCAGTTGATGCTATGATTGAAAATAAAATTACATTCGTACGACATAAAGCAGGTAAATTATATAAAAGAAATTTTTTCAAAAAAAAAGATTATTTTTCTCTTTTAGGTGAATCAAATGTTTATACAATTGGTACAATTGGTTCACATCATGTTGTTTCAACAAAATTACCATTAATTGGTCGAAGTCGAACAGCACAAATTTCAACAGGAAGTACAACAACTCGATTATTAGGTACTTTTCAACATGTTGAACATGTTTTTATTATTGGTTGTGCTGGTGGTGTACCTCATTATACAGATGCAAACAAACATATACGACGTGGAGATGTTATAGTTGGATATCCAAATGAAGAAGATTATATTTATGGTAAATATTCTTTATTCATAACTGAGAACATTTAATGTCGAGTGTCTTTACTCATAAATAAGAGTATTTTGACATGTATATAAATGTCGTGATTGTTAAGTAGATCGTAATACTGCATTATCGATTGGTATGAAGGTGTATATCAACAATAGACGTCGAGATGACATTTGCAATGAATAATATGTACACACACACACATATATAAATCTTTCATGTTATAGATAAAAGCTCATTATTATCTATTGCATAGTGATTGTTCGATTTCTTTCTTTCTCATATCGTTAGATAAATATAAAATATTCCCCCTTGGGATATCATCTTTTTCTATATAGTTAACTATATTTCTGAACGTACACATATATGAGTATCGTATTTTATAACAGTAGCTGATGATTAATCGTAACGAAGAAGAAGAAGAAGAAGAAAAAGGATGAGATGCAATTTTATAGATTAATAGAAGAAGAATGTAAAAGAAATATTAGAATAATTGACTACTTGCTTTTTTTTTAATACTAGTATCAAATGAAAATTTAATATTTCTTCTTTTATTCTTCGTCCACTAATATAAATTGTCGGTTTGTTATACAAATAATTTAACTGTTCGTTGATCTATATGTTCCTTTTTTCCCTCATCTATTTGATTCTTACAAATGAGTTGCATTTTGTACGCGCGCGCGCGCATAGAAGAGGAGAGAATAAGCTTAATAAGAAAAGTTAAGATTTTGCTCACACTCGTTATTACTAAAACAGATGACGTAATCTAGATTAAGCATCATGCAAGTGAGTGATAAAGCTTGCACATTTTTAAACAACTCATTATATAGACATCTAACCTTGAATTTTATTACTCTTACACTAATTAAACAATAAATTCATATTATTTATTGCTTAATAAGAATATAAATCATATATTTTCTATAGGTATCTATGAAGCTGAACAATCATCTGAAGGTTATGAATTTGTTTCTACATGTTATAAACCAAAAAGTTTTGAACTTTATCAATTAATGGATCCAATAAAAGAAAATTATCAGCAAACAAATTTAACTCGACCATTAACACATAAATATCCATGGGAAAAGTTTCTTGAAGATGGTATACAATATTTACTTTCACATAATATTGATTGTTTACCACCATCAAATGATCATTTATATATTAAAATGGAAAATGGTGAAATTGTTGAAGTTGAACATCCAACTAAAGATAAAAAAGATTATACAAAACCAATAATACGTTTTGGTATGATAGCTGGTGGAAAAAATATTTTAACAAATGATTATTTCAAATCAACATTAAGTGAAAAATGTAATGTTTTATGTTTTGATTCGGAAATTGATCAAGTTATTGCTGCTATACAAGGAAATCGTACAGAATCATTTATGATTATACGTGGAATATCAGATTATCATGATGGAACTTTAAATAAAGAATGGCAACCATATTCTTCTCTATGTGCTGCGTCATTTATGAAAACAATTATTTATAAAATTCCAAGCAACCTACATTCTCATTCTTTTGGTGAAAATAATGATGATAATAATAATGTACTTTAGAGAATTTTATACATTCCATTTTTTATACTTATTCATTTTTTTATCATTTTATATATTCTATATATTTGATTATCAATAATAATAATATATTTCTAGATGATATGGGTAAAAATCGATATAATAATAGACGACATCCATCAGTTATGTTGGATGCTGGCTATGTATCAATACGAGCAATTGATATATGTAGGTCATCAAAAATAATTGGTTTACATGGGAAAAAATTATTTTGTGTTATTTTAACAGTATTTATTCTTTTTTTAATTAGTTTTATAAATTTAACAGTAAGTTAAGAGATTTCAAAAGAATATCCATCTAATATATTTTTTTTCGAAGTGTCTCATAGTAATTATGTATAAACTTGATTGGACACCATTTCATAAAAATGGTTCAAAAGTATTTCGATTTGATAAAATAAATCAAAATATCGAATTATATAATCAAGTAACATTTAACGAAGCAATTTATACAACGAAAATTAAAGATTCATCACAAATTGATTTAGCATCTAATGATCAGGTTTACTAAATATAATTTATTTATTTCGAAGAAAACAAAATTTTTTTATTTCTCTAGATTGATATTTATGGTGATCATAATTCAATTTTATTTGATGATGATCAAATATTAATGAATACAGAATATTTTCATATGAATCATAAGTTATTAGTCGATTTTAGTAATCTTCATTTATTTAAATTTGATGATAAAAAAAATACAAAAATACATCTTGATCATACCAATTCACAATACGTATGAAAAAATTATTTTATAATTAAAGATAAAAATTAAAATCTATTTTATTTAGATCTACAGTAAAGAATTAAATCTTACTGCACAAAATCATTTAACAATTTCCAAGGTGAATAAAGTATTATTTTCTGGTGAAAATTTAGTCATAAATACAAATAGACATAATCGACGATCAGTTATACGTTTTGATAATAATCCAAGGAAGTTAAAAAATTCTGATTATCGACAGGTATTTTTCGAAAAATAAAATTCTCATTTCTTAATCTTTTTTTCATATAGAAATCTTCATTTGGAAATTTAAATTTTCAATCAGATTCACTATATTTTGATATACCACGATCATCATACGAAGAAAATCCTCGTCGGATTAAAGCAAATGTCTATCGTATATGCATTTGTAATACAACACTTTTACTTTTACAGAGCTTTGCTCATCAGCCATGTCCTCTCTGTTAACAAGTATTCTTTTTTTTCTTCCTCAGGTGTTATTTTCTTGGTGCTTTGTTTTTCTTTTGTATTATATATTTCTTCATGTTGTATATTTTGATTATTCGAGTTTTTGAAACTGAGACAAATAAGTCTTACAATATTTTCTTTTTTTCTGAAATTCATGACAAAAAATCAAATGAATTTGTTTTTTTCTTCTTCTTCTTCTCATTAATCTGTGCAATATTATAATGATGATTCATTTCTGATTAAAAGGATACATACATTGTATCAATAGTTGAGAATATGTTTATAATAATTCAATGACAAACCTTTTCATAATAGTATAAGTGATGATCTATTTCTTCGTTTGAAAATTTGCCGACAACGATGAAGTAGATGTAAACTATGTTTATGTTGTGCTTCTCTGCATTGTATTAGATAATAGAACAAGATTATTTATTGTGATAACATTAATGATGATTCCTTGTTGATAGAATATTGTATTTACTAACTGTATGATTTTATAGATCAGTAATAATATTGTTATATTATGTTAAGTCAAAATACATCTTATTAATCAATAAGATTTATATCTGAAATTCCTTTTTTTTCCTATGACTCTTAGATTATATTAAACTTGATAAAGACAACTCTACAATTTATATGACAGTAATGACATTTAAGAAACATAATTGAGTTATTCATAATGACAATTGAAAGAATTACAATCATTGATAAATGGGTAACAACAATCAACGTTTCACTTGTCAATAAATCATATATTGTTATATATTTTTGTAGGTAATAACATGAATATTGTAGCCATGTGCTTTACTTAGAAATGTAATCATTCAATATACTTATATGAAAAACAAATTTTTTTTTTGTTATTTATGTAACTATAAATTATTGATGATTAGTTACCTCACTTGCGGCCTCTTTTAAATTCTTGCCTGTCAGATCAATTGAAACATGAATATTTAATATAGTAACGTTCAAAAATAACTGAAACTCGATTTTATACAACGATGTTTGAATTCTATGTGATTGTCGAGACATCGTTCTCAACTTGACGTTGATTCTATTGCTTTTATTCTGATTGGATAAAAGTAGATTTTCACAGCAGCTACTAATATTTTGATAGTAATGTTTTTTTTATTCTGAATGTATAGTGATTAATGATGCATTAACAATCCCTAATATTCACGAGCTTGATTCGAAGACAATCCAAATAGATAATTGAAATCATGGCTCATTCGGAATTAACACAAAAAGATCGAGCATTTGCGGCTTCAGCTGGAGGTTAATATTTTGATTAAATATATATATATATACATTTATTTATTTTATAGTTTCTGCAACACCCGCTACGACACCACCTCAAACACCACGACATGGTAGTACTGCTGATATCGAGTCAACTACTAAATTTGAATTGCCTCGATCAGCATACTATATAATATTCGTTGAAGGATGTGAAAGATTTTGCTTTTATGGTCTTAAAACAGTTTTACTCCTGTATTTTATGCATTTTCTTTCACTGAACAAAGATACATCTACAGCAGGTTATCATTTATTTTCATCAGCATGTTATCTTACACCAATTATTGGAGCTATTATATCGGATGGGTTTATTGGCCGTTATTCAACAATATTATATTTATCATTTGTTTATTTACTTGGAACAGTCGTTTTAACATTAACAGCAATACCACAAATTGGTGGAAGAAACTTGTATATTTAATTTTAAATTTTTTTCTCATTTATGAAATATATAATTATAATTATTTCTTTAGGACTGGACCTATTATTGGCTTATCATTAATTGCTCTAGGAACAGGTGGAATAAAACCATGTGTTAGTGCCTTTGGAGCTGATCAAATATCAATGGCAAATGTAATATATAATGAAAAAAAATTAATGATAAATTTTATTTCTGTATTTTTAGCCTAAACAATTAAGTCGATTTTTTGCTTTTTTTTATTTTGCAATCAATTTTGGTTCATTAATTTCAACTCTATTAACACCTATTCTCCGAAGTATATTTGAACTATTTCATATTTTTTTTTACTATTCTATTTTCTAGGCAAAGTTAGTTGTTTCGGTTATGATTGTTATTCATTAGCTTTTGGTATTCCAGCAATATTAATGTTAATATCTATAAGTAAAGATATGAGGAAATTTTTTTCATTTATTTCATATGTATATATATTTATAGTCATATTCATTATTGGTACACCATTATATAAACGTATTCCACCGAAAGAAAATATAATTGTTAAATTTATAGCAATTATTTTAGTAATTATCAATATTGATTGTTAGGAAATTTATTTTATATACTTTTTTATTAATAGCGTGCCATACGCAATACATTTTCTGGCTCATCATCAGGACGACGAGAACATTGGCTTTATCGTGCAGATGATAAATATAGTGTAAGTAAAAGATAACAGAATTTAGAATTATTTAAGTAGTTTATGATATCATTCTGTAAAGCATGAAGAATAAATATGTACTTATATAATGTTCTTATCAGCAGAGAGTGTTAGATTAACATCGGAAATTCTACACTTTACTGTATAATTAGAAAAAAAAGTGAACTTACAATTCCTTATTTCTCAAACTTTTGATATCTAAATAAATTTTCAATTTTAGCTTATGATTTATCACTAAATATAATATTTATGTTGAAGTTAATTGGTCTGAATAGCCCTTCCATAATTTTGAAAGAACGTGACTTTTCATCACTGTCAATTAACGATATAAATGTTCGATTTTCTTCACATGATTATCTAGCTAATTTCGTTACTTATTGTATGAAGGGTGACATAAATTCAAAAGCTATTTCCATTCAATATGAACACAAAAATAAATAGATGTTGTCATCTAAAGATATGTGAACTTGAACTTGTATCTAGATTCTGATTCAAAAAAAAATCAATGAATTCTAATTAGTACTAAAAGACTGAATTATTCTTATTTTAAAAATATTCAAATTTGATTATAATGAATAAAAATTAAGCTTTAATCTATTAATTTTTAGGCGGATGATATCGAAGATGTTCGCTCAGTTCTTCGCGTATGTCTTTTATTTACACCAATTCCAGTTTTTTATGCTTTATTTGACCAATCCGGTTCACGTTGGACCTATCAGGCAACATTAATGAATGGTAGTCTTGTACGTATATTTATGAAATAAATAAAAAAGAAAAATATAATTTTGAAATTCTAAGGGTCCATTTGGTACAATTCAACCTGATCAAATGCAAGCATTGAATAGTTTATTTGTACTTCTATTTATTCCACTTTTTGAAGAAGTTATTTATCCAGCATTTGCTCGTTGTAATTTATTAATCAGGTTAACGAAAAACAAAATATAAAATGAAAAAATATATATATAAATATTTCTTTAGACCATTACAACGAATGTTTTGTGGATTGATTATTATGATGTTTGCTTTTATTGTTGCAGCAATGCTTCAACAAGCAATCGATGTATGCATATAAGAATTTCTTAATTTTAATTGTTAATATATTCATTCATTGTAGTTAAAGTCAAATGCTATGCCAGTTCGTCGACATACAAATATATATAATGGTTATAATTGTACAATAACTATGAATACAACATTAAAAATTGATCCTAGAGAAGTAAGTTTTAGCTTTTTTTTGTAAGGAAAGATTTTGAATTTTATTTTAGGTTGCACCTATTTCATGTACAAAATTACTTCGGGAAGGATTAGTATTAACTTCAACATGTAACGGCGCTTTTGTTCACTTTCAATTAGCTACTGATGAAATTTGTCCATCAATTTTAATTATATCTGAACTTAATGACGAATCACGTGGACAAATGATGGGAGTTACATCAGTAAATAAAATAATAATTATTATTAACTTACTATTTTAATTTCTATTTTTTTAGTTATCAAATTCATTATCAAATCAACGTGGTGTTAAAGAATTTGCTCTATTACGGTATAGAAATCTAAATTAAAATTATTTATTTCTATTTCTTCATATTTTTTTCTAGCATGGTTTCATTGGATGGTAAACAAACAAAAATACAAACAATACCAAATAAATATCAATATGACATAGAAAAAAAATTGTTACCCACAGCTTATCAATCGGTTTTTCCGACAGAGTTAGTAGTCTTTTTCTTTTGTGCGAACATGAACAATTTTTCTAAATAATATTTTTTATTTAGTTATCGAATTGAAGATTTAGTTAGTGGAAAACAATCTGTGAAATTATTTGATGTGCATACAACCGCTGTTTATACAGCTCTTCTTCATACTACAGATGATAATAAGGTTAGTTAAATATTTTGTATAAAATAATTTTAAAAGATAAAATCTACAAATAGCTTCATATTCTACGAACATATACTGGGATATTACTGAGTAATTTTTTGTAATAATGCACTGAATGAATTAGATTCTAACAGCTACCATTACGCACCACGTGTATTCATTCTATTTAATTTGAATACAAATCTAATATCATTTATAGATATAACGTATTAAAAAACTTTTGTCACAATTTAGTAATAGAGAGAAGAAAATAATATGATCTATACTTTCAAATTCCGAATGAAAATATTGTTCATATATATGTAGTTTAATAGAATATTGTGCTGTGAGTTCTTCTGAATGTTCTCTGATCATTTTATTGCGCATTTACATTAATGAAAATGTTCAGTTATTATCATAAAAGTTAAAGTAGTTGCTTTTATCTTAAACATTGTTAAGTTTGTTGTTTTTTACATGATTGTCATGTTACCCATAGCATCTTGATAGTTATGAGTTATCAGACTAAAAAATCATTTAAACATGAGTTTCAAAAACCTTATAAATTGACATCCATCATTTTCGAACATTAGTTTTTATTTATGGGACGTATTGAGAATTCTTTTAAGATTTTGTCTCATTGAAGTTTAATGCATTCTATTATATTTATATATCATGTTGTTTTACATAAGAACAGACTTTTAAGTAATGTATGTTATAATTTATATGCTGAAGTATATTTTCTTTTGTTTTTTAACTCAAATGTATCACTTGAAAATTATTGATACCTATGTAGATTTTATTATCAATAGGAATATTGTTAATATCTATTTGATAAAATCATGACTATCAGCGACTAAAAGAATAGAAAAGTAAATACCTGTAGCTACATAGGTCAAAGAACATATAATTCGATAAAGTGATACTAAAAACTTTATGAACTTTGACAGATATTTCTTTATTATTTATAAAATACAAAGGAGTAAAAATTAATATTTGAAAGTAACACTAACGGCACGGCGTCATATAAACTATGATTTATATAAAAAAGAATTGTCATAGTATTTGCTATCAGCTAACTACTCACGTCTGGTAATTTCTCAGAGGTAATAAATATTTTTAATAACATATAATAAATAATAAATGATAGGCAAACTTTTTTGAATTCAATTAAAAAAAGACACATAATAAAATCTGTTTTTTTTTCTTCTTCTTTTAGTTACATACCGTTCTTTTTGAAGATGTTCCACCATTTACAGTACATATTTTATGGCAAACAGTTCAATATGCTCTTATGACTAGTGCAGAAATGCTTGTTAGTATTACAGGTCTTGTATTTGCTTATTCTCAAGCACCAAAACGTTATAAATCAGTAATTATGTCAGCATGGTTATTAACTTCAGCTATTGGTGATTTAATTGTTGTTTTCGTCGCTGAAGCTCGTATGATTAAAGATCAAGTATGAAAAAAAAATTTTGTATTAAAATAAAAAATAAAATTTTTATATTTTAGGCACTCGAATTTGTGTTTTTCGCAATTTTAATGGCATTTGCAACATTTATTTTTGGTTTTCTTGCTATTCATTACAAAGATCGTAATCCACGAGCTGATGAAGCTGATGAAGATCAACAATTAATTCTTGATAAAAATACTTCTGAACCTGATCAACTCATTCAATAATCAAAACGCAATACAACGAATCTCATATTCCAGTATCCGCAATTGTTGTGATGTAAATCTGTATTAGATTTTTGTTTTATTTTATAATCTGACAAATTCAACTGATCTCTCTAACAAAAAAAATAAGATAATAACTCATTTTAATCTGTATTCGTTGTGAAATTATTTAACGTATATATATACTAATAAATCTAATTATTAATAATTAAAAAGAAAATAATTGATTATATGCTTACATGGAAAAATGTTATTCGTATTTATTTCTTATTCTCTCTCCCCTTCTCATCCACACATTTGATTTCTTATATATGTTTTAAAAAGCAACGAATATATATAACAATAAGATAGATTTTAGTTTAAAATTTTGTGTATTTATTTTTTATTCATTCAATGTCGACCGAATTGAACGACGACCAACACGTGGTAACATAATAATACGTTTCGACAATTGTACATTGTCAGGATTATCTTGTTTATTTTGATAGAATTTATGTTGTTGATGATGATGATAATTATTTAAATTTTCGGGAATATGAAATCGTCCAGATGCAACAGCATAATTATTGAGAAATGTATTATCGACCGATGCTTGATCTTCATCATCATCAGCATATACTGGTGAAGTACTGCTGATTCGAACAAATGTGCATAAGAACACAAAACAGATCATCACTATAAATATAGATAAGATATATACATACATATTTGTAAAATTATTCGATCAATTAGCTTACATTTGATGACCCAACATGCTGCTGATGAACCCATAGTTGACTGAGAGAGTAAGTAGTTAAGACAGATAGGAAGAAGAAGAAAAATCTGAAGTAAATTTTTTTAATAATAATAATTTATAAACAATATAAAAAGAATAGTTGGTAATAAATGAATGTATATAAAAAAAGTCTAGAGTAAACGTATATAGTCTCTCAACAGGTACCGAGGAGAGCTCAATGAATATTCTCAATAATATCCCCTATTCTCGTTGTCTTTTTATCTCTCTATTTTTTCTCTGTCGTCGTTGTTTTCTCGTCTCACAAAATAGAGAAGAAAAAAGATCGAAGAATACTTCAGAGAAAAACTTTCTCTATATTTTTTTTGTTTTAATGAATATAACAATAAATATGTTCCTAATCCCTTGTGGATAACTACTTTATGTAGAGATAAAATGAAATACCATCAATGCCTTAATTTTCCATACTTTTACCTTTAGCCCAAAGCTGACAGATCAATATCCGGTATATTATAAGTAATAAGTTTATGTGAACCTCAAGAGATACTAGAGTGAGACACGCTACATGTAATCATTTGATTATATATCATACGTCCCACGTAGTTTTCTTAAAAGTTAGCTAATACACAATGAAAATACTTAATCTTAATCATTTGAATTCTTGTTTTTATTTTAATTTTCGGATGAAAGACTCGCCGATATAATCTTACTTCTTCTTTTATTATTTATAATTTTTATCCTATCAAACAAAATATTTCTTTTGACAGTCGATTAAAAATGAACATTAGAGTTTACACAGACAGAATGAACAATCCAGTTATTAGTATTATATTTCGAAAGGACCTGTATATGAGGATCAGTCAATGTACCTATGTTGATACGTTTAATAAGTATTAGAAAAAAGGAAAAAGATATCTTGGCATATTGCGTATATATATTATGTATCATGCTTATAGAATATCATAAATTTTATATTATCTAATTTTAATCCTCTGCAATGTTTACAAAGAAGGGAATATATTATATGAATCAACTATGCTCATAATATTTGTCTTGGAATATTTTGACTTTTATTTCTATTCAAAAGCGAAATGCGAAGAATGATCATCATAAAGTTTTTTTTATTTTAAAAAATATGTTCTATATTTTTTGCATTGAAGATATAGCAAGAAGAAGAATATTAGTGTGTCAACATGTCTATATTTTATTTTTAGTCAACTAACTACTAATGTCAACTAAACTATATAATTTAAAATAATTCGTCTTGTAGATTATAGAAAATAATATTAACTCTATCAACCATTACCAAGAGAAATGACATACTTAATCATAGCAGAATAAGATATAAGTGCAAATTAATGTACTGAAATAAATTTCTAACTACTATATTGTCTAAGATCAAGTCTCTTGCATTACCTAAGTGTTATTATAGTGTGAGTAATATCAAAATATCATCGGTCTACAAACTGTTCAATGTTGCATATCTAATAACAAATTGATTATAATTAACTATATGATTTCCATCAGTATTATAGACATCATAAAAAAAGAGTTCGAATGAGTACGTTCTCAGAGTCAAAACATATAAATGATATTTTTCATTCATAGAATTATGAAATAAAAAAGAACAACATAGAAATAATCCTCTTATAGTCAAGATGCTAATACATGTAAAAATCTTTCAAACGTAGGACCTTATGAATTTGACGATGCGTATATTTTAACTTCAAGTAGTGACAAACACATTCAGTTGGACTGTTGATGTGATCATAGGATGATCTGCATATAAAAAGATGAATATAACTATATCACAATCAAATGCGATCAAAAGAAAAAAAAAAGAAAAGAATTTTTCTATTCTCAATCGAATAAGTTTTCTATTTATAAACAAAATCTCTATAGTATACGAAAATTAAGCTTAAAAATGAATATTATTTAGTTCTTAATTATTGATCAATCTTTGGCTACTTTATATCAACAATTCTTGTTTTTTTTCTATGGAAGTGATCGATTAATACATACTGAAAATCTTATATCCTATAAATTCTATTTTTTTTTTCTAATAAATATGCTAAACAATTCATGGAAGAAAAATCGACTGTCTACCGGTATTTGCGTGATCTATTCAGGCATATTTTAATTTAATATTTACATAATTTTATCATAGAATATATATCTATATTTGTTTGTTTTTTATTAATTTGATCACGATTTATTTGAACTGATTCCTTGATTTTTTGTTTTGACTGTCAAATAAATATCAAGAGATTGAAAAATCATATAAAGACAATAAATCATGTTCATTTATCAATCTAATATTTTATATAATTAATATTATTTGTAATAAATTTCATTGGTTTCTACATCTATTCTAATTACATTATCATAAACTTTCATCATTGATAAGACAAAAAAAAGCATAAATTACTACCGGTGCATTTTTTATTAATAAAGTTCTAAAAATAATTTGTGTTATCATATTGCTGCCAGTCTTATGTGATTCAATGTCATGTTACAGTACCTTTTATTGATATTTGTAGACAACTAAAAAGGAAGATTGACATTTATATTTCAATATCTCAAGTTATTTTTCTTACATTACAGACCATAGGATAATTAGTTGTAATTCTGTATCATCAAGATCAATGGTTTTATTGTAACTTTTTTTCGCAATGATCAGATCTGGGCGTATTAGTTAATTCTAAGAGCACAGTTTTGTATACTACCATTGTTGATCATTGTATTTATAGAAGTTATAATTAATTGGGGAGATTCCTAAGTTTCTTTATTCAAAATATAGTCTTTTAATGGAACAATACTTAGTGCTCATTGTTCCAGAGAGACACATCTGAATGAAAGAAAAAAAATTATTATAATAAATTAAATACTTATTTTCCATTGTATGGTTGAAAGAAAAGACCTATTTTATATAAGTTCATAAAGTACACGATAGATTCCTATTTCTAGTCAATTCTAGACTGTTTACATCATGAAGCAATAATTATCACTAGCTAAAGAATATGAATGCAAGTCACCATTTGACGACTATGATACATAATGAAAAACATTCGTAATATATAATCGAAATAATACAATTCACATCACGAAGTTATATTGAATCAGGAAACTCATTTTAATAAGTAATTATAACATACAAATAATATATATTAAACTTGGATTAAGTCGAATTGAATTAGAAAATTCATTTCTATAAGCAGAATATGTCAAATAAAGATATCATCAGTATGAAAATCTATTCCAATAAGTTTATCTTGTCACAAAACTGCATAATTTAGAGAATCATAAGCATGAATATTTTTTACACAGAATTATGACAAGTAGCAATATTGAAAATGAACTTTAAATTGATATATAAATAAAGCCAAAATGATGTCATTAAAATAAAAGAAAGTTTTCCAAGGTCTGTAATATTCAATAAATCAACTATGTCTTACTAATTTTCTAATGTTATACAAAAACGAATTAAAATTAATGTTAATTTATATGATAAAAATATTCGACTGTAATATTTTATGAAAAATTTTTTGCATTATATTTTAAATCAATATTCCTTAACGATGTCAAAAATAAATTAACAGGTTATAGTCATATCATTTATAGTGAAAAAAAGAATAAGTAGAGAAATTTTCAATTAATTCGATTAATCTGGATATCCTTGGAATTAAAACAAGTTCTAGTAATATTTCTAGTTAACGGAAGAGATCAGAGTGTAAGTATACTAAAACAATTTTCAGTAGAGCAGCACATGGAAACAAATCTGCTAATGAACTAGTTTAGTATTTATAGTATTCATATGAGCATTTCTTAAAAATTAGTTGATTAAATAATTACAAGGATCCTGGAGCAGAATTGGGACCGGACCGGACCGGCCGGTCTTCACTGGTCTCTTTTTCAATTTTTAAAAGTTTTTAGGGCTAAAAACTTGCCTATTTTGCTCATTTTTAACGAGTTTCATGTTATCAATCGTTAAGAGATATGATCCTGAAGGTTTTCAATTGATACATTTTCACTCACTATCGAAATTTCAGTTTTATACATTCATTAAAACTTCTCCATCCTCAGAAATCTTAAATAACATGTCTAATTTAAAAATGATATATTTTAGCTCACTTTATCAATCTGTTTACATAATATCGTCATTTTTGTAGATTGTGATGCTTTTCAGCGGTATTAAATAGTTATTTTAGATAAAAATAGATCAAACTGATCAATCTTAAGAAAATTTTATTACTGTTGAAAAAGTCTCAGCTAAAACATAGTTAGATGTTGTGAGTTCTTAGTCAACGATAATATCCACCTTGACCACCACCAGCATTGCGTAATATTTGAAGTGATCGTTCTAAAGTACGTATGTCTTGTGTACCGAAAAACAATTGATATTTATGAATTTCAGACTCATTAATTGATGTTCGAGCACCGCACATAGTATCTACAAAGTTCTGATGAAAAATTGACGCTACTAGACCGAGTTCACCATTTTCTTCTTTTATTTCAAATTGAATTTTTTTTCGAACAAATTCTTCGATTGCTAAAGTACAAGCACGTTGACAAATTTTGGCTAAATCAGCACCGGTGAATTTGTCGGTTGCACCAGCCACGTAATTCAAATCACCATTTGTTGCTTCAGGTGATTTTCTTAAAACAGCTTTTAAAATCGCTACACGTGATACGTGGTTAGGCAATGGAACATGACTTAATTTATCGAAACGACCTAAATATATATATATATATATTAAATTAATATTTTATTTCGTATAAAAAATCGATAAATTTTTACCTGGTTGAATAATAGCTGAATTGATCACATCTAGTTTATTGATTGAACTAACAATAAAAACATTTGTTTTGCATCTAACGCATCGATTTTAGTTAGAATTTGATAAAGAACACGATCAGCTTTACCACTACCATCGCCAGCATCACAAGAACAAGCTTTTGATATAAATACCAAAAATAAAATAGAAATATTGATTATGTTTTTTTTAACTTACCAATTGAATCTAATTCATCAAAGAAGAGCACACACGGTGCTGCTTGATGAACTTTGTCAAATATATCGCGTAAATTGGCTTCAGATTCAACAAGCGACATAGCTAATAATTTTGAACATTTGATTGACATAAAATTTACCTGGCATTCATAAGCAGTCGCTTTTGCTAATAATGTTTTACCTAAAATTGAATATCAATATAACTAAACAACAATAATAAAATAGAGAATATCAACATACCACAACCAGGTAGTCCATATAAAAGGACGCAACGTGAGGGTGTCATACCAAATTTACGAAATTCTTCGTATTCATTGAGTTGATATTGAGCAAGTCCTTTTACTTCACCTTTAACACTTTCTAAACCACCAATATCTTTCCATCTTGTTGTTGTAAATTCAAGAACTGTTTCATATAATACTGATGGATATGTTTCATTAAGTGCATATTGAAAGCTATTTTGGCTCACAGCTAATGAATCAGGTATTTCAGCATCAACTGTATCTTCTTTTAAATCGATAACATCCATTTTTTCTCGATATTGTTCAAAAACCGATTTTGAACATAATTTTGCTAAGTCGGCACCGACGTAACCGTTTGTTTCATTAGCGATTTCTCTAAAATCAACGTCACTACCTAATTTCATGTTTTTTGTAAGGACACTAAGAATTTCGAATCGACTAATAGCATCAGGTATGCCAATATAAACTTTACGATCAAAACAACGAAGTGCTGGATCAATTGAATTTGGTCGATTTGTTGCCGCCATAACAATAACATTTGAACATTGTTTAAGACGATCCATCAATTTTAATAGTTGTGAAACAATAGGAGGTTCGGCTTCACCATGTGTTTTTTCACGTTTTGGTGCAATAGCATCAATTTCATCAATGAAGATAATAGTTCGAGAATTCTATAAATAAAATATTATTAAATAGTTTCTTAATTTTAATCATTGAAAGAAAACTATTATCTATTTACTTTTTTGGCTTCCTCGAGTAAATTACTTGGATTTAATTCTGAATCATCAGCTAATTGAGAGTTAATGTCTGGTATATTAATTAAAATGAATTTGGAACCAGTTTCATTAGCTACTGCACGAGCAATTAATGTTTTGCCTGAAATATATAATTCATTTTTGTTTTTCATTTATTCCAAGTAAAAACTAATCATACCCGTGCTTGGTGGTCCACAGAGAATAATATCACGTTGTGGTTTCACACCAAATTTTTTAAATAATCTTGGATGATTTAATTGTAATTCAACCATTGCTTTAACTTGTGATAATTGTTTTTTTATACTACCTATATCGTCATAATCAACTGCATTTAATAATGCGTCTATCGCTTCACGCTTGATTGAATTATCTTCACAATTTATAATTGTACCATCGACAACAAGACAATACGGATTGGAATCGGTTTTAATAACCATAAATTCAATAGCATGCGTCTGTGCATGCACAACGAAAACATCTTTTTCTTTAACTGGTCGACGAGCTTCACCAAAGGGTGTGAGCTAAGAGAAAAGACACCCACACCCACCCACACCCACACCCGATAATAGATAGGGTTCAGTTCGGTCACTTTTATCTGATTGTGATTGGTCATAGAATGGAAAAAAAGTTCTTTTATTCGACACGATATTGTATTGTTTACATTCTTTTTATTATCCAGAAGTACTAACCCAGGTCAAACAAGCGCGATCGTAAACGATCGTATTTTGCCGTATTACCTAAGACCGTATTATGATCGTATGTCTCCGTGCCGTAAACGGTGAAATACGGTCGTATATGGTCGTATTTTTTCCGGATACGGTCGTATTCAATCGTTTACGAAATTTGTAATAATCGACCTGGGAAGAGATTTTCGTAAAATTTTGAATAGTTGAAAAAAAAAGTATCTAATAGATATAATATGAATTTTGAAAAATACTTTATTTTATTTTTAGAATAACTATAATAAACAAAAAGTGGAAGATAAAAATATGAGCACGGCCAAGCATTACGAAATTTCATTTTTTAACTTGTGAGATATGTATCTCCTCAATAACAAGAGAAAATTTTCTGAAATTTTTACCATATATGTAATAGATTAACTAGCTGTACTAGCAGTAAAAATTTCACTGACTTATCGCGAGCCATAACGGAATTATATGAAAAACATCGCTCGTTACGGAATATCAAAAATGGACAAAATTTTGAGGGAGGACTCAGATTTCAACATTTTTCTCCGAAACGAAGTGACACATAAATGAACGTTTTATACATAGATTGTTCAGCTTTTCACAAGCTCTTAGAATATCATGTCACTTTCTCTGTAAAACATTTCCTTTAAATAAGACGACTTAAAAGATTGAACGTTACGGAATTTCAGATGTTACGGAATTTCGCCGTTTTTCTCTTTTTCTGTGAGGGACAATTTAGTGACATTTTTATAATAGTTTTAAGTATGAAATCTAACTTTTTTCATTCTGTAGCGATTAAGAGTATTGTTTTCTATAAATTGACTAGTTCATTTTCGTGTTTGTCTCAAAATTTCATAGAAAATTATATTCATTATTTTGACAAAAATGAAAATTTTCAAAATAAAAAAAAAAGCGAAATTTCGTGATTATTCGTGTTTTTAAACTCGTAGGAACGGAAAATGATATTTGTTTTATATGTCAGCTGAGTAATTCAGAATGTCGAACAAACTTAATAATATTTCAAGATCATAATTTCTGTTAAAAAAATTTTTTTCTATATATTACTGATTTTTGAACTTCACCAGTGAAGGGGACCGTTAGCTGGCCGTGCCCATATATTTCTATTACATAATTATTGCAAATTTATTATGAACTTATTTTTTACGTTTGTTTTCTTTTACTAACTGCTTATTTTCTTTTATTGCACTGGAAAGAATCATCATTGGATAAGTGTCGTTTTTTATAAAAACTATATTGTACATCAAATAAAATATTTTAACTTCTATTTTAATTGAATTGTTGGCTGTTGATGATTTTAGACAGGCACTTTTTTTTAAAAATATTTACTACTAATCCAATTCAATTTAATTAGTGATTTTATATTAAAATAAAATTAATATATAGATTAACAGTGCACAATCGAATCATCATCGATCAACATAGTAGGCCAATACAACTCAAAACAGATCAATTCATTCGGCTAATCTTCATTCAAAAGTATTTCAATAAATGGATATTTTCATTTGTATTTTATCTGAAAGTTCACTTGTTAAACGGTACACCTTTGAGAAATCTCAAGCATTTTCTTTTATATAATTGTATTTGTTCTGATAATTTAAGGGTGTAGATGTAGAATGAATGAATACCCACCCTCATTTCTTAAAATCATCTATAACAATATCATTATAGTGAGATTATCTACCAAAGTAAAATCACTACTTCGTCATAATGAACAAATTTCATTCTTTTGATGATAGTTTCAGACAACTATAATACTGATGAGATCAGAGTACGTCATCAACGATATGTATTGAAAAATTCCAATAGAAACATTTTCTGAAATATTCATGCATGAGTTTCATTCAAGAGGGAAAATGCGTATTTTAAAGCATAAAGTAACTTAAAGTAATGCAAAGTAGCATAAAGTAGCTCGAATTCACTTGAAGTGCAAAAGTACGCATTTTCCTCCTTGGATAACCGTCAGAAAGTATTCATGTAAAAAGAGAGGGATACATAGATGCTGGTACTTGTCTTATATGATTGTATATATCAGAACTAGTTTGTATTTATATGGGTACGAGCAAACAGGTTTGCGATATGCACATCAGATTTGGATTTACTATAGAATAATAGAAAACTGCTACAATATTTCTACAAATGATGTTAATATTAGTTACTAAGATATAATTAATTCTACTATTTAAAATTTAGTTATTTATTGAAGTACATCATGCTGATTTTGATGTCATTACATTATACAAATGATAAAAGAAAATACAATAGTCTCATTAACACAATATCAAATTAATGTTAACAAAATTCATTCTATCTATAAATACATTTCACGGAAAATTATCTAACGAGGGTCGAATGATAACAGCAAAATTTATTAAATATTTAAAGAAATTTATCTCAAGTATTAATTCATATATATGTAACTGGCAAATCATAAGATGATGATTATTTTTTACATAATTCTTTTGTTGATTGTTTCCCTTGAAAAATAAGCACAAGTTATTGTAAAATGTTAGTTATTTGACTCGAATTTTTACTATGATAGCATACAGTACCTGAATAGTTTTGATAGATTCGAATAAAAAAATTGTAATAAAAAGGTTACGACACTCGGTATTCCCAGGCGGTCACCCATCCAAGTACTAACCGAGCCCGACGTTGCTTAACTTCAGTGATCGGACGAGAACTGGTGTATTCAACGTGGTATGGCCGTAACCGATTTTACATTATTATGAAAGACACATGATAATAAGCATTCCATTACATATTTCATCAAATATACACTTTATCAGTACAAATAATATTTTTCTTTTCTTTAACCATTGTTGATTTTTATCTTTTGAACTTAATCAATAAGTTAATCAGATTATCTAGTAATGATAAATCGTTTTTAATCAAATCTGATGGCAATAATTCAGTACAAACTATTCGTTTGTATATTGAATTTATATGCAAAATAATTACCGTTAGTCTATAAAATAACAATTTATACAGCGGAATGATATGCATTAATTGTATATGATGCAAAAATACTATGGTTTATTCTTTTTTGTCGCAATAATTACACCATATTGCAAACATTTGCTATGTTATTTTGAAAACCATCTTGATAAATTTACATCATTTTAATTGATCTATAGTTCTCAATCCAAATTCGATCCTTTTCTATGAACAATAAAAAACAATAGATCGAACATGAAACAATCAATCATCAAGTTTCTTTTTATTCATATCATTTTTAATGATTGATTGCACAATCGTATATTCTCTCAGTGAGTGTTCCTTTTTTTTTTCTTTCTCACTTATTCAACATATTTTTCTTTTTCTCACTTCAGTAACCTAACTGTGCACATATGTAAATGTATGTCTGTCTGTCTGTCTGTCTGTCGTACTGAACGACAAGAACAACAATACAAGAAAAAAAGCGAGAAAAGAATGTTGTACTGCAACGTAGATCAGTTCAACACAGGTGATGAAGCTGACGAAAAAGCGGGCAGCAATGAATGTGGCATAAACAAACGAATAAAAGGGCAGCATAGCGCAGAATTTAGTCTTTCTCACAAATTATCAATGAAAGACACATAGAAAGAAGAAAAAAAGAAAGAAAGAAGACAATGACGATAAACGTTTACAAGGACGGTCATTCACAAATTCTTTGTGGGGAGAGATAAAAAAAAGGAGATTTATGTGTATGTGTTTATAATGAGCAACAAAAAAAGAGAAAAATTTACACACATTACACATACACGAACGAAAAAGAAAATGTGTCTCAAGCTTTGGTGTCTTTTAATTCACTGATTTGCTTGATCAAATAAGCTTTTTCATCATTGAACTGTTCATCATCTGTACCTGTTCGTATTTTAATGAATAAATAAATAAATAAGGAAAAAAAAACGAAAAGAACTTACGATCTGTATGGAACGTCGTAAGAAAATCAATAAGTTTTTCTCGATTTCGAAGAAGTATATCAGATATAGCTTTTGGTTTTGTTGGATTGGCCACAAATATCTAAATAATACGAAAAAAATGTTATGTAAATTTTAATTTTCGTTTTTTTTAATTTTTATATTATTTAATAGCAAAATCAAGAAACCTTAAAAACATGAAATGCTTCAAATTGTATATTTTTGCTTTTTTCTTTTAATAAATTCATTTGTTGTTTGAGATTGTCTGTATTTGTTATATATTTTGTCATCACCGAAAAATTATAACGATCAAGCAGCAATTCTCCAAGCAACTGAAAGAAAATAAAAAATTTGCAAAAAAAAAGTTATTAAATCAATATCGAATGCAAAATAAATAAATAAATAATCAATTATTTTAAGTACTTTAAATACATCATAAACTTCTCGTTTGTATATATCAAAAGCAGAAAGAGTTAAAGAATTTGTAATTAATCCTAATTTTGTATTTATAATAAAAGCTTCAGATGGAAATAATCCATAGATAAGAATAAATTTGTCTATATCACATGAGAATTTTTTTAATAAACTCAAACTCGTATTTTCCAAAAGAATTGTTGATAAAATCTATTCGTTTGGTTTATTTGTGTTGTACAAAAAACGATTATCAACTTACTTTTAATGATTGCCGACGTGTAACATAATTTTCTGAATTAAGTAAATCACGATATTTATTAAAAAAATGATCGTAATTTCGTTCAAGAAAATCTGCACATAAGGGTTTATGTTTTGTTAATAAATCCTAGAACAAAAAAATAAGTTATAATTAGAAGAAAATTCATAGTCACTTCCTGATAAAATCTAATCTTTTATTGAAAAACTTTTAATAGTCACTCGACTATTCTCAGCTGTGTCTTCCCCAACTATAAGATGATTCCTAAGGGATAAGAAAGGATTTTGTTTTCTTTAGAAAAAGTCAGTTTTAATGATAATCATGTCAAATCACATGAGAAATAAGTCTCTCTCTCTCTCTCTCTCTCTCTTTCCCGATAAGATCTTTAATTCTATTTATTTAAAAACGCCTTTTTTTGTACTTAGATAATAATAAATCATTGATTACATACTTTGAATGTGGCAAAAGCATCACTAGCAATATCAAATGTTGATTTTTGTACATAATCAAAAAATTTATAAAAATCTGGTGATCTCAATATGATTTCAGCCAATTCTTGCACACGTACACATTCACGTAACATCATCCCACAATTAAGTGCAATATCTGCATTTTCATAACTAATTATATACAAATAGATTTTAATATATATATATTAATCTCAATTAATTTTACCCTTCAATTAGTTTAAATAAAATTCCAGGTCGTTGAATAATATGATCAACAGCTGGAAATTTCGTTCCAACTTGTCGTCGTAATAGATTATTAAATATAGCAACAATTTCTTTTCGATCTTCAAATGTAACACGACTTAAATTATTTATCATTATCGTCATAAGATCTTGTGTATAGATTCCACTACATAATTGTGAGACATCACTTATAGCTGGTTCACTACTACCATCACGTGGACCAAATAAACCATCTTTTAATGCAAGTAATGTTTTGTGAATATTTTTAATTGCCTAGAAAAAAAAATTACGAATTAAATTATATATTCTCAAAAATCTAACTTACGTCTTCATAGTTTTTCTTTTCTTTATCTTGTTCATTTTCAATCACAGTAAAATAATCTCTTAATTGTTTAGCATGATCAGTCTTTGACCGAGGTGCTAACAGAGAACTGAATGGCATTTTCGACATTATCAATCTCGTATGATTGATGATATTGAATAAGATTTATTTCAAAATAATATTAATATATAATACAATCTAGAAAATAGAAGTTTTTTTATAAATAAATCATATATATATATAAAATCTATCGACATTCCAATCAATATGACTCAATATAAGATCGTCTGCTGACATATTTGCTCACGGGACATTTTTTACATAGTTTGTTTTTTTATACTCTATTGTAAAATGTCGAGGGTAATGACGGGTTTTTTTTCTTCGTTTACTTCTTTTGTCAGTATTACTATTGTTTTCTTTCTAATTCATGATGATAATGTCTGATTGGAATATATATCGAAAAAGAAATAAATAATAGGTCATATGATCACGAAAAAAAACAGAACAATTATATTTATACATCACCTAATTACACGTAAAATAACGACATAGTACGAATGATGTTGTCGTAATCAAAATGAGTCTTTCATCATCGACCACGAGTTGCGAAACAATATATATATATATACACATATGTATATATTATATATATTCTTTTTTTTGCTTCTATAAACGATGAGAATGAGAAGAAAAATCGACGTCTATTTCTCTCTCTCTTCCCAAAAAACAAAACAAATAGACGTGCGTCGTTCTCTTCTCACTTCACCCCCAGTACACCCACTCCCAAACTATAATCAAATACATTGGTTACTTTTCAATAGCCAATCGAAATAAATAACACTTAGAGGTCACCACATATTATTTTCATTTCAACAGGAAATAATTTCATATTTCCTTTTTCCGAGATCAAATTCTATATAAGTAGATTATATATATTCTCGATGTGTTAGAGCTTATATTTATTAGAAAAGTCATCATCATCATCATCTTCTTCTTTTTTTTGTGTTTGCTAAACTATTTTTTATGAGTATTAATATTCGATGTGTTGACAAAATTATTTGGCATTTATAAGGAATCAAGAAACACTTGAGAAGATAGTTTTTAATTGCTGGAATAATATTTGTAAAGAGATATGTATATGAAATATATTGATACTGTTGCTTTATATATTACTATATCACAAAAACATTTAATGCAAGAGATATTTTGTTTTTGTCTGTTGATATTACGGATGTAAAGAAAATCATTCGATTGAAAATTAAGAATCCAAATAAATGTAAAATTCTTATTGTTTGTATAGGTGATTAGTTTACTTAACATAAAAACTGTAATGAGAATTTTCTTATCAGTAAAACGAACTCATTAGAAAAATAGAACGATGATAAGAATATTTACTGTAAACCTGTTTTTTTAAAATGCGCAATTGTCATTATTTAATCAGTAAACAGTTAATATTAAGGAAAACTAACGTACACATTTGTGTTCTTTTTACAATTGGTAAATATTTCATATATTTACTGAACATGATTCTATTGTCATTGATAATATATAACAAAAGCAAATAAATATTCTTGAAATTTGATTTAATCATTTGGAAAATATTTCTTTTTTTTTCGTATAGAATCCGTAGAGAATTTAATATGTAAATGTTACTCAATCGATATAGAAGATAGAAAATATATGAGGGAAAGAATCAGATTTTATTCTTTTATATTGATTGGAGGGTTCTGAAAAGACTAAAGTGACTAAGAACAAAATGACCTGGAAGAGTATGATGTGAATCTAATAAGTGCCATTTATTCTGCTCCGATTGTTTAGTAGACAGGTAAGGTTATAGACGAAACAGGTCAAGTCTCTGTATTAATTATGATTAATCTGATACTTGTATGAATATTAATTATTTCCATCATCTGATTCAACAAAAAGAAAAAGATGAGTAAATGTAGTTATTAAAAGTAAGAAAAGAAAATAATCACAATATCTGTCTTGTCAATTCTCGCGCCAACTGTCAGATCCAGCTGTTAGAATCATAATAAAATCGGGCAAAAATAAGGATTGAATAGCTAATGTAAAAATAAACATTCTTATTAGATTTATATTTGAGATGGTCGTTTTTTTTCATAAGAGAATATATTATTATTTACTATCAAATAAATTTTACTTGTAGGAGTTCCATTAAAAGAAATATTCATTCATATAGATAGATTCTCATTTAATATTTTCTAAGTAAAGAATATCAAAAAAAAATGATGAAAATTATTCAATTGTCACGTTTTCTTTTCTGACATAATAGAAAGAGACATACAATGTTTTTATTATCTTATATATTTAATTAATTTTAGGATTTAGTATGAATAGCTCATTTCGAAGTCTTTCAATACTACATGAACGAAGAATTGAAAACAGCTGAAAAATTCTAAATAGTCGAGAAAGGCTTAGGAATAAAGGAGTCTATGGAAATAGATTATTCTCAATATTTCACAACACTCGTTAGTGGATTTATCTTTTGCTTATATTTTAGAGAGAATATGAAAAGCAAACTTTCTGAATCGTTTTAACGTAGTCAGATATGGATCAGAATAGATTCTATATTCTTATAGAATTGCATAGCTTCTTTGACCTTCACATAGTTGATTAGAATCCCTTTGATAAATATAAATCAGAATCAAGAGAAAATGCAAATCTAGTAACATTCTCCCGTAAGATTAGAAAAGACGACGATTTCTCCAATGACTCCCACTCCTCCTTATGAGATTTCTTAGCCTGATGTCTGGCAAAAATATATATCAGGTAAGAATTTCTTTATGATTATTCTAATAAAGGAACAAGTATCTGCATACATTACCTGCAGATTATAAAATATATATAATAATTTAAACAATTCAAATATAAATTTATATATATTTTCTCAATGAATACGCATAGGATAGTATTAGACATAATCATGACTTACAATAACCGCACGACTTCACAATTATTTTACGGATATGACGTGAAATACCTAATTTCACGGGCATTAAAGTGAGTGAGACATACTTTAATAGCAATACTCATATATCGTTCTATTAAATGTCAGTTTTTTATTATAAAAAATAACGCCCTTTTTCACAGTTCATATTGATATAATCTATTTGATGAATCATAAAGCAAAATATGTTTGCTATTTATATTATTCCATCGATTTTCAAATTATTTCAATTTTCTTCGTAAATACTAGACATTAGCATGCAAGAGATTATATATAATCATACACGTGAAATAGTTTCCTTATATATATATTATTGTCCTGAGAAAATAAACAAAAAATTCATTCAATTCACTTTCATATCTTTATTTCTAATTCAATATCTTATCCATACTTGATCGTCACTCTCCACGCTATTAATAACACGAAAAAAAAACAAAAGGGACGACCAATAAAAAGCAACAATAAAATAATTTTTCTTTTTTCAAAAACAAACACACCGGATTAATAATAAATAGACAAACTGACAAACTGACAACATTAATAAAATAAATTATACCACAAAAGAAAAAAAAAACGAGAATGCTCATTAATGCAATAACTTAAAAATCATTCATTCCTTCTTTTTCTTATATTCAAAATAAATTAATTTAAGCAACTTGTTCATAACGTTGTTTACGCATTTGTCTTGCTAGACAACAAGCAAGAATAACGCCAATCAATGGAAATAATGCAATAGCTATAATAATTCCACCAAAAACAGGATAATTACTTTTAATTGCTGTCATAACTGTTGCATAACATCCCTGAAAAAATAAATCAAATACAAAATCTACTTTCGAAAAAAATAAAAAATTTACATCTGCATTGATATCTGCTGGTAAATATTCTTTTCGTAAATCCTTTCGTGAACATGTGTGATTCAATGTTTTCTTACAACATGATTCTGGTACTTGACGAAGTGGTTCACCATATGGAGTGGAAAACCAATCTGTATATGAATCAACACCACAACATGATAACTATGTCGTAAAAGAAAATATAAAGAAAGTTTTCTTAATATTTAACATACGACATTTTGAAGACGATCAACATGAGAAGCCATCGGTTCTTTTGGATATTGTTGCATAACACCACTTAAACTTGCTTTAAATGTCTCTTCATACTAAATAATAAAATCAATTAATATACATTTTAATATTTCAATATTCTACAAACTGTTTTCTGTTTCATTAAAACTGTTACAGCCAATAATATTTCTGCAACAAATATAAGAAAAACGACGCTGGAATACTAGAATAAATTTAAATGAAATGAAATAGTTCAAATATTTCAATAAAATTATCTTACGACATATAATAAAGCAATATGTCCTTTAAGTGTACACCTAAAAATAATATATATTTTCTAAATCATTCATTTCCCAAAAAAGAAAATAGTAATTTACCAGAAAGCAAATAGACCAATAAAAAAAATAATTAAACCAAGACCAATCTAAATAATTAGAAATATAATAATAATTAATATAAGAAAATAAAATCTTATACTAAAATAAATGGTGTTGATGAACTCATTTCTGGTGTTATATCAAGAAATGTTGAAAGTTGACTTCGTACAACAACACCAAGTAAAAATAAAACACCTCCACTAATCTAAAATAATGAATAATTAATAAAAATTTATCAACTTTTCGTTTTGTTTTATTTACCACAAAAATGATATTAATGCAGATGAGTAATGTACGAAGCAAGGCAATGCTTGCTGATGCGTGAAATCGATGCCAATCCATCTGAAATGTTACAGAAAAAAAAATGATTATATCAAGTCTACAGCAGATACCTAGGATAGTTTTCTATGGAAAATAATTATCGTTGTTATAGCTCGACAATAGACCGAATAGTCGAGAGGCAAGAATATAAATATAATGAAAAGTTTTTTTTTTCATTCTGATCGTCGACAATAGATCGAATATATATATATACCGTTCCATAGAGACACAAACAACAGAAAAGACCTCGGAAGTGAGGGAGAGAGAGAGAAAAGGAGGTAGGTATATAAAACTAGTTGTAATGAATACGTAGTTCTTTTATATTAATCAGTAGTATAATAGAATCCTAGGTTAGAAATAGAAGGAGAAAAAAAATGAATAGACGATGTATAACGCAGATAGATGTCGAAAGAAAAACAAGAGGAAAAAGTTCTAAAGGAAATGAACGTCGACAGGATAGAGAAAAAGTCTTATAAAAGCAGTGTTCTATATTGATTAGTTTTTTCAGTTTAAAGGTGATTAACAGTCTTTACTAGTTTTTTCATGAATTAATACGACTAGATCGTTTTATAAAACGATCAACAACAAAAGGAAAACATGGAAAACTCATCTAAAGAAAATTCTTATTTTTGTTCTTTTTTATTTCTTTTTCTTTTAGTTCTTCTGTCCTTCTATAATGTGTTAATGACGTTTTTGTTTGATTACTCTCGTGCATCTCGTTAGAGAATCAATGCATCAGAAACTAAATTCCTTTCTTTCTTTTTTTGCTCTATCCTATTTACATAGACTTTTAGCATTATAACATGTGCAATTTACAGCTTTTACTAGTTACTTTCTCTTTCATCATTTTCTTCAAGAGAAAAACACGAGCGGAAAATAAAAAAACGTTTTTTTTTTCGCATTAGTATTTTGAAGGAGAAAAATGACATGCATATAATATAGTGCATTAATCAACAAATAGCTGAATTTATTCTATTTTTCTCATGCATCTATAATGAACAACTATGAAATATTTATTAAGCAACAAGAAAAGCACGATATAATAATGTGATATATACAGTTACAGATATAGAAGTCTTGTTTTTCTTTCTTTTGATGAATTTATAATAATATTTTGATATATTTATTTTTTGATTCTAATTGTTTTTAGGGATCAAATTTTTGTTTTTATAAAATATCATGTTAGTAAGTAATAAACATATAGGTCAATCGAGTTCAATCGAATGAATAGAAAATAAAATTATGATCGATGAATAATGATCTACAAAGAATTTGACGGATATATCTTAATATATATTCGCAATGATCGATCTTTTTTCTTTTTAACGAAACAAAAAAGATTGATTTTGAATATAACCGATGAATGAATATCATTATCATTTTAGACTTATATTAGTGTCAACTCATTCATTTACATAACCCATAAAATCTATGATTTTTGAACTTACCGGAAATGACTTCTAGTATTATTTGATCTATTATGTATTGATTTCTATATATAACGATATAGAAATAAATAAAGCCTATAGCTACTAAAGGGATATTTAAAAGAAATGTTCTTCTCTTCATTTGCTTTAGATTTACATACGAAAGATAAAAATAGAATTTAAAACTAAGTTGATTACATACAAGTTTTATTTATGACTTTTGGTAAACTTTCTAATCCGAAACCTTGTATACTCTAATCTCTCTCTTATGTTCACTAAATGTTGTACAAAAAATACATTTCCTATACCTTCGGATATATTATTCATATGATTGATATTTCGAATAGATTTCATATAAAACTATGAAATATAAACAATTATACCATTAACTGACATTTCTCATTCATATACTCGAACAAATTATTTGCATCCTCACCAGATGTCTATTACAGCCTGAATAGAAGGTCATATCTTTCATTCAAAACAATCGATGATTGATGATCAAACGTTTCCTTGTACAAGTCAACACTGTAGTTTTAGTCGTTTTATGATCACGTATCCGATTCATGTAGTACTATAAATCAATTGTTAATTCTTTTTATAATTTATTATTTTTTAATAAACAAAAAAAGGCGACAAATGATTACAAGCACAAAAAAAGAAAACTTTATTTAAAAATTTTTTTTCTATATATTACAAAAAAAACAAAACTTAGTGCGAATCTAAATGAAGAAACAAAATTGAGAAATAAAGTGACGAAAATAAGATTAAAAAAAAAGATTCGTAAATATTATTTATGCGTACTATCTGTGGCAATAGCCAATTTATAGGAAAAAAAACCCATAGCCAGAAACGAAACAACATTAAAATGACAACATTATTTAATATTTATCTACTGTGTGAGATTAAGCAGTATTAATTAATCTAACTATATATAATCAAAATGGAACAAGGATAAGAAGTTTATTTAAAGCACACAAACTATGGACGTGAAAACATTTTTCGACCAAGAGAAAAAAACAGTCGAAAGGTTGCATTTAACATTTAGGTGATTGACTTTCAAAAAATTTATACGTCGGATTTTCGTAACCATTCATTTGTAATGCATGTAATGCTTTTTCTTCTGGTGTACTTGATTCAACTTCTGTAAATGTATAGTTTTTTTCATATTTACCATACTGATATTTTCTTCGTTGTTGAATTATAAGACGAAATATTATAAAACCAAATATAATACATACTATAAGTAAACTTCCAATAATATATGGAAGATATGTAAGAAATAAATGACGTTGGACAAAACGATTATTAACTTCCTTATTTGGTATTAATGGATGGATATCATTATATATTTGATCATCATTATTTGAAGCTATTTTAACATTAAATGATGCATCGGAATCAATATCAATATCCCAATCACTCTCACCAACATTAACTTGATCGTTAATATTATTGTTATTGTTAGTTTTAGTTGCTTTTGTTGTACTTTCATCATTATCATCATCATCATCATAATCATCATCTGTATCATAATTATATTCATTATTAGTATTATCATCATCTTTAGTATTTATTTTATTTGACGCTGTTGTAGAGAATCGATAGATCTTTTTCTCATCTCGACCTAATGGTAACATTCGAATTTTTGTTGTTGTTGTTTTTGGTAATGAAGCCTCATAATCAGATACTAATCTGTCAGCTGCTTGACTGACTTCATCATATTCTCTAAGAAGAATATCTTCAAAAAAAAAGAAAAAAACACATAAAAGCCTTGAAAATAAAAATTATTTTGATAATCATACCAATACGTGATTGAATTTCAGACTGAATTGTTGGATTATTTCGTAATTGATTTAGTGCTTCATTAAGTTGATTTGCGATTAAACGTAATCGTTCATGAATTGATATTCGTTTACGTTTAGCCTGTTCAGGATCGACAGTACGTAAACGTTCATAACGATTTACAAGATGAATACGATCACGTAATAATACATGAAGATAATTATATAAGGCTTCTTCAATATTTTTCGCCTAAAAAACAACGATATTAAATTTCGAAAAAAATACTTCTATTTAACTAATATCATGTTCTATCCTGTGAGCAAACACAACAGAATAAATTAAGATACTTATATCGAATGATTTCAATCAAAAAAAAAGAAATTTTTAATTAGAAAAAAAGAAAATGATTTTAACAAGAAGAAATGATTCAATAAGTATTATATTTTCAAGTATGTACTTCAATGTGAATGTTCAATTCAATAATTATGTTTGTTTGAAATCATCTTATTTACGCACTCGTTAAGTATTCACTTCTTCCATCAAGTATGTATAACTACTATTACTCGTAAACCAGACTACTTTACATGTATTTCTTTCTTTCTTTCTTTCGCTTGTCAAATAAACATGTAGACAGTCATTATTATATGCCCTTTCTAACACGTAATGAACAATTTGAATGAATAAATTGCGTAACAATATAAATAAACATAAAAAAGAAAATTTTTTCATACCTTAAGAGGTTTCTCGTTCCAAACAACGTTTAATTTTTGACTTGTTTCTTTTTTAGCAATATCAAGGGCGTTATCTAGATTACTTTCATGTAATGCATTAATACGTGTTCGTTCACGACTAGCTGTTTGTTTAATAAGATCATATTCTTGACGAAATTCAATTTCAATATTTTCATATTGTCGTTGTGCTTCCGTCGAATTTTTCTTAGCTAATATTTTAATATCATCTTGATTTTTTTGCCAACGTGATTTTAACTAAAAACAAAAATTTTCAAAAAAAAAATATTTAATTATAAAATTTTTACATCATTAATTTGTTCTTTATATTTTCGTTTAAATTCTTCTTTTTCTTTTGTAAATCGTTCATGTTCATTGATAGTTAAATGAGATTTTCGTGCGGATGATAATTTAATTTCCTCTTGATCATCATTTGTATCTTCATCATCTAAATACGAGAAGAATTTTGAAAATGGGTTTTTTTATGAGAAATAAATTTTTACCAGCAAAATATCCTGCATCGGAATTCCATCGACGATAATCATCCATCCAATTTGGTTCATCTTTTAAAAATAAAAATTTAATAGAACAAAAAAAAGCATTTTATTTTCGCTTACGTGATGAAAGTGACATAGCAATAATTTTTCGATGTGTTGCAGCTGTACTTGTTTTTGGTACAATAACAAAATCTTGTACTGGATCATCTTCACTCAATGCGTTATCATCTTTCTCATCAAGACTTGTTTCATAATCATTTCTTGTATCAATATCTAAAATAAAAGAGTTTCTTTCTATTTCCAATCGTTATTTAAAATACCTCGTGATGGACAACAAATATATTCAATTCCACGAAATTCTGATAGTCCACACCAATCAACTGGCATTATGGAACTATTTAATAACATAGCTTTCTTTGAACAATCAAGTGATGCATATTGTTGCCATTTTTCAGCACGTAAACATTCACCTGTATTATTTATACGATTTATTGTACAATCAATTGTTGGAAAAGAGATTTCTTCTCGTTGAGAATTTTTATGTAAACAACGAAATGGTTGAACGACTTCTTCTGATTGACTATCGCTTTTGCATCGTGGTATTTTATTATCATCTGATGGTGCAAGTAGCTCACACCAATTTTCAAAACGTAATACAGTTTCAAGTCGAATAATGTTACCGATATTAAGCGATGGATATGCCTTTTAAAAATAAATAGAATGATAGATAGGCAAATTCGTTTCAAATAATTGAATTTTACTTGTTGACAAAATTCAAGAATACTCTGTTCATTGGTAACACATGAACTAACTAAATGTTCAACCCATACTTGTCGTTGAACATCAAAATATAAATTTGCTTTATTAGTATCGCAACCTAATACAGCTATTTGAGGATAATTATTCGTCATTGGAGATTTCAATTCTGCTGCATAAGTCTATAAAAACATTAAAATACGTATTGATATTGACATGAATACAAGATGGAACTTACGAAATAGATGTATGAGAAAGTAAAAATAAGAAGCAGTGAGAACTGCATTCTAACTGGAAAAATATGAAATAAATCTGAAAGAAAAATAATAAACAATCGATTCTTATATATATTCAAGCATGTTTACATAAACTGATAATGTAAAATTTTGTTTAAAAATACTCCTGAAGTCACGTAATTACTTGTTGATGACAAGTAAACATTTGATGTTTCATAACAGCCATTAGCCATGAACCGTTAACCTTCAATTAAAAGAATTTTACGTATAAAATTAAAAATAGATCGAAATCGAAAAATTTAAATTAAAAGGTTATTTAAAATTCGTTCTATCGAATTATTTATTCAAAATTTTTTATTATACGACATCTACTATTATTCTGATGGTTGCAATAGAAGAACCAATATAAATTTAGAAAAGCCATCTACATGTATACGAAAGCAAAATACGCATTGCATGAAAGGATTATAATTAACTTCCCGTTTCGTCGCATATCAGATCAGATCACAAATGAATAATGTTTTGTTATGATAAAACGCTATGATGACTAAATTGTTCGATAGGCATTATCACAAATGTTGTGATTGAAACTCAATAGCCAAATATGAAATAGATTTCGTGATAAGTCACTTCCGATTTTATGCCTCAAATCATTCGGATAATAGTGCATTGAGTACATATGACATACATTGACTGTTAAGACTACTATCCGAAGAGTTTGAATGATGAAATGAGAGAATTTTGAGTCAAACTGGTCTTCTGTTTAGAACTACAACTAGCAATTATTACACGAAATATATCGAATCAATGAGACTAACTTCAAATAGCATTCTATATTACAAAATACCAGAATAGTAAGGTATTTTTATTCCTTGTTATATGAAAAAAACACCATCTTCTATCTTTAAATAAACCATTATATTTCTTCTCTATAAATATTTTTGAAAGAATATCATTTGAATATTCTATTTTCTCTTATTATCAATTTACTTTTTACTTATCAGCTAGTTTATCTAATGAATCATTACTTGGGATAGTTATATAAATCTCCTTGTTATTTTAGATTCTTTTGTACGAATAAAAAATGGCAGCGACAAAGATTTCAGATATATCATGGCATCATGATTTTCCACCATTTTTTACGTAAAATATTCATCTTTTAGTTTTAATAATAAATTTGTTTTGTTTTATTTCTATAATAATAGCCTTCAACCAAATCTCGATACACGTCGTAAACAACTTGATGCTTGGTGTTCACTTGTCCTTGACTATTGTCGTTTGAAAAAAGTTTGTACATTTGATGTAAATGATGCTAGTAAATTCCCACCATTTTTCAATGCAAAAATCAATCGTATGTAATCGTTTTATTGTAAAACAATTCACCATATGTTTCTGTTTCTTTAAGGTCAATTAGATAACAATTTTATACAAGTATTACTTGAAGAATTACGTAGTCGAGGTAGATAAATAATAATATCAATTATATAATACATTATCGATGATATAGGTAATATTGAATGGGAAGATAAACATAAACGACGTTGTTTAGTCCTTTGGAAATCACCTGAAGAATGGGCAAAAACAATTTATCAATGGGTATATTTCAAAATTCCTTTTTCTTATAAACTATATTCTATTTATTTTTTATTTTTGAAGATAACAGCACATGGTATGAATGGAACAGTTTGTACTTTTTATGAACTCTTACATGGTGATGATACACGTTCAGCTGGTATACATTCATTTTTTTTAATATTTTTGATTTAACAAATATTTTTTTCTAGAATTTCATAATATTGATCCACATCTTTTTCGTCGTGTTCTTATGGAACTTGAAAAACGTGGTCAAGCTACTGTATTTTCCGATAATGGCGCTGATGGTGTTAAATTTTCCTAGAAAAATAACATTTATTTTAAAATAAAGAAATGATTTATTTTATTTTAAAACTAATTATTAAATCTTCTTAAGCTTTATTACATTCATTTTTTTTTCAGATGGTTGACGAAGTAACAAAAAAGACTCTTTCGAATATTCCATTATTAAAAACAAAAGCAAGTCCACGTGATGGTGAACAATGGCGTCAACGATTAAAAGAAGAACTTCAAGCATTAATCCATGTACGTATTTATATATATTCATTAGAAGCTGATTTAATCTTACTATAAATTTAGTACGTGAAAAATAATAAAGATGCTGATAATGATTGGTTTCGACTTGAATCAAATACCGAAGGAACACGTTGGTGGGGCAAAGCATGGACTATTCAAGATATGTTACGTTATGAATTTGATATCGAATTTGATGTATAATTTTTTTCGAAATTATTTATCTAAAAAATAAATTCGTTGTATTTTAGATACCTGTGACATATCCGATGACAGCACCGGAAATTGCAATACCTGATCTAGATGGAAAAACAGCTAAGATGTATCGGTAAGTAAGAATATTTGTATTTGTTTTGAATCTGTAGTATAATTATTTATTTTAGTGGTGGAAAGATTTGTATGACGGATCATTTTCAACCGTTATGGGCTAGAAATGTACCTCGTTTTGGCATTGCTCATGCACTTGCTCTTGGTGTAAGTTCATGTATATATATATATATTTATTATATTGATTATTTATATATAGCTTGGTCCATGGCTTGCTGTTGAAATACCGGATTTGATTGCTCGTGGTATTGTCGTACATAAAGAACGAACAGCACCAACGACAAGTGGTGATAACACTGCATCGGCAAAATAAAGTTGTGTAACGAGAGAAAAAAAATCTTTTTATTTATTTATCGTTATATTTTGTCGAATAAAAGCAAATATCAAAAAAAAATCCTATTTTTCATTATCAAAATCATCTGTTTAAATCAATAGAATAATTAACACTTATCAAAACGATTTAAAATGATATCATAAAATGTACTTGTGACCAGAGTTATTATATAATAGATTATGAGGATAAAAATGATTTTATAGCACCCTGAACTGAATAAATAAACAAATATATATATATATAAACTTAATTTGACACCAGTGATCAATAATTACAATTCATAGAAAATGATCATGAATCCAACAAGATAAATATACAATATCGAATAAATATTTTGTAATAATTGATATAGTCAAAACTAAAGATGTCATATACATCTATGTAAAATCTTCAATGATAATGGTATACAAATCCTTTGACAGTATATTAACACTAGATGATATAATAATTACTTTCCATATAAAACTTGATGAAATGTCAATAAATTATTTCTTTTTTCTTATGCCGATGATTAGGTAATACTATATTTCTACATCGTCTTCCGATCAAAAAATTGAATTTACCCGAAAGAACACTATCGGGTCTATTCCTAATAAAAGAAAAAGATGTGATGATCATTAGACTGATATGGATATTGACCTATTTTACTTAAAGTATATAATAATTAAAATACAAAATTTTCTTTTGATCAAACAGTTGATCATATTTTTCGATATTAGTAATTTTTTAAATAAATTTGCACGGACAACGTTCAAAACAATAGCATACATAGTATAATATACATTAAAAGAAAGAGAAAAAGAAAATAGGAAGAATAAACATGACTAGTGGAAAATAACAATGTCTGTGTCACTGTGAATTATTTGTATATAATATCATTCAATTGAAATTTCATATACAATTAAGTATGATATTTACCATTAGTAGTTGTCGTTGTCATTTTCTTATGATTAATATTATTTTCTTCAGATTGTGTTTGTTGATCATCGATATCATCATCATCAATTTGATCATTTACAAATGTATCATCATCTTCAATATCATCATCATCATGTCCATTTTCAACTTCATCATCACCATCCTGACGAAATATTTCCATTAAATTTTGAATAATATTTTCTAAATAATTATTTCCACCTAAAACATCAATTTCATCATAAACTTGTTTAGCTAAATCATCACATGTTTGACGTGTATATTCAATTGAACCAAATTCATGTAATAATTGTACACAATAACGTTTTAATTCAACATCTTGTGTACGTTGCTTTAATATATGTATAATACGTGTATCTGTTTCACGTGTATTAACTGCATGTAAAATCGGAAATGAAAATTTTCCTTCAGTTAAATCTTCACAATAGGATTTATTATTTGTATATTCTTCTGAGATTAAATTACAATAATCATCACGTATTTGAAATAAAAGTGATAATAATTGACATAATCTATCGAAATTATATGTATTACGTATTTCTACTGGTGCAAATAATTGCATAAGACGTACACCTAAATTAAATAGTCCACCACATTTTCTTATAACCATTTGTCGATATTCACTTTCAGATGGTGAAACAAAATTATCTCGCCACCATATTTCCATGCCTTGACCATGATGTAATTCTAACATTTGCTCTAGAAATAAATAATGAAATATTTAATAATATTAATTAATCAAAGATGAAGATTACTATCAGATATCGTGCTAATAAAGGCTTTTGCTATCACATGTAAACATTATCGACCATATGATGAATAGTAGACAGCGACTATATTCACATCATCTGATCTATATCAAACTTGCTTTTATTTGATAGCAAAGATAAGCAAATTTAATTAGCTATGAAATCAAGGTTTCTTTTTCTCTCTTATAGTACAACAAGAAATTCAATGCATCATTCTTATAATCAGTAAGTATTTATACAATGATTTTGATAAGAAAGATTTTATTATTAAGTACTACTAATGTGAATTTAAATTCATACCAACAAAAATTTGTGTCACATCAGGATGTTTCAATGTAAGCGCTTTTTGCATAGCTAAGAAATAAACATAATTGGCAGCATTGATTGTCAATGGAACACCGTAAATACTATGAGCAACAGGTGAACCACGACGTAATTTTGAATTATCTTGTATATCATCGATAAGTAATGATGCATTATGTAACATTTCAACAAGATCTCCAATAACAACAAGTTTATCGTCTGGTATATTAAACCAAAAATTAAATGCCTTTTAAAAAAAGACGAAGAATAAATAAGCGTTTTATTATAACTATAATAGTCTTACTTTAATTAATTTCGGTCGTATTTGTTTGCCGGGTATAGTCCGTATATATTCATAAGGTTCAAGAAGAATCTATTATAAATGATAAAATTCCTACCTAGAAAATAGATTCTAAATAGATTACCTTATTTTCTGAATCGGGATCTGCTGTCGATGATTCGTCACTTTCTAACATTGATGAAATGAAAATAAACTTGAAGAATTTATAAAAAAATCTAGAAAGAATAAGTAGTTTAAATATTTTTACAATAATGCATTGTTGCCTATAGCAAACTAGTAAAATGAGATATTGCGTCATGAGATGAAGAGATGCCAATATATATATATACATATATACATATTCATATGCGCGTCCAAACGTTTAATTCGAAACACTATTCGGCATCATGACTATGTGAAGCGAATATTTGCGCAAGTAAAAGAAAGGAGAGCAAAGGAAATTAGTTTCATACTCTTTCGCTCTTTTTACCTTCTTCTCTTTTTCTCTTTCTCTTTGTCATACAATGAATTGTATCGAAGCAATAGATAGACATTGAGTTTAATCAAAATGGACAACAAATATCAATGGACGACTGAGTCTGTTCAATGTTGTGCAATCTCTCAACTATATATATAGTACATATATACATACATGTATGTATGTATTTATATTTAAATTTGTCTGAATCTATATTCGGAAGTCTCATAATTATCAACCTATAATCAATAAAAGATGTGTCAATACTATTTTAGAGAGAGAAAAAGAGCAATATACACGCAGATAAGACATATGATTAAATAGTAGTACGAGTAAACACCTGCATGTGGCGTTGATGAGGTCAAAAGGCTATCATGCAGAGAGAGAGAGAGAAAATGACGAAGGAATCAAAAAAGAAAAAGTGATGAAAAATAGAAACCATTCAAAATATTTGAGAATAAGATGGTATTATTCGATGAATATACATCTTCTCTTTCGTATTCAATATCAAACGATTTTAATTAAACTGAACCAGTAATGGTGATTCATTTGACACTTGAGATTAACGTATAACAGACGTCAACACACACATACATAACACTTGCGTTATATTATAGAAAAGACGCTCATGAACGGGCACGTACTAGTATAGTGCAAGACTACTAATTCTGACACTGTAGCAACGACATTTTTTTTCTGCATTTTTTTTTCTCTTTTTTTTTATACTTACTTTACGATAAAAAACATAAAACGTTTCAAAAAAAAGCGGAAGCTTAGTAGAAGAAAAGAAGAAGAAGAAGAAAAAAGAAAGAAAAAGCTTTATTGTACCTACTATGTTTGATTGGGAAATAGTACAAATATGAGTTTCTCAGTCAACAATCTGTATAGCATCACATTTTATACCAGATGATAAAATAGACAAAGTACACATCGTAGTAAAAGGTCACCGATTAGACGAGCAGACAATGATCAATCAGTCGAACGTATGAATCTCTTTGATCATCTTTTTTCTCTGCTCTCTACGTGAATATATCACGAAGCAAAAGGAATAAATCTATCGATGATTTGTCAAAATGTATATTTTGATACGCGTAGATATATATATATACCAAACACGCGAGGCTAGCGGTAATAACGATTGATGCTGAAGTTGTATAAATGTGTTGTTAGTAAACGAATATCTAGCAATAAAAAAAGAAAAAAACTTCTGAAGAGAGTAGAAGAGAAAAAAGTTAATGACATCAATATCGACGAGAAAAAAAAGGAAAGAGAACAAAAAAAAAAGAAGATAGACGGTGTAATAATTCTATTGCTATCTACTAGAGCCATTATATGTCGTGTAAATGATCATCAGTCAAGGTCTTACATACATATTCGACCTCCTATATTCACGGTCAGAACATACACGATTCAGTGCCATCAATAACTGACTAATCATAAACATTTTTGATTCATTACCGCTTATACTAACAACAACAAAGGTATAAAAAGAAAAAGATTAAAGATATATATGTATATATACAAGTTTTTTCTTTTAAAAAATATGAAACAAGTTACATCGGTAAAAGCGACAATGCAGCTTTACAAAACAAAATGTCAATAAAACAATGTTATTAATTGTTCGTTTTACTATATGACTGATAAAATGGATTTTTCGGTGATCGAAGTAGTTCTTCGCCAATTTGAGGTGGTATTTGAATATCTTCTTTATCATGAGTACCTGTTAGTATGTCACGTTGTAAATGATATGCAGTTAAACGAGCACGAGCAAATTCCTAAAATGTTTATTCAAAATATCGGTTGTCTTTTTTTTTATTATTTTCATACCATATAACCAAATTTAATTGTGGTTGATGCCGCCATATTAAGCGCCCAAAGTGTCCAAAAGAAATGTGAAGCTAAAGCAAAATAATTTGCTTCTTTCATTATTTGTCGTGCTAATTCATTTCGATCGGAACCGTCTGTCTCATCACTATTCGATCCATTCATCATTGCATTTGGAGAAGAATTATTTTTATTTCGACTTTGGATAGATGAATCAATATAGGATGTAATAAAAATCATCTAATATAGAATATTTAATTTGTTAATACATTTACACAATTATGATAGCACTTACTTGTTGATTTTCATTTGGATAAAGAGTAAAATCAACTTTGAAGAAAGGCCATTCTGTAGCTGATTTATAATCAAACATAAGTTCGGAAAAGTAATTACCAATATCATATCCACTAAAATAATTTTTCTATATAGTTGAAACAATATATGAAGAGATATTTCTTACCGATAATTGTATGAACAATATTCAAAATCAATTACTGTATAATTATCAGGCTGAGATTTTAAGCGAAGAATATTTCCTGCATGAAAATCATTATGAGTAAAACAAACAGGACTATCTATAGTAGATAATAAATTTCTAAAATAAATAAAAAACAAATTTATGAAAATAATTTCTTATTTAATATCCAATTACTTTAATTGTTCAAATTCTTCTTTAAAATTGCATACGGATTGAATTTCTTTAAATATTTCTCGATCGTGTTCAGTGCGAAGTTTATTCATATATGTGGGTAAATCCAATAAATATCTAAATTGATAATAATTTTTATTAGAAGAGATGGGGAAAAAAAGAATTCGTTACTGTTCAATTGTTCGAGAGAGCCATACAGGCTCTTTAGCCAATGGCATGTCAGTTTGATGAAGTTCACCAAGTAATCCTCCGAGTTTTCGTGAAATATCTTCATTATTAAGATCAGAAGGATTGAGGGATTCAGCCTAGATTAATAATCAAATATAATCCATTGTTTTACTTGCGTGTGTCGTATTCTATAACTACGTCTCCATTACAGAATACTTTTCCCCTATCTAGCTTATGCTACAAAATACAATATATTTCTAGAGATCGCTCGTTTACAGTGCAATCTATAAAAAAAATGTCTACACTTACTTCAATAAAGTCTTCGATTCTTCCTTCTGGAAATATACCATGTACATAAGGACCTATTTTTCTTTCAGATAGTAGTGCGCATACGACACTATCGATAAGTAGTGTACCACGATGTTTAGCATGTGCTTCACCATAAATTCTTTAAAAATTTATTAAATAAATAAATAAATTGATATAAATTTTTATTTAAATACTTTAATAAAACTTTTCGAGGTTCATTATTTTCTGTTTGAATATTATCAGGTAGTGTACAACAGTATATATAATTCGACAGGGCACCACTAATTTTTAAATAAAAAAAATTCAATATAGAGAAAAAGAATAAGAACTTACGGAACACGATCAATATGCATTTGTTCAACTGTTATAGTTGACCAAGCACCACGTAAAAAAGTCTGACACCATTGAAGTGCTTGATTTGAAGTTATTTTTTCTTGGGACATAACCGATTTTCGTAGTAATAGTCTAAATAAATATATAATATATTATTTCTCTCATTTTCTTTACTAATTTGAATGAAAAAAATCAATGACTGTAACAAAATATATACGTTGATTTTATTCACAAACTACTCGTTATGGATGATTGATTTGAATAACATATACAGATGTTCTTATGTTCTTGCCTTATTTTTTCACGTGTCGTTTAAATATATTATTTTCTTTCAGAGAGGGGCAACTCCAGGGGTACACCACTCCAACTCCATATAAATTTACCTAACTCCACTCCAAATAGACATCAACTCCACTTCAACTCCACCCAGTTTCTCAAAATTCTGCTCCAACTCCACTCCAACTCCACCCATTTTTTTCAAAATTCTGCTCCAACTCCACTCCAGCTCCACCGAGTTTTTCAAAATTTTGATCTAACTCCACTCCAACTCCAAGGAGTTAAAGTGTCAACTCCGGAGTTGGAGTTGTCCATCTCTGTTTTCTTTAATCTCATTCAAGTACATTGTGACATTGGCAATAGTTTTTTTTTATTCTGATTCATAAAAAAAATTCCAATCTATTACTCAAATCACATCATTTTATACCTTTTAATCGGTTCGACGATTTTGTGAATAGAAATTTTCATTCTGTCCGTTAATGGCATTGTAATATCAATTATATATCTACAAACAAAAATATAAACTAAATCAAAAGAATTTTAAAAATTCTTTCTTTTTTTTTCTCCCATCAAAAAGTAAAATTACGTGCACACCCACTTCATATATATATATTCACTCTCGAAAATTTCTATAAGAAACAAAGAAAGAGTAACAATAGCATGATTAAGAATTATAATGTATAAGACGTCTACTGCTATTAAAATACTGAAAAGAAAAAGAAACCAAAACAAGTACGTTTATATGTTTTATATACCAAGTCGGCTATAAATATTAGTAAATAAATAAGGGTTTCATTGGAAGAAGAGAAACAAATACAGTTACGTATATAACTGATCTGAATCAACAAAGGATCGTAAAATATCTACGTGTACTTGCTGTGAAATATCATAGGCAAAAGTAGAAAGACACGTGTCACATACGACATCAAATGGCGTACGTACTATCACAAGACGTAGAAACCTGACAAGGGGTATATATATTCTTTTTTTTTATTATACGGAATACGTGATAAAAAATATCTTCGATAGTATTCGAGATCTATAGATTGTTGTTTATTATTAGAAGAAACAATCTACGTCTTTCGATGAGTCATTATTTGTCACCTGTTAGATAAAGTGATAATTTATTATATGATTCATTTTCTATTCAAAATAAAACTAACAATAGAGTGTTATTTGGTACGAAATGCAATATAAGAAGTAGTTTTTTCTTTTCTAAGAATTTATTTGTTTTTCTATTTAATATAGCAGTGATTGATTATCGACATAAATCATATAAAGTATTGGGCGGTTGTAAATACGTAGATTCTCTCCCATCAATTATAAAATAAGCGAAGTTCGTTATGTCACGAGTTTACATATTATTGCTAAACTTCAAATATTTATCATTTTTAGTGTAAATCTATTCAACGATGTATAGATAATAGTGGACATATTTTATAAACATAAAATAAAGTTGGTGAAGGACTACAAACGATAAATATCAATATATATCTCAAGGTTTATAGCAAGGAAGTAAACAATACTAATTATTCTCAATGTTGACAAGCTGGTCTACGTATTATCCATAGATAGTACTCTAAAAATAGCGTTCTATATATATTTTTATCTAAAAGAAACAGTTGTACTAGATGACATCTGTAATTAAATTCTTTAATAAATGTTTATGAATATTTCTTCACACAAAAAAAGATTATTTTTCTATTTATAACAGACAAATACACGTGTAAAAGTCATGTATAAACATAATAAGTACAAATTATCACTTATTTCTCTGATAATTAAATTTACTATAAAAATCCTAAGAATAAAATCATAGGTTCCGACGAGTGGAGGTGATTATCTATTTGAAACAGGGATCCTCATGGGATGGGACGACTTTTTTTTTTGATAAATCCCATGGGATGGGATGGGATGAAGTCTCGTTCCCACGGGATGGGATGAGTCACATCGTCATGTGGTACGAAAAGTCCGTCCCATCCGATCCCATGAGGATCCCTGATTTGAAATAGGGATACAAATAATTTGAATTTGGCAATTATTGTATCATTCAGACAGTGTTGAAATTTTTATATTGTTGCCTAAAATCATTAGAAGCGGATTTAGGTTTTGCTATTCTTATATATCCTTGATAATTGTCTATAACAACTGTGATTCTTCAGTTGTAGGAAATTTAGAAATCACCTTTATTCTGTATTTAACAAGGAAAAGATCATACAGACTTCCTTCAACTAAAACACGAGCTATTAGCATTTATTATTATTAAATAACTCATTGAATGTATTGATCGTCGTGTTGTTAATTAATATTTATTTGAATTATTTTTTCAAAAAAAGGACATATCAATTAAAGTTCACTATGTTTAATGAGGCGTAATATAAATGTGACTAGCAATATAAAAACTAAAATGGAAGTATTGTTTATTTGAAAAAAAAAAATAAAAAATATATATTGTTGTTGTCGTTTTCAATTTTCATTTTCGAGTTCTTTTGGTGGTTTAAGTGGATCTTCATAGCGTTGAAATGGATTAGAAATAATTCGTGTATGAATTTCAACGAATAATGGAACATAAATAAGCCAATCCATAAAATCTACATAATTTTTACCTTCACGATCAAATTTTTTCTTACACTAAAATATCAAAAAGGTCATTTTACATATTAAATTTCAACATGATTATGAATAAAAACAGTTTAGAATAACTGATCGATATCTATTCAAGTTATTTAACAAAATCTGATATGTAATTCATAAGATTCTATCGAGAATTATGAGCAATTTTATTAATCAGATTTTTCTTTTGAAGTACGGAATTCTATTAATTTGAAGATCTCTATCTGCAAGCGATCATAATTAAATATCTAATATGCAACTGATCACTTTAGTTGTATTGTACTTACATGTTCAATATTTTCTTGTTCAATTCCACCTGCTGACAATTCGACACATAGTGTTTCAAGTGGAACATAACCATTCGGTGCTATTTTTTGACTTTTATCTGCCATAAGATAAAATAATTCCTATGAGAAAAATTTGATTTTATAGATACTAAATTTTTCGTTTTTTACTAACTTTAGCTTTTTGCATTTTAATATCAAGTGCTTCATAATCAAATTTATTGATTAAATTACGAACGAATGGTCTAGAATAAAATTTCATAGTATCATTTTTTTATTTTTCAGGTGATATTCTTACTCAATTTGATTCACGGTTTCAGATAGTGCAGCAATTATACTAAATACTCTTAAATTAATACGTTTAACACCAGGAATTTTAAGAATCTAAATGAAATATTAAATAATTTCGTTTGAAAAATTCCTGTAAAAAAATATTTACAAATTTAAGATATTGACATTCTTGATCAGTAAAAAGTTGTCCATTAATTTGACGGAGTGCATTTTCAAGTTCTTCAATATTCATTTCATAATCCTTAATTATTCAACGAAAAAAAAACGTTTTGTAAATTAATAAGTTTTCATTCTTACAGTAGTTGGATGTAATGAATTCCATAATGGACTTTGTTGACGACGAAATTTTTCAACATGTTTATATTTATACATAACTTTTTGTCGTTCTTCTTGATCAAGAGCAACAAGACGTTCACGTTCACCTTTAAAAATAATTCATTGAAATTTTATTAATCTAATCATCTCTTAGAATATATTTACTAGATAACATATCAATTCTCATACGTAACTGAAGTAATTTATTTGTACTCCAACGTGCTTGTGCATTTAAATGTTTGATTGATTCTTGACTATTAATCTAATTTAATAAAAAAAAAAGAATTGTTGAGAGAAAATCAGCCTTGTTATTTACATTTTGTAATTGAGCTTTTGATAATCGAGCTAATAATTGTTCTGTTGTGTATGACGATGCATAGCTTAGTAATTCAGCTATGGGTTTCTCGGACTAAATTAAAAAATATACAGATGAGATGAAATTTTGAATGAATAATTTTTACATCGTCACCGCCTTTCTTTTTCGAATTAAAATTAGGATCGAGAATTTCAGGATAAAATTCTGCGATAGCATCAGCAGTTAAATGACTGATTTGTCCTAGAAAAAAAAAAGTTATATTCAATATCAGAATAGTTATTTATCTTACCATTTGTTGCATTCATCATTTGAGTAATATCAGTTTCTTTTGCTCGAAGATCATCAATAATATAACTGATTTTTTCAAGTTTTTGAGCTGTTTCGGACTATTTAAAATCAAATATTTATTATTAGACAAGACAAATTTCTTTTAAATTACTTTCATTGGTGGTTCTTCTTCGTCATAATTTTCATTAATTATTTCTTGTTCAAAATCAAGCATTTTTACTGGAACAAGTCGGCCAGAAGTATTTGGTTTACTAAAGATAATCGATATTTCAAATAAAGGAAAATCAATAAGAATTCATTTTTTTACTTTATATCATCTTCATCATCATTTCCATCGTGCATACCAATTTGTTTCGAACCACGTTTACGTCGTTTACCACCCATATTTGTCCAAGCACTTCCAGCCATATTATTTCGTTTCATATTAGTTATACTTGTTAGATCTTCTGGTGGATTTTGACCTGGATATTGTTCTTGTTGATGTTTAATTGTATTAAGAAAAACACGTTCATAATTAATCATACGATCAGGACTATAGTAAAAAGAATATATAAATATAAAGAAAGATTATCGTAAACAACTAACTGAACGATACAATATTTGTAAAGATAATCTAATGGATCGACAATTTCTTCTAATTTTAATTTACTTAATGATGGTACATCAGCAATACGATGTTTCGCACGTTTTTTACTAAAAAAATAAAATTTAGGAGATTGATAAATAAACAAAATTCGTACCGAAGTTCTTCCATAAGTTTAAGACGAACTTCAGGTGGTAGATTTGGATCATTTAACATTGCTTCTAGATCTTTTTCATCGATATTTGCTAATTTCTCAGGATCGAGAGCATCGGTTTTTTTCTGTACTTTTTTCGGCATTGGTGGTATATTCTAAACAATATTTATAAATATTATAAATAAACTTTATCTTTATACGGACCACTCTGGGTTTTTTCACTTGTGGTCTCGGTGTTGGTACAATACCTTGTACACCTTCTATACCTTTTGCTAATGGATCAATTGCTAAAATTGTACATTAACAGTAAATAAATGAAATTGAATGTATAGGTGAATTTACCTTTTAGTTTATCTTTGAGTTTTTTATTTGAATTAATTTCTTTGATTAATTTTTCTCGTATAGCTGGTGGAAGATTTTTTAATGCTAATAATGCTGCAATAACTTCTCCGGATAATTGTTCGAGATTTTTAATAATATCTTCGAGAACAGCTATTGGAACTTCATCGATATGTTCGAATAATTCTTTCAATACTTCTGCTGGAAATTGTTTAGCTCGTATTAATAATTCTTTGACTAATGTTGGTGTAAAATTTATAACATTTTTCTATAAAACAAATAAATACAAAAATTATTTCAATAAAAATAATAATAATTACGATTAAATCAGATAGAAGTTCAGGATTAACACCAGCAGATGCTCGAAGCATTTCTTGTAGAAGTATTGCTTGTATATTTGCATCTTGATCTTTTAAACAATTTAATATTTCTTTCATAACACGTTGTCTAACATCGAGTGGTAAACTATGCAAACTTCGTGCTAATTCAACTAATTCTTTTCCGGACATTTTTTCAATACTTTTAAGAACTTTTTCAAGTGTTTCCGGTGGAATATCTTTTAAATTTTGAAGTACAGTAAGTAACGTTGCTGGATCAATAGGTTGTTTAGTCATTTCTTCAATCAATTTCTTTTTCATTTCAGCACTTATTTGTCCACTATTAAGTAATTGTTGTAATAAATCTCGTTTATCTGGATCATTCGCAAGTTCTTTTAAAAATTAAACAAAAAAAATAAGAATTTTTAATTTATCAAATAAACAAACCAGCTAGAAATTTATCGCGTTCTTCTGGTGACATTTGATTGATATTTTTAATCATTTCATTCATTAATTTTGCTCGCATAGCTGGACTTAAATTATCTCGATCTTCTAACATTTTTTCCATTAATTTTTTACGTTCTTCAGGTGGTAAATCATCCATATGTTTTAACATTTCTTCCATTAATTTAGCTCGTACAGATGGATCTAAATTTGGATTATTAAGCATTTTTTCCAGTAATTTTTTACGTTCTTCAGGTGGTAAATCTTTTAATCCTTTTATTAAATCAGCAATCATTTGTTTTTGTACTTCAAGTGGCATACCTAGAAAAAAATAATTTGTTTTATTAAAAAATTTAACAAAATTTTTTTGTATTTACTTGCTGCTGATTTAAGTAAATCATCGACTAATTTTTCTTTCTGTTCCGGTGATAATTCATCGAATTTATCTAAGATTTGTTTTAATAATTCTTTTTGTTCTTTAGTTGATAATGTTTGAATATTTGTTATTAATTGTGACATAGTTTCAGGTGGAAGATCTTTTAAATTCGTTACTAATTCACTAAGAAGTTTTTTTTTCATTTCAGGATCTTTAACACTACCGATTTCATTCATTATTTGATTTAATACTTTATCTCGTTCTTCTTTAGTTAAATTATCAGGATTTTCTAATAATTTCGCTAATAATTTTACACGAGTTGCTTGATCCAAACCAGAATCTTTATTAAGTAAATCTTGAATCTAATCAGAAAAAAATAAATTATATAAATTATTCTTATTATAATAATTTTAAACTTACAAGTTTTTGTTTAACTTCCGGTGATAAATTATCGACATTTTCTAATAAACCTCTCATAACTTTTTCTTTTAATGCTGGATCAAGTCCATCTAAATTTTTCATTAAAGTTTCTAATTGTTGTGGATTAAGATTTCCTTGATTTTTTAAAAGTTCACCAATTAATGCAGCTTTTTGTTCATCATTGAGATTATCCATTGAATTCATAACATCAGCAAGTAATTTATTTCGTAATTCTTCTGGTAAATTATTTAAATGTTTAGCTAATTCCGCTAATGATGATGGTGCTAATTTTTCAACTGAACTAAGTAATTCAGCGAGAACAGCTTGTGGTACATGTGCAGCATTACGAATAAGTTCCTCGAGAACAGATGGTGGTAAATCATCTTTTCGTTGCACAATTTCAGCAAAAAGACGTTTTTGTAAATCCGCTGGTAGATCATGGACATTTTTAATTAATTCTTGAAATACACCTGCAGAAAGATTTGCTGGATTTTTAAGTATTTCTTCGAGTATTTGACGTTTCATTTCGGGATCATCTAATTTCGATGATTTTTCAATAATTTTTCGTAATAATTCATCGCGTAATTCAGCAGGTACATCATCGAGTGCATGAAGAAAATTTTGTAAGACTTGACCATGCATTGATGGATCAACTAAATCTAAATTATTAAGAATTTCTTTCATCACACTTTGTCGTAATAATGGATCCATATTATCAACATTTTTAAGTAATTCAACAACTAATTTACGTTTCATTTCTTCCGGAATATCCGAAACATTTTTTAATATTTCAGCATAAACTATTTATAAAGAAAAAAATAAATAAATAAAATTATATATTTTGTTTTTTCGCTTTTACTTCGATCACGTAATTCCGGTGGTAATAATTCAGATTTTTCAAGTAATTTTTCAATTAATTGTTGACGAATATGTGCTGGAAGATTAGCAAGATTTTTTGTTAATTCAGCTAGCACACGTTCACGTTCTTCTGGTGATAATGTATCAAGACTATCGAGAAGCTGTTGTAAAATTTTTTCACGCATTTCAGCTGGAATCTTATCAGCTTCACTTAAAAGATCTTGTAATAATTTTATTTTAGCATCCGTTGTTAAACTATCTAAATTTTGCATGATTTTTTCAATTAATGCAATACGACTTTCTTCAGGTAGTGATGAAATTTTTTTAACAAGATCATGTAAAACTTTTTCACGATCTTCCTCGGATAGAGTATCAAGTGAAGCAAGAATTTGTTGAATAACTTGTTCACGAATTTCAGGTGGAACATTTTCTAAGGATTTTATTAATTGTTCTGCGACTAAAAAAATTATATATATATAGACATCAGAAATTCAATTAAAAAATCGTTACCTTTTGCTCGTATATCTGGTGGTAATGAACTTAAACTCTGTGCTAATTCAGTAAAAACTTTTTCTTGCATTGCGCCTATCAAAAAATAACAATAAATAAAGAAAACAAAAAATATCTATCTTACCAGTTAGTTTTCCTTCACTAAGTAATGTTGCTAAATCTAATAGAGCTTGATTTCTAATAGTTGGTGGTAAATCATCTAATGCTGCAAGATCACCTCGTAATAAACTAGTAAGTACTTGTGTCATTATCATTTTTCTATTAAAAGAAGAATTATAATTTTTTTTTGGTTTTAAATTTTTTACTTTCGATCATCCCATGGTCCAAAACCAGCTATGATTTTATCTAATCCTGATGATGATGATACAATTGCTAAATATAGTTGTTTAGCACTTTTAAAGAAATTAAAATTAGTCATAAATTCAGGATGAGGTACACCGGAACCATTTCGGCAATATTTTTCCATTGTTTTACGAGTAACACTAAGAAAAACAATGCGTATTAAATAAATGAATACAATCTATACATACTTCACTTGATCAAGTCGTCGATCAGGTAGGAGATAATTCTATAAAACAAATTTTGATCGTATTAAAAAGAAAAAGAACTACGGTCTATACCCAAAATTTCATATCCGCATATTCAGTTGTATTAGCATCACTTGGTTTCAATGGTTTTTTATATAAACGAAAATCATCATAATCTAATGAACGTGTATAATCTGGTCTTGATGGGACAGGTGCATGTGGTAAACTAGAAGAAAGATATATTAATTCAACAAAAAATTTAAATTTGATTTTCTACCGCCATTCAATATCAGTTAATCGACGATTTGGTTCTAATAAATTTGCTTTAGCTTGATAAATTTGATTTTGAAAAGTTGTTTCTGTTTTAAGTACAAAACCTGCTGAATTTCTTAGAACAATTCTTGGTAATTTCGGTGTTTTCTGAATTTGTGGTAGACCATCTTTTCTCTTGGAATTACGTTCACCATAAATGGATATCGTCGAATTATTGAAATCCATTTTGATTCTTTTAAAAACAATGTTTCAAAATATATAGATATTTATATACCGAGAGAGAGACAATGAAATTTAATTCTTTTTTTTTTTCTTTTTTCAAACAAAAATAAATTCAATCTTCTCATTCTGTTTTTGCTTTCGCATTAACCATTTTTTACTTGTTGTTTAAGGTTCGAGGGGGCATTTTCTTTTAAACAAAAAAGAAAAATCTTGTAAAGAAAATGAGTAGGATTAATTTTGAAGAAAGAAAAATGTTTTCGTAACTTTCAACAATTAAACATAAAAGAAAATTTAATATATATTGCTATTAGCAATAAGCACTTTAGCTTTTCCGTCTGATTTTTTCTTTTCGTATTGTGAACTAATTAATAGTTGAAGAAACAAAAAGGGTAAAAGAAGAAAAAGTAACAATGTCATACACATGAATTACTAGAAACGTCATATAGATGCAATTTATTATGTCTGTTTTAATGAATTCTAGAATTCATGAGAAGTCGACACTCTATTTTAACAATTGTACTGGAAGAACAATATGTTGTTTTCGATAATATATTCAGAATAAATTTAGACAATTTCGTATTTAAATTAATCAAAAATAAAATTTGTTCTCATATAAAAATTAAATTAGACTTTTTTTTGTTGTTATGCAAATAGAGGTAATATAGCAATTGATGATAACTGAAACTGTAACAAAATATTCTATTATTTAAAAAATTAGTTGTATATATTTTATTAATCATATTTCAAAGGTAGAAAATACGATCATATGATTCAAACGAATGTCTTGTTTTCGACGTTGTTGTGACATTAAATAAGCGTTTTTCAATGTTTTTGCCTAGAAATAAAGAAAAGGTAAAATTTTGTTACTAATCACTTTCTAGAACATTATGACATAAACTAGAAAAACTCATTTTATTTTCAATGCTACAATGATGAAGATCTATATCAGATATGATACTTTTCAAACAATGTAAATTTTTATATTATCGTACATATCATTTTTTGTGTGATCCTTTTTTTTCTGATGATATGGCATATGGAAATGATGATGATGATGATAAAAAAGAGCAATAATAAATGTATTATGTTGTTATACGGGGTGTTTGCGTATGTACTTACTGCATGAAAAAATATATCTTTATTCTTTATCCTTAAAGTAACACTCCTATTTGAGATATGTTAATAATTCGAATAATTCTAAACTTTTTATTTTTTCTAATTTATTTAAAAAAAAGTGGTTAATTCATTACAGAAGACTTCTTTTTTGAAGTTTTGATGTTCAAGTAAGTAAAAATAATTGTGTGGTGATAATGATATTTTCAAAAACCAATGCATTTTATTCCCTTGATAACGTAATCTTTACAATATTTTTTCTTATTACATAAGTATTTTGTAAAATTAAAAGCTAAATGAATTGTTTGGTACAGATATTTATTTTCACATACTAGTTTACAATTAATTAATCCGAACAAAAACAATAAATAAATATAAACTACAAAAAGAATACTAAATAATATCAAAGATCTATAATTCATAGCGCTACACAGTATGAAAAAAAGGTATAGATTTGTAATTTGAATGATTACAGAAAAAAAATGACCTCTATCATGACTGAATTGAATCTATTTAGTTTTGAATAATTAGTGGAAATATATTTCCATGGTTTGCTCATTGTTATATGTTAATCAATCGTTCATATATTACAATAATTTTGTGTGGTATCCTTTAACACATAACTTAACAGAATAAATGTATATGAACAACCTATTGATGATATATAGGATATTTACATTACAACGAAGTATTCAAGGCCATTTATTGAATGTACTTTTCTTTGATTCTTACTCCTATATTCTCTACTATTATGGTCCTTTTTTTCCAATGAAAGGTTTTCTAGAAATGAGAATGTCGTTAAAGTTTTTTTTCTTCTGAAGTTCCTGACTAATGTTATAAAAGCATCAGTCTTTCTTAGTTGCCGTCGTAAAAAGAAAGACAAAACTCAGCCGTCGTTGCCAACTTTTCACATATCATAATGAGATATTCACTCATGACATTTTTTTTCTTCACATAAGTAAAGTAAATATTGATGTTAATTTTTAAAGCGATACGAAGCAAATCATTAGCGTAGTTCTGTGTACACACATATTTGATACTCATATTTTGTATGTTTTTTTTAAGTCAAAAAGTCTATATTTTGCATTTTTAAATTCGCAAGATGAAGATATCAACATTGAGCTCATACAGTTCATTTTTCAGTTCTGAACAGGAAGTGTCGATTAAAAACCATTTGAAACAATTAAATCGGAGTTTTTAAAATAAAATTGTAGCTAATGATAGATAATAAAAGAATCAATTATCACTGTTCTTTTAATAATAAATTTTACAACATCTCCTTTTTAATTGAGCAGAAATAGATCGTGCTCGACAGTATAGTGTTTTTTGTAATGCTTTCTATCTTTTTTTCAAGTTTCTGCAGCTCATAATGATTAATGTCTTCGTAATTAGTTTTTGTTGCTAATTATACTTTTAACATAAGCCAGTGATTCCTACTTTTTTCTATCACTTTTTAAGAAAAATATCAGCTCAAATATGCATTTCATATGAAGTAGTCACATCCCATTTTTACTCTATTCTATATTTACTCTAAAAACATGATAGATAACCAGATGTTCTGAAATATCATTAGATGCCTAATCCCTGATAAAAATAGATGGTACTCGAGTTTTACTCAAATACGAATTGATGATTTCAAGGTTTTCATAAAATTTTCTCAGTATTCTCAATTATCCTACAATGGAGTCTAACTCAAAGAAAAGGTATTTTAATGAATATTATTCTTACATTATTTAAATATAAGTTTCAAAAATTTGTCAGTCCTATAATGATTATTTTTATATCGGAATTGACTTGATTAGATTCGATCGATAGTAGAACTATTATAATAGTCACTTCTAAATAATCCACATGTATATATATCCTCCTGGACAAAAATGATTGTACACCATATCTTCAACAAATGACTACTATAAATAAATATTTTTGGAAAAGTAAGGATATATTCTGAAGGCGTGTGAAATGTTGTATCACCCTGTATGTTTGTCAATTGTAACATGCCGCTTATCTGATGAATTAAAAAGAATTGAATGTAACCGGGAAATCTGATAATAAGGGTATCTTTATTGTTCTTTATTTTATTTTTAAGAAGCAAATGTAATTTATACCGAACATATATAGGGTTGTAGAGAGTTCCGCGTACTATCCGAATATATAATTACTTTTCTCAAAATGTTAATTTATAGTAATCATTTGTTTTTGTCCAGGAGGATATATATTACAAATTCTAATAAAATAACTTCATAAAAAAGTAATCTGACATTTTTATTCTGTTGCTCGTATTTACTTCATCTTCACATATTTATTTATGAATTTTGTATTGATCCATCGCAAAATATGTGTAAAAATGCAATTAAGTTAGTATTTTTATCAACAATTCTAATTAAAAGAAGGTAAAATTACTTTACAAAAGATTATATAACGTAAATCTATCTATCCGTTTAAGTTATTTTCATAGACTGCAGTTTAACGTAAACATTTGAGCTATAAAATTTATATTCAAGTGTTAATTATTATGGCTATATTATTTTTACAGATCGTAGTATTTAGATAATATCAATATCCTTTTGAATGATCGACACGAATATTCAGTTATCAGAATTTCTAGTTCGAAAGAATTATTTATTGTTGCAGCAAAATGCTGTTACTCAGGAAGCAACAATTACTCAAGTAAAGTGAATATTTTAACATATTAGAAAAATAATTTTTCTTTTCATAGTAGACTTTTTTCTAACAAGTTACGATGCTGACATTTTCTTCTTTTCTTTAAAGGCAATCATCCATTATAACTCATAGTTATTTGAAAAGAACTATTCAGAAAATAAATACATAGTTGATGCAAAATGTATCTTAACATATGAAGTATATTATTAGATTGATTAAACACAGTACTATCCATGCACAATAATTTATTTAGTCGGATAAACATAAGAATAAAATGACTTAAAAATGAACACATTTTTTTCTCTATGATGATGAACGAATAAAATATACACCTAAATTCTCATGCTTGTTTGACTTTTTATTTTTGAAGGTGAATATTTTGCCTTAAAATATTGCAGTTAACAAGAAACATTCTAGTAGAGAAAATTAGTTTTTCATTATCTAACATGATAAAGTCGAACACAATAGAGAATCAACATGCTGTACATTATTGTCTCTTAATTCCATGATAATTATTGTAAAATTTATTCAGTGCTTCACTGTTAGGGGCCTTACCTTATCTCTATTTTATAAAGAACAAAGGTAATCTTTATTTTAAGGATAAAGATAAAGAAATAAAGAATAAAGATTTTTTTTCTATTGAAACGTACTTTTTTTAATTTTCTTAGAGTAGTTCACAAAACAATTATGATAATGATAAGAAAAAACATTAATAAACGTATTGTGTTGTTATGAAGGATATTTGCATATATACTTACTGCATGAAAAAAAACTTTTTATTCTTTATTTATAAAGTAAAGATCAAGTGACACCCCTATTCAATATATCTAGGAAAGTAACAATAACAATATGGTACTATTAGTAGACTGTCAAAACTTATTTCATTCATTAGTAGATATTTTATGAATATAGAGTACATAGAATATCTGTAAGATGTACCTAACTAAATAGTTTTTAGTATAATACTTTCACAGTTGAGGAAGATATTTACTCTGTCAGAGAAGATTATAGAACAAGATTTGAATAAAATTGACTGAATAATCAATTTTTGGACTTTGGCTATACTTAATAATCATGTAAAGTACTGTATAAAAAGCATTTAAACTTCTTTTCATAAGTTACATACTCATTGACGTTAAACAGGTATACTAAATGTGAACATCATTTTATTTTAGTATTTATTTTATTAACAGATAAACATTTTATACTAATATTAATGTGGTACCGTTATATAATTGGTGTTATTCTTATATTTACTATTTATTTTCTTTTATACTATTTTCAAGTCCACTCGTCTTTCGCAACTAATCTATTATTTTATAGTTTTTCAAAAAAAGATCAAACTAGTCGACATACTGCAATTATATTAGCAAAAACACCTTCAGTTAGAGTGCTAAAACATTTAAATGCTTTGATTCATGTTGGTGTCGATGCTTTTGTTATGTGTGATGAACAACCATCAAAATATACTAATGAAACAAACCGTCTTTTATACGTCAATGATGAAAGTCTTGCTCAATATGGTTTAAATAGAAATCGTGTTTGGGATCGAGTTTTCGTTTGGTTATACCATCAGATTTCAATAGATTATGTTTGGCTAATGGAAGATGATTTAACATGGACTAATGTACATCATATGGTTGATTTATTTGATAAATATGCGAATAATAGTGCAGATCTCTTATCAAGAAATATTATTTATAGAAATCCAGGAACACTTGGGTAAGATGTTGTTTTTATTTTTGTACGAATATCTTTGTAGAAAATTCAGTAGAGTGATATATATTACTAATCGACAGCGTTTACGAAAACTAATAACTCTTTCTCTGACCCTTATTTATTATTCTTTCTTTTCATTTATCTTTTTTTTTAAATTTAGTTGGATGTGGTGGCCAAAAGTATTTTTAAAAATACTCCCAGAAAATAAATGGTCTGGTTCATTAAATATGCTTTCACGTGTATCACGCCGATTAATCAATGCTCACCAATACTATGTTCAACAATTATTATCTGAACGAAAAAAACTAAACTTAACTCAATTTGATAATAATTATTATTATCAAGAATTTCTTATTCCAACTGTTGGTCATATGTTTAATTTAACAATGCTTATCTATGATCATTCGAAAATGGATGTTTTTTTTCTTGCACTTACTGAAAATAATATTCGTGATTCATTAGCTAATGGTAAACGCATATTCCACGCTGTTAAACATGATAGTCCATTATTAATCAATGCTACTGTAATAAAAAAGAAATAGTATTATTTATAAAAACTGATAACAGTTATATTTTATTTGATTTGAAATGTACAAGTTTTAGAAGATATTGTGATATTAATATAAAATCTCAAATACTTATTTATCATAATTCGATACAGTATTGAAATTTTTAACATAGATATTGTTTTTAGTTATTTTTATTATAAAGATGTTCTCCAATAAATGCTCTATAATTTGAACAATAATGTTGAATATTTCGTATTCCTGCATACAGTATGCTGTAAGACAACAACAGGGTGTATTTTAAATAACATATAAAAGTGAAGGTGAAAATGCTGGTGTGTACTGAATACGTGTCACAACAGATCGTTTTTCTGCGTACTTGAATTGTTTTGTATTGCACTAAAATTTGGTATTATTTCTTTATATGGTGAACATGTGATATTTTCGAGTTGCTAGATCGTTAGATGGATCATGAACGGTTTTTTCTATAAACTCCGCTGGAAGAAACCTAATCATTATATCGTATTTATCATATGATAGTGGAGGTTCGTTATAATCGTTATTCATATTTATTTCAGAATAAATTCTAAAAAAACAGTTATACAAAAATAAATAGAGTAGATAACAAAAAAATTAAAATACACATTCGATTTCGTTTCATATAAAAGAAAAACCAACGAATAAATAATTAGACATAAAACATAATCTATTTTTTCTACTCTCGTTTCATGCATTATTTCATTGTTCTGAGTAGGAGCGGATGTGTTAGACGCATTGTATGTACGCGAGAAGGTATTGGTAGTGGTAGATATGAATTTTTCTGTTCTTTTGTGTTTGGATGTGTGATATGTTTCCATTCTTTTTTTTATGCATTCGTGTTTGTTTTTAGAATAAAGCTAATATCTTCACACAATGTTACAATAAGAACATTATGAAAATGATCTCTATCATGACTGAATTGTCGTTTAGTTTTTTCTTATGCTTTTTCTTTCTGTTTTAATTGTCTGGAAATATGAAAAAACCAAAGCTCATAATCAAAATTGTGCTTTTGCCATGCTTTCTCTAGACAAACTGCCAAGTCAAACAAACTTTGAAAAAAAACGACGTTTTTACGCGTTAAAAGAGCACATTTCTGTGCGTTAAAAAAATGAATTTTTCAACGTTAATATTTACAACATGCTTGTTCTTCAAAAAACAATCTTTTTTTTCAACTCGTAAAATGTCGTTTTTTCAAAGCTTGTTTGACTAGGTGAAGATTATACAAAAGATTGGCTCGCTATATTTCCATCTTACATTTCAATCATTATTTTCTAATTTTTTATTCGCAAGATCGTCGCCATACAAAATCACAACTTTTCATGTTTATGTCGAGAAAGTAAGAAAAAAAAGGAACAGAACTCGAGCAGGACTACATAAATGCCTTGCTTTGCGGAACAATAAGGACATAAGCAAACTTTAGTTAATTATTAAAAAAATAAAAGATTCGCAATCTTTTTCTCATATCTTGACAAATCTTTATAAAATAACTTCATAAAAAATAATCTAATATTTTTATTCTGCTGCTCGTGTTTACTTCATCCTGAGATATTTATTTATGAATTTTGTTTTGATCGACCAAAAAAATGTTACATAATGTAAATCTATCTATTAGTTTAAGTTATTTTCATAGATTATCATTTAGCGTAAAGCTTCGAGCTACAACATTTAGAAATAATGCTTTATGGATTTTGAATTGTAATGAGTCGTAGTATTAGATACTAGCGATGGCGATCAATAATAAGATTTGCGAAGAAGGTGGTCAGATCTTTCGAAAAGTGAAGAAAATTTCTGAATTTTGTTACTTTTTACTATTTTCCCTGTTGTTGATGAAATTAGGAATATTTTATGATCGAATTATTTTGGTTGAATGAGAATGGAAGCAGTCGATGTTAAACTTGAAATAAGAATGAATTTCCACTATTCCTATGAGCAAATATACAAATTGGTGTGCACTAAATCCAAATCTGAGACTTAAGAGTATGGGATGTGGATGCAAGTCCGAATACAGAGAATAGCCACACTGATACCATAAATATCTATTGATGTTAAATAGGTATATCTAGTGAAAGCACCATTTCATTTTAGTATTTATTTTATTAACAGATAAACATTTTATACTAATATTAATGTGGTATCGTTATATAATTGGTGTTAATCTCATACTCATTACTTATATTCTTTTATACCATTTTCACGATCATGCATCTTTGGCGATTAATCTATTATTTTATAGTTTTTCAAAAATATATCAAAATAATCATCATACTGCAATTATATTAGCAAAAACACCTTCAGTTCGAGTGCTAAAACATTTAAATGCTTTGGTTCATGTTGGTGTGGATGCTTTTGTTATGTGTGATGAACAACCATCAAAGTATACTAATATAACAAGTCGTATTTTATATGTTAATGATGAAAGTGTTGCTCAATATGGTTTAACTGGAAATCGTGTTTGGGATCGCGTTTTCGTTTGGTTATATAATCAAACTTCACTAGATTATGTTTGGCTGATGGAAGAAGATGTTACATGGAGTAATATACATTATATGGTTGATTTATTTGATAGATATGCGAATAATCATGCAGACCTTTTAGCAAGAAATATTATCTATAGAAATCGAGGAGCACGTCGGTAGGACATTTTTTATTGTTGTTATCCAAGTTGTTATAGTATTTTTTAACTAATTAGAGATTATTAACTTAGAAACATAGTTTACATACCTACGTGATTGAGCTTTGCAAAGAGTTCTAGTAATGAGAATTGTACTCAAATTCTTAAATATACTTGTGATAATCGTAGTATTATCATTGACATTTAGAAGAAAGTTTGTAGAAGAAATAGAAGAAATTTATATCATTCGAAAAGATTTGGTATGAAAAGAGAATATTAATCGAGTTTTATGAGACAGCTGCTAGATCATTTTGTTAACACTAATTTAACGCGTTAACAAGAGGTAACACATGATTTTTAATGTAATATTAGACACTAATTCTATTCATATCCTACAAAAACTATTAATTTGTTTTTCAATATTATAAAGTTCCTTTACTAACTTTCTTCTAGTTTTCATTAATAAAGCAAATAGTAAGAATCTTGCTTCAAATATCTTTCTAGGACAATCGACAGCGTTTATGAAAACTACTAATTCTTTCGCTGAAATACTATGCCTTTTAAAAAAAACTTGTACATATTTTTTGCGCAGTGTTTCTTATGATAGTTTATCACATAAGAATAATATCAACGAACATTATCTATTATTTTATTTGCTTGTTATTGGAAGAAATTTAAAAATGAGAATTTTGTTTATTTTACATTATGTTCTATAGCATAGAACAGATTCTTTTTAATTTATAATTCGTGATACTAGCTAGGTACTATATTAAAAAACTACATCGTTCTTTTTCTTGTTTAGATTGAGAAGAAGAGATTAAATAAGTTTTAAACATAACTGTTGTAAGAGATAGTATACCAATGATGTGACGAAAAAAAAGAAAAGTCATATTTCTCTCTAATCTCTATTTAGTATAACTGATGTTCCTTCTATTTATAGAAGGCAAAATTATATATTCAATATTCTTTTCTTTTACCTTTTTCAAAATTTAGCTGGCTGCATTGGCCAAAAGTATTTTTAAAAATACTTCCAGAAAATAAATGGTCTGGTTCATTAAATATGCTTTCACGTGTATCACGTCGATTAGTCAATGCTCACCAATACTATGTTCAACAATTATTATCTGAACGAAAAAAACCAAACGTAACACAATTCGATAATGATTATTATTATCAAGAATTTCTTATTCCAACTGTTGGTCATATGTTTAATTTAACAATGCTTATATATGATTATTCGAAAATGGATGTTTATGTTTATAGACTTAGCGAAAATAATATTCGTAATTCATTAGAAGATGGTAAACATATTTTTCATTCTGTTAAACATGATAGTCCACTATTAATCAATGCTACTGTAATAAAAAAGAAATAGTATTATTTATCGAAGTTAATTACAGTTATATTTTATTTGATTTAAAATGTAAAGTTTTGGAAGATATTCTTATATTAATATAAAATCTGAAATACTTATTTATCATAATTCGATATAATATTAAAATTTTTAATATAAATGTTGTTTTCTGTTATTTTTATTGTATAAATAAGACTTTATAAAGGATGATATTCCCCAATAAATGTTTTACAATTTGGACAACAATGCTGAGTATTTTGTATTCCTTGAATTAGGGGTGTAGAAGTCACGCTTTAGCTCATGAAGGTGAGCGTTTCAACTACGCTTTTAAGATGCGCTATACCAGTCATACTGGATGGACTTTTGCTTATGTTAATATGAAAATACATATAAACATTTGATATAGCTTTTCTTCACAGGAACTGATAGTAGCTTAAAGTTTTTCGAAAGAAGCTATGTCTTACAATCCTTTTTTCGATTAGAGATACTTAGCCATAACCAAGTATACAAGTATCAATATCGTCAAGAAAAGTGAAGTTCATTTTATGTAACCAGTGACTTGGTAATGTAATAACTGGAAGTCGTTGTATTCAGTGGTCTTTTTATGGAAAAAATACTTTCCATAACAACGATATCACTAAAGTTCGATAAATGGTAATCAAGATCGAAGACTTCGCATATACAATCAATCATTTTATGAAATTCCAGATGTAATTTCTTGTCTTGATGCAGCACTGTAAAAGTGATTCATGAGCGTCTCATATTTAGCTTTGACAAATTTGTCAGCTTCGATAAAACTGCATATATTATCGCAGATTTTACAGAACGGGTTTGGATATGGATATGATTAAATAGGTGTGGGGCTACCCGTCTTCTCTTCATCCATACCCATTCACTCTCAAGATTGAATTTATCTTTTCTTTAAGAGATATATTGATCAGTTTTCGATTGATACACAACGACAACAGATATATCACTCAAGCAGTTCTGCAGAGGTGTATTAAAGTTTTCATCACGGTTCTCCTCTCACATTTTTATCTCTCAAATACAAAATCATGTTTGTGTCTCATTTCGATGTACCAAAACCTATAGTGTAGATAGAAAAATGTATTTCGTTTGTGATTCTTTTTTTTTAATTAAATCATTTAAAACAAATACAAGAGATTTTATTTTAATTGGTGAGTAATCTTTGCGAGAATTGCAAGATACTGAAACTAGCATTTCGAATTTCACACTCAACTCCACCTTCAGACGTCGCAATTCAAAGTACTATATGTGCTAGCAATAACTGAACTATGATCGGTGAGGTTAACTGTGCGAGAGATAAGCGAAATGGAGAAGAAAAAAAGCATACATAAATAGAGACAATACAATAGCTCTTCTCAGTAATTCGCAAAAACGTATGTGGTTCATACACTTCTGAAAAATAACTAGAAAAGCGTCAGTGACTCAGTTATCAGTGAACACGTCGTCACGCCATAGGCCCTCCTCAATCGTTCCATTTGAATAGTGCATTTTGCCTTGACCAGTTCTGGTGTCATTAACCCAATCACCTATGTATTTATCACC